TTTCTCGCGTTCCCACCAAACGCGTTGCATTGTACGCTTTGGCTGCAGGCTGGATGTTGCGACAGAGTGTAGAGCACATTTTTTAAAAAAGTTTCACTCATGTGCACATGACCGCCATATGTGGCCTACTTTTCGTCGCTCATGATTAACCCCGTTAGGAATGGCGGGATCTTCTGAGGAGATTCACTTAGAGAAATACAATCGATCAATTCTTTAATTCAAACATTGAGCTTTTATATAAGCAGCTTTCTTCAATAGGTTTAAAACTGTTTAATTGTTGGCGTTTGATTTTCTGGAGATACTGCAACTATTTATGTGTCGGTCTTGCTTAACTTCCGAAATAAGTTTATTTTTGTGATTGTTTTCGTGATTGGTCAGCCATAACGAGGAACATGTTGCATATCAAAATTGCCAGAATAGAAGCGGCACAATTACCCTTAGGCCGTTTCTTCCGGTAACTACTTTTAGGCCATAAACAGAATAGGTATTTTATGCGCCTAGGCACTGTACCTTTATCGTAACTAAATTGTAAAATACAGTGAATTTTTGCAGAAATTTCAAGGCGTTCTATCTCAAGTTTGAATAAAAGCGTTCTGAGCAATCGTAGCACATCTACTATTGCCAAATCGGCTTAGAAGCGACACCAACTCGGACCCGACGCAGCTCTGATCATATGAGATATTTGAAAAAATGGAGAAACATTAACCAACACAATCTACATATCATCGTTATGTTGAGCATCGATTCAAATGGTCAGCTCATACTGACGTGAAACAAACCCTGCATCTAGACCCGATTTCGCGCATGGACTACCTCACGTGTCTCTATGTGCAGAACCCCTCGTGTGTCCCCGCAAAAGTGTTTCCGCTGCATTACAACGAAATATACTGTTCTCAAACCGATACGACAATATAAGCACGAATAGGCAACTTTGCAGACGTTAATGGATGTGGTAGTGGCGACCGTCTTGGGCTTGTACGAACAGAACGTGTTAAGGTATTAATACTTATGAAATAAGTCTATAGATAGTGTGCACTTAATGGGGGGATACCAAAGTATGCTCTAGTCAATTATCTATCTAAAAAAGCAAGCAATATGCTCTGTTAATTAGGCCCAATCTTTACTTGTTAGTTTAGCGAGTGACAAGCCTCTACGGACCTGTCAATGACTATATCAATTTTGGTTCGATAACATTGTTATTTTATCACAAATGGGTAAATTAAATAAATCTACGAAACAACCTGATTTTTAACTACTTGGCATACATGTACACTTTGATAAAATAAACAATTACCGCTTAATGTTATCATAATTCCAAAAGGTACAGAGTTTCAATTAGTTTAAACGCATGGAAATGGTAACAGCGAGACCACTAGTTTATATAATTGATAACTTCAAGTTAGCGTATAGCGCCGGTTGTAATTTTGCCCTTGTAAGTGACGTCAAAACTTTGTTTCTTAGTCTTGTCGTGTACTACATATGCTAATTAAATACATCCTTATCACACCGTCTCCAATGCATGGGCGACTCATTCAGAATTTTCATATGTTAGCACTGCTGATAAGCATTCATATTTACAGACCTGATTTCAGCGCGTTAATGGCTTGGCAATTGTCACGATTTTTACTCAAATTGTTTAACACCTGAATAATTTCATCGATGCGATCAGTACCGATTAGACTTCACCATGGCTTCAGCATTCTGTGAAGGCTGTCCTTTTATTGGTTTTACGCTTCGAGCGTAGGAAGGAGGATTTAGATCGGAAAGGGTCCGCTATTTAAAATTAGGAGAGGCCTCATAACTAAGAAAGGGTAAAATACGTGACGTATAATCAGCTACAAAACGTTTAGTTCGGCAACTCATGAACACTACTTGAAGCTCTTGCATGTAAAAGTCAGGTCTTTTGACCGATCATAAATAGTCTCTTTAATAGGTACAAAGCAAATTTTATAGTTTGTATAGTAAGATAAGTTGGTTAAGTTAGGCAAGTTCCAACTAGTTTTACTTAGATTTTCGCCTAAAGATCTAATTATGTGTACCCTATGAAAACGTGCGTGAGATTATTTCAGGCCTATTGGTATTAACAGGTTTATGCCTCTACAAATGAATTCATAAGCTAAACTAACTGGCTATACCATAATATTGTTACAAAATTCAATTTCCAATATTTCCTTTAAAAAAGGTAAGGGTATGCACCAAAGTATTAAATTTGGTTGGAGCTTATTGGAAACCTACACTCTATAGTTTGATATCAATTACTTGCTTACCTATCGGCTGATCCCTAGCGGACTAACAAGAGTTCGTCATAGATATATTTTTCATTTAATTTTGAAACAATTGTCCTGCGAAGTATGTTCGGTAGCTTTTTATCTCGGACAAGCCTCGTAGACAACCAGTGTTGCTAGACATAATAGGTGCTTTGTTTTATTGTGTCACCACCTCCCAAGGAAAAGTTATGTAGCGTCCCAATAAGCACTGCTGCCAATGGGTGGCCTAACATATTTGCCTGCAAGTCTTAGGGACATGTTACGGTTTAGGTTCGAATCCTTGCATAGACGTACTTTGTTTCGTGCTGGGAGCCAGCCAGCTATCTGATGGAATATCTAACGTCGGTGCTGGATGTAAAACTCTCGAAACTCAGAAATCAGTTATATTTGGAAAATTTCTGATCTGAAATGGCGCAATATTTGAAACTCATATTAAACGCCGTGGACTTCAATATATAGACAAATAATTAGATCGACCGACCATTATATAAGCTATTTATATACTATAATACAGCTTGTTGTAACATATTACACGGTGCATTGATATGCCCTCGGGGTGTTAGCCTTCTCCCCGCGCAGTTATTTACTCCCCACGAATGTCACCATTTCAATTTACTGATTTTCCACAGTGTGCAGAGACAACTTCGTATATTAAACCACTTAATTCGCGGTTTCTACAAGATGAAATTTACACACGCAGATGCCGCCGCCAACATGGGGTCGTTTTTGGCATTTTTTTTTTTACAGTACGCGAAATCACGCTCGTGCAGAGTTTGATGCTTTTCTTGAAATCTGCGCCACCCTCATAGTTCACAATGCTAATCTAGCACGAAGGACCAAGAAGGTTAAGCCATTAGATGGTCGTCGCAGGCCATAGACAGGCAGAGAGGCCGAATTATGTGACGCCTTATGTGCTTTTACTAGCTACTGCGGCACAAACTTCCAGCAGAAAACACTATATTTAAAAATTCGCAAGACCTTCATATGTGTTGGTGACGAAGATTTGAAGGATAATTACATTGATATTTTAGGTAGCACATGTTTTACCATATAAAGCCAATAATAGATTAAATAGTAGCGGCGTAACGATGTGGAAGACCGCAAGTTGGGTGTGTCGGGCATTACAGCCTTCTGTTAGAGGTTTCAGTGAACTTGTCCAGCCAAGAAACCTCAGAAGACGATGTCCACGCCCGCGAGCCCCCGTTGTGTCCTGTAGTAGGAACCAATAATGGCACCTATTTTCATCATATGATCATTCAACATTTATTGGCACTACCAAGCACCGATGACCTCGTCCTAAGCATTCCGAGATAGGCTATGCGTACTTTGCTGGAGGTTGTCGAGAACCAGTCCTCCTCTGATAATCACAGACCAGCAGGGAAGCTACATAAATTCGTACAAAAGATAAAAAGTGACACTTTATTTAGAAATAGGTTTTTAATCTGTAAGATGCTGTCAGAATTCCGTACCAAACTCCTTTCAGTATACGGTTAAAACCTAGCTCGTGTTTTGATGACCGGGTCAGCGTTATCCTTCGAGGGAGTAAAATTCCACATGAAAATTACGTTTGGTTTCATGTGGATTTCTTAAGAGCACATGTGTTTTACTGGTTCTTGTAAGTTGCATACAGCCTGTATGTTAAATTCAATACCGGCAAAAAAAGTAAGAAACTTAAGTGATATTGATTTAACCCACCTCAAAGCGCTCGATCATCATGAAATAGGCCGTTGAATAAATTTGATCATACATATTGTGGCCGGTTGTGTTTCCTCGTCCGCTTAAGGCGACTCTCGTTGCACTAAATTTTGACGCCCTACTTGAGTAAGTCCATTACCTTCCTTATATCTAACGTCACTCGCAATGATTTGGTGTTTTATCTTAAACTATATATCGTAACGTCCTGACGCCTACGGCCGGTGATTTCAGCCTGGCACCAGAGCCATGATAACACGGTGCCCCCAGTGATCGCAGTCAGCGTAAGGACTAAACGACAGCTCACTTTAAATGCCTGTATTCGCAGCCAGCTAGGCCATTATTGAAATGCTAAAACCTAATATCAAGAATATTCATTTCATCGCTTGTCTTTCAGGTCACAGTAAGCTGTGCTAAACTTATGCGTTTAACAATAGAATTATGAGATTATTGGATCACAGCAGAATAAGGTGAAGTCTGTCGCTGCTACACCGATGAAGAGAAAGTTCTGCTGCAGAAGGATGATTTGCGGAACCACTTGGAAGAACCGCGAAGTTTCTAAAACTAATTATATCGGCAAGGTCATTTCGTATCAGGAGGCTGACTAGTCCCGCGCTGTTCAGCCCGTGTCGATGATGACTCTATCGGGGCTATAGCTCGGGTCGTATTTGGGCACCTTTGTTTCGTACTGGCTTTCCGACTGGGTCACACCGGTATTCTGGCCTACCAATGCTGCGGATAGATCTTTCCGTGACAGTCAAGTCAAACGGAACGACTCGTGGTCTAACGGCCTCACTTCTGCGCACTTGCTAGCCTCTTGCCATTTACCGTCAGACTCAGTCGGAATTTACAAATCTAAAACACAGTTGACATTCAATAGGACGCCTTTGTTTTCGACAGCTATACAATGACTGCTTATTCGGTATGTTCGGCATATGGCGTATAGCGAGGCTGTACAATGTTTAACGACTAGGATCTGTGTGCTCAATGTAATTAATTAGTCAATAGTTTTTCCAGCGGGATATTTATTATTGGATTTGCTCAATTCTTCTGCTTGTCTTAGCCTTTTAATATAATTATATTTATATATTACAGTGAAAATTCTCTGGCGTTTAATACTTCCTTTAGCTAGCACCACTTGGCGCAGCACGAACCAACAGTTGTCGCTTTCGTTAATCGAAACTATTACCACACATACGTGTTTATTTCAATTACCACAATCCATTATCGGTTCATCTTTACCTCAGTTACTTGCCAGGATTCTGTTTAAGTTAGCACGATGTACGCAAATGCTTTCTCTTGGGCTTCAATTTTTTGAGATTCATTTTAGGAGGTCAACAGTTGCTTGGAGTCTTTTATACGGAAAGGACATCATTAGTCGTATACGTTTCTACCGTCACATAGCCGACCGGTGTTTCACACTTTTTCAGATTCAGGGCTAATTCGAATTCCTTGAGCTCGGGACCAGTTTCCGGTGGTAGAATTGCTCGACCCAAACACTGATCCATCACAAGACTATGATTCCACACCTGTATATCAAATTATTATTAGCTAGTTGTTATCCATGATAACTGAGCTACGATTTATTTATTAGACATCGCGACCTTTGAGCTTATCAGTTTACGCTCATCAAAAAAGAATATAGCGTTTCTCAGACATAGCACGACTTTGCTGTTGGTGCTGAATTACGCGTGGTCTACTTTATAATGAAGTAATAACGCGCCTACTTGATACGGGTTAGAACAGTCCTATTCGGAGAAATCAATTTGGTCTTCATTAGCAGCCTGGTCTTCTAACTGAGGGTTTTATACGTTTAAAAGTCTTCTACGTTCGAGTGCAATGTTACAAGGGACGACCGCTACCTAAATGTTGCAAATCGGTAATAGAAAATATATGTACCTGTATTGTGACACTGGATTTCGGATCTTTCCGATAGAATAGTGCCTCAAATTTCCACTGCGGCGAAGTACCCTTACCGCTCGCAGATCGGGCGGACGTCCCCTCACATTGTATGACACAATATGGCGACACTGATGAGAAAGTAAATGAAATTAGGGCAATAAATTAATACATACAATTTCCTAGGTGGACACAAACTTATATTTAAAATTCAATAAGTATTACGAAACATTTCGTATTTATCATGTATGTTATTGTATGTTTTTATCTGCCTTGAAAGAGGTGATGGAACGACTTTTGCTTTAATGATCATTGCCACCTTTCGTCTAATAGCAGTAATAAGTAAACTGCTCTTACTTGAAAATGGTGTTTTTTTGACGAGATCCTTTGCGCCATAGATTTTCACGTAAGTGACTAGTGAAGGTAGCTTTCGACTTAAAAAAGTCTTCTGGGGCTGATCTAATAACAATTCTCGCATGACTACAGCACCCAGTTTAGCTAGCACGCGTACGAGATAAGTCTGTGAGATTTCTGCCTCAAGCGTACACGGAATAAGAATGTAACGTCCTCGAGGTATCGGACCAACGCGTGAGAGCTGGTCCCGCAAAGCTAAAAATTCTGACGAATATATAACTTCTTTTTGGCGATGCAGACGAAACTGGCGATTCGCCTCCACCTGTAATTAACATAGGTAAACGCAGACAAGCGCAAGACATTATCTTTTTCCAATTTCTTTGCTCTACAGAGAGAAGTTAGCAATCAGCTTTCGATGACAACATCGCATGGATCCGTCAAATGGTTGAGGTTACTTTATTTATTTATAGTGGCTATTTGCCTTGCAGTCGACCATAGACGTTTGCAATTGATAGAAAGCTGGCATCTAGGGTACTCTATTTAACCTTCATAAGGATGAATCCAATCGCTTCAAACGGCGATTCTTGCATCAGGTACACGATTAATTCGGCCTGTTCCTGTATCACCTGCAATCGAGAATGTGAATCACGAACTTGTGCTTCGAGTGAAAATAAACGGTTTTCTAATAGTCTTCTTTAGACTGTTGACGATTGGGCCAAAATAAGGTTATTCCGTTTTCCCGATGCCCCGGCTGGTTGAAAGCTTGGTATATGTACGCCACCATTACTAATTACGTCAACAATCCTTTTTCTTACCTATCAACAATGAAAAGGTATATTAAAGGATGAGAAGAGGAAATAGCTTTCAATAAAGCTTTCAGAGGCTACGTACTCAATACAAGCTTCCGGTCGTACCTTGTTTAGCGCGATCCCCGAGAGGTTTCTAATTATTTTATTAATGTACGTGCGTGTATCTATTATGTACTTGCTCTGCAATTTGTTATATTGACACAATATATACTGATTTACCCTTCTACAATTCTCATCTTATGGTAATAATAAAATGCAGAAGTGGTTTACCTTGGCTTCGGGTCATTTACGTGTGCATACGCGTATCGATAAAGTGAAGAACGATAAAATAACCCTTCAAAATCGCATATCGATCACCAACCTAGGTCAGAGTCGGCTGTTTGATGTCGTTTATGCATTACGTGTACATGCTGGCAGTGATCTAAGGCTCAAACATATAACTGACTATTCTGGCTAATATTAATAGAGAAGCGTACGACAATAATAACTATCGGTATAGTCGCACAAAATACTCAGTGAATGAATGGCGCATAACGTTCGATTTCCAAGGGAAACCATAGGAAAATGGACAGGCTGTGCTGGAGTGTTGCCATGTTATGTGATCGTTCGGTTAAAGAAGCCACAAAGCTCGAAATGCACAGCTGTCACGTCTTCGTTAATCGTGCGAATTGTTCTGAACGGCTTCAAACCTCGAGAAGGTACTGTGGATTTCGTAAGACACTATCGGCCGCCGAGCCCCCTGCTCTGTCCTGAATTGAGCCTTTTGTTCCAATTGTCCACTCGCCCGTAAACGCGTGCTCCCACAACGATGAACCGTAGTTGGCCAGGCTTCCGAAAAATCCGCTTCTGTCAGTGGCGCCCCGACTCAAATGACATATTAAAAATTGGGTAAAGTACTTTAACAGGTCATCATACGTCACCCTGAAAAAGACATTGGTTACTCTGCTAAGTAGGTTACGAGTACCGGTATCCGCTTAATTTGTCATCGTTGTGACATCCTATAGATGGATCTAATTGCTCTTGAAGCATTGCCACTAGTCATACGCAGAGAGAACGATAAGCGATAAGCACTAGTTAACAACAAGGAAAGGTTACTCAGTTGGTGTTGCTCCCGACTGTACTACTAACCAAAATTCCGCCGCCTGTTCAATTTTAAGGCCAAGTTTCGAACGCTCGATTTGACTGAGCCGCGTCCATTCGACTGAGCTGGAATGAAAGCGTAGTAACTGTTTCGTAGAGTACATATATTCAGTTCTATTATTTTGCTCGGTATCAGTTTGGCACTCAATCAGTCTTTCGTCGGAGCGATGGTCCTGGCATGAAGCTGTCACAGTTCTGATACTACTGACTCCAGGATTCCGTGTCCTAGCGCCACCAGCGTTTCCGTGGAAACTGCTCCCGTAATGAAATACATAATTGGGGCAAATATCGGGGTCGCTGCTTGAACTGCAGGGATTAAATAGAGCACGATTTCGAGCTCGTCTCAATGACCGCGTTGAGTATGACAGATGAGACTTGAAAGAGCTACCGGTAAAGGAAGATAGCCGGAAGAGAATAGAAGAACAAATGTAAATTAATGAAATAAAGTGAAACGAAAGATGGAATTGCTCAAACTGAACAAGGCCAAGCAAAACGAATAAATAGAAAATTATGTTCAGAATGAAGCAATAAAATGACAGTATAATATAACAGAACGTACACAGAAGCATAGTTTAAGCAATACTAAGATTTCTGAGATTAATTTATGTAAATTTTAAAAACGACTCCAATTTGCCACCCACGTTTTAACGCATCGCCAACGTGAACACGAAAGTAATAGCAAAGGCATTTTTAAGTCAATTTTGAACCTTTAGCTTTTTCTTATCCATATGAAAAATGTTTCAAATACAACACGGGACAAATATCTCCTAACGATCTAAACTAAAAAGTTACTTGACAGCTTGAGAGATTTCTTTTAACTTTTTGTTACCTTCAGCTCGGCTACATTTCATTCTATTGCCTCTTGAACCGACGAAATATTGAAATTTTCAACCTGTCAAATGACATATTTTTACGCCACCAAGAGAACTTTGCCCCACACTGTAAAATATAAATTAGCTTCGATCTGTTTCCATAAGGAAGTGCGTTGTGTCCACCTTCTAATTTAATTTCAATCAGTTTCAAAAATTACCATTTCAGCAACTTATTTCAAGATAACACTAGCTTAATAACCGCTCATTGTTAAACAGCTCTACGCGTACTTTTGTCCAAATGCCCCAGTGTATTTGGAATCTGCCCACGGGTCCTGAAGTCGAACCATTCGAAGTTGTTGTCGTCCACCGAAGAGCGTTCGAATCGCTGCTGACGCCGAGATGTCAATACTTGCAAAACCTGTCACGGTATATGGTCTTCCCTTCATGATACCTGCAATGAGCGTAGCGAAACAAACAGTACAACACCGAAGTTAGTTACGCAGAAAATCTCGACGAAGACAGAACTGGCGGACCAATGGATCCGGTTGTCACGATTCTACTACTATTCATTTAGTCTCTGTTCTTTTTTTCATTTGCCACCTGTGTTCACCTCTGGCAGAAATTATTCTCTCCTGAAAAGGCCCTTGAAGGACGTTGCTGTCTGATTACTCAATAAATTTCGTTGTATTGAGACAAATGTGGGGTATTATAGCATCGGTGAACTGATTACCGCACGGTAGTCGACCTTCGGTTAAAGTAAGCCCATCAGCTTCCTCATAGAGTTCGTGCATAGCACAGAGGGGTGACCCTTTACGTGAGGCGTCGCTTAATCGTGCATGCAGTTCGTCCTTGAGTTGGGGCGTCATCTCTGATCCACCTATATCCAAAATTTCAGCCACGCCGCCCGTCAAGTCCACTAGAGCCTGCTCCAACCGATGGGAGCACAAAGCTTCGTACGAGCCTAGGTATCTAATTATTCATAGATGATTAGAAAAAACTGCTTAATCACTCATCAGATTCAAACAGAAGTGACTACGTACTTCCCACTGAAAATGAGAACAAGTGGGCGAAATACAATAACATTACTTATTGCTATTATTACTTTTTCTTCACTTTTACGCAGTCCAACGTTTTTGAGTGGACATATTTAATTCGGATAACTATTTTGTAGTGGTTTATCAATGGATCTGCTCGAACTACATTGTCACGTATATAAAATCAACACAAGAATCTTCTTACTTGGCGTAGGCTTTTTCTAGCAATACTGGCCAAAATTCGTCCTTTGTCCTGGATTTGGCAAACAGTGGAACCGATGTATTTGGATCAATGGGAAGTCGGTCATCTATTAACACCTGCTTCCATCTTCCGAAATGATAGAACATAAAACGGAAAAGGCCGCAGTACGTGAACTTCGATGAGGTCTTCCCTCCTTCCGCCGATGCAACCAGTGAGTATGAACTTGCCGAGGGTATTACCTAGGTTGAAAAGCTTACTTCATAAGGCGATGCCCGACAAAAAATACCTTTTTTCAGAAATGTAATTGTTTTAATGTGCTAGATATATCTACGAAAAGCTAAATTCGCTTACGCGCCAAATTCCTGGCACACTTCTAGTTGTCATTGATGATTTTCTTGATAATAAGTTTTTTGATTATGGGTTTATGTTGCTTCTTTGTCAGTATTGCTAATGAAAGAAAAACCATATAGATATATGTGCATACTGTTTCAAACGACGAGCTCGTTGAGAAGTTGTCTACGCATTTCACGCGATACAAAATAGACGAGAAAATTGAGCAGAAAACAAACAAACCAGCCAATCATCTACTGTGTAAGAAGAAATTATTTGTTTGACAAAAGGTATTTGAACAACTGAAATGTGCACGCAGACGACGCAGTCGCCCATGTTTTCTGTGGCGGTGTCTGATTGTTTGGTGTTTATATTTTTGTATTGCTATATGTGAATTTGGGAGTGTACTGGTGTATATGGATGTGTCGAACCTTATTGAAGAGTTGTTTTTCTCGTGAGAGGGCGCTGGCCGCTGAGACGAACCAATCGTTACCCGCAATCCCTTCAGTGACGTCAGTAGATGCGAGACCCTCGACAAAAAATTTTGGGTCGTCCGTCAGCTCCTGATAAAATATTGTACTATGCAGTAATTGCTTTCATTTAGTGAATGAAGTACACGTACTGTTTCTAATTATGATAACTAGCATTTGTCTATACATTGAAAAACTGATTTTGTACAAGGTTGGAGATTTTACACTTGTTCAATAAGTCGATAATGTAAAAAATATGAACTTTTATTAATGTTTACTCACAAATGGTCTTTTCCATCCAATAGCCCCGGGTTCGATTCCGTGGCTGTCTTTTAACCAGCGTCCGCCGTCGCTACCTAGCGCGGTAACATCCGCTCGAAACTCTTGGTCTTCCCATAATGCACCGCTTTCAATACACGTTTTTCGTAGAGCCGCATAATTCAACTGCTGTCATGGGTGAAGTACGTGGTGAATGTTTATCAATACGCATGCACTGTTTTGGCGCGTTTTTTTTTCAAACTATTTTGAAACTCTGAGGGTTTTCAGTGGGCTAATCCTGTGGGAGATATAATATTCAATCTTAAATAACGGATGGGACTAATAGCCGAGATATAAATTTCAATTCAAAGGGTTCTGGTTTTTGTACACTGATGTTATTCTATTCGCCCACTGTAGCCGAACGCGGTTTGTTTCTACCCTCCTGAAAAGAACACTTACTATATCCCTGTTAAACTTACACATTTTATACAAATTTTTATTCGAAATTCGCTGTAAAATCAGGAGAGACAGTTGTTTATCGCAGGCACATTAACGGCTATAAACCTGCCCCGTTGCCAACCTACAACACAGCTGTTTCGCCACGCATGCATTTTTAAACCATTAATATAGGTAATAAGCATAAATGATAAGCAAATTCAGACCGAAACTCTGATCAACTCCCGTCAGACGTTCCCGAAAGGAGATTGTACATGCCCATTAAATACTAGCGAACGGGTTGACCAATGCAGGTCTGACTTCTAATTCAAGTTGGAAAAGGTCGCCTCTGTAAGCGTATAAAAAAAAAAGCGTAAAATATAATTTTTTATAGTAATAGACTAATGAACCTTCGCAGTAACCTGGAATATGCATCTCTCTTAAAGGAGCTCCTCCTTTTGCAGCCCACCGACGTGGTAGTATAGATCGCTACCCAAAAAATAGATAACACATCGAGACTGTATGCACACGAAAATTGTCTGTAATTTACGTTCAGCCAACTAACAATGAAAACTGTAGTTATCCCCGAAATAGTACTAACTAACTTAGTTCGCGTTGGTACATCATGTTCATGCTTGAATCGCTACTATAATTGCCTGACCCATTAAGTATAAAAACTTTTTTAAAAAGCTTTCCACAGCAGCTTATAAACGTTATATTCTACATTGACTAAATGAATTTCACAACCGCCCACTTAATGCTGGTGTATCATAAAATAGCCGGGGCGATTTATCAGCAACACACGGATGTGTATACATACGCTACTTACCTTTTTCAGTGGTCGTCGCTGGTTTCCTTGGGGTCTTACCCCACTCGACCTACCGATAAACATCGCCCTTGCCGCTGTGTTCTGCGCACACTTATACTGCAATTCAGCAACACGGACATCTGAGCATAATCCACATCGAACCGCAGGCTCCATGTTCACATCACTATTTGAGGCTGATTCGCAACAAGTCCTTAGGAAAGATTTCTGATACGGTACTTGTGCATCCTCTCCCGAGCCAAGATATGTATAGATAATGAAAAACCGAACAGACCATTCGGCAACCACGCTTGCTCCAAACGCACAATTTGAAACGCGTAAATAGCAGCCACCGTATATACCAGTCTCACCACGGTTAACCCTCGCAAATGTAGCTGAAAACGTTCTAAGAGCTGCTATGCCGCCAGTAATAGATACGCATGAGATTCAAATCTGACAACCTATCTTTAATTAAAACAAATCCTAACACTGTTTTTGCTAGCGTCCGATGATGCTGTTCCGTCAAGCGTCTTCATAAACGCCCTGTTAGTAATATTTATCACGTTAAACCACTGGTATAGAAGCCCGTTGCGCTATTTGTTGGGGCTCCGTTCAAAACACAGTTCAACGTAATACCACCGCCCACGCACTGATATTTGACTATGAACTTTGGTTATGCATGCGCAATCCTGCCGAGGTTGGTTTCTACGAGTCCCTCATACACCTACATGCTCGTCGGAGGCAAGCTCAATAGCACCCCCATCCGACTCTAGTGAAGTTCATAACTAGCTCGGAACGCTAAAACATCTTCTGATAGCGGTGCTGATATAGTTCTGCGGCAGGGGGCAAGTTCCTGCTTGCCCCCTTAGTGTCCTGATGACCACCGGTACTACGAGCTCAGTTCTCAAAGATCCCTTCGACACTACTCATTACTAAATTACTAGGAGGATCCGTGTCCATGTGTAGTTGGATCGATTAACTGACCCAAGTAGCGTCGGCGGTTAATGAGTGTCAACGGGGCTGGCCTAAACGGCAGCGGCGTTTAGAGGAATGAGAAGGACACACTGTTTATGAACCCACTCTCCGAGAAAGATGGGCGACGTTTGGCGGTTGGCTGGCTTCACGGTAGCTTTGAGTGTTTCAGTTTTGAGCTGTCGTGCACGGATGGGTCTCAGAAAGACGCCAATATTAATTGTGTTCTATTATCAGAGGTATTGACGTACTAGGTAAAACACGCTCTCTAATTGTGACCAAAACAGAGCTGTGATTGGCGACATATCGGTAAGCTAGTGTGCCGCATTAAAGCGTACTTTATATCCGCAAGTCCTGTCAGGACCGATGAGGACGCAGGTGTTCTTTTCAATGGATCTAATCGTTATGAAGAGTGGGGCGCAGACCAGACGGGGAGTGGATTGAGAGCGGTCACCAAAATATAACAATAGGCAGACATGAGAGTATGACATGAGGGGTGTGTTATTTGGTGGCGAGCACCATTGTCCAAGGTCAGTAGTAGTGGCAGCGATGCATTGTAGAAGCTTTCGATGGACCCCTTTAAGAGAAAGGGTATATAACAGGCACCAGCAGTGGACAGATCTCTCCGACGGCTCTAAAATCCGGAGTCGGTTGCGTATAGGCCAAAGAATACACTATCTACGTGTCACAGTGTATACACGATTGTTAGTGGATCACACAGAGCGTGTCACGTACACCTGTTAAAGACGAGCCTTCGAGGTTACCTATTACGAATAGAGTAGTGTGGCTATGGGTGGCGTTAGCTGTGGTAATATTACTCCATTTACAATCGGTCCTACGTATGCTCTTTGTTTCCCAAAGTTTTTTTTTTTTTTTATTAAACCTTTTCAGAGTTTGACAGCGAATCTTTCTGGTGCACGCAAATTGTGCTTAAGCCATGCTAGTAAGATATATACCTATCTTCGAAGAAAGCATAGGACGTATTACATATAATGTGGTGCAAACAGCGAGGCCATTGTGCGGAAGCAAATTCACCCTAGCAAAGCTAAGAGGAGAGCGCGAGCAACTCTGCCGTGCGTCGTTCGATAATTAGAGAATTAAATTTTAATTCGCAGTATACTTGTTTACATTTTGCAGTAGTGCATATCATAAAAGCAGTAGCCGTTACCTGCGCGATACGTAGTTCTACGAATGCAACTATTAGAATTAAAGCAAAGTTTTTCCTCTACCTTTTTCCGCTTTATTGGCTCTGGCGGCGATCTAGCATTTTTTCTTAAATTACACTTCTCTCGAAATTAACGTTTTTCTTCATCCCTGGTTTCTGTGTCTTTTGAGAATTGCCTGTGCAAGCTGGAATCTCGAAAATATCCAAAAAAACACAATTCTGCGATAGTTAGTGAGCCCCACACATTTCCGCGCCTAAAGAATTACGACATGATTTCGTGATTGTGCGCCGTCTGTCCGTGGTATACTAGCAAAAAATAGTAGCTAGTATGACACAACGACAGTTGCGTTAAGGCAACTACGTCTAGAGGCTTTCCTCCAGATATCCCTAAGTCCTAATGACAATGTGAGCTATGCAAGCTTTTGGCTTAGAAGTTGTTCCTCTAAAGGCAAATCTACGATGAAAAAATTATCATGTAAATAAGCTTACTGATACCATAAAGCAGCTTCACTCTTGATCCTTCCCCTGGTCAACCTTGCAGAAATGCTGCGACCTGCATTAGTTCGTTATAAGTAAAACGGAAAGGCTATTTCTAGAAAACAAGGGCTTCGGTCAATTTTTAGTTCTATAGAATATATTACCGCTCAGTCCTGCAAGGAGTAACAGCTGAATAAAAGAGCATTTTGGCGCGAATTTGTCGACATTTGTCTCCTGTTTCTCATTTTGGCTCAGTCGTTTATCTAATCGCATTCAAGTGTTCTTTGTTCTTCAACGTACAACAGACGTAATCAAACAACTCAACGCAGATTCGATGGAGGCTAAGTACAGACATTTAGGGAATATGAGATGGACTGCTGGGCAGATACGCTCAGCGCTTTCGACTACAAGTTATGTTACGCCAATCTGAAAATTGATTAAAAATAGGACGAATCATTTCGACGCTTCGAGATTGATACCCACAGAAACGAGCGCCGTCGTCGGATTCCTCTAACTGTAGGCGATAGTAAGTTTAAAAAGCAAGACAACTGACCTTAAATAGAATGTTTGCTTAGGTATAACATTTTACGAAACGAGAAACACTGTCACATGGTTGATGGAAGTCGCGTCAAGCGGTCTTTTATGCAAAAAAAAAAACACTTCTAATTACCTTATAGGGATATTTTACATGTCTAGTAGCGGCTTGAACGGCTTCCAAGGCTGTACTTCCGCGTCGATTTCTGAGGGACAGTGTGTGATAACGTGAATATGTCCTTATCAAATCCACATAGACCTAACACTCTTTTTTCGTTCCATTATCAATTGGTATATTTAAAGTTAACAGCGGTATGCTTCGGTAATCCATTCAGAAGCTACTGGATCACGACTGATCAAAATGCACTGCAAATTGTAAAAGCTCCATATGCGAGCTACTTGGCCGCGCGTAGCTGCTCAGGCTAACGACTTTGCACGGGCGTCAATGCTGACGCATGAGTACAGCCTGCCGGTCAATTAAAAACAGACAATTCAAATATGAAATAATGGTTACATCGCAATGGCGCGTGCGTAGTCCGAAATAGTCCTTTTAGCATGATATTATATATAAAAGGCAAATTTGCTGATTTAATTAATGTCATTGTAAAAACGTTGAACATCTTTGATGAGAGGATTACCACACGAGGCTACTATTGTTGTGTGAGTCTATACATTCCGGCGACTCATGTAAAGCAGGCTTTAAGTTTTTTAAACAAGTAATGCGAGCCACAGAAGTTCTCACGCATCAAACGCTCAGATTAAATACTAAGCGCGGAACTTTCAGAGTAGATCGATTATGTCTTTATTACAACAGCCGGATTGTGAGGCATTTCAGCGGTTTATCAAATATGAAGAGAGCCCTAAGTTCAACCCAGCTGGTAAGACATTAACACAACGGTCATAAATGATTTTATTCACGGTCAAAATATAATCCGACATATTCTTCGTAATGATACGTACTCACCTCCCAGATCGCCTGAACTCTATAAAAGCGGCCTAACTGATGCCTTTGCTGGCTTCACTTTTTGTCTATTCATCTCATATCCACTTATACACAGCAAATCAATTACTACGACAGATTATATACAGATGCTATAATCATCATTCCAATTACATATGTTTGTTTACTAGCAACCTCTACATTATCCAAGCAGACATCTGTTCGACATAAATTCGCGCATTTCTCAGTTTATTCCACTTCTAAAGAGGCCGAGCAACTGATGTAGTCAGACAACAGTAACGGCAGCGTTATTAGCAAAGAGTGCTGACGATTCCGACTTTTACGCCGGTGGTAGCCGGGCATTTCTACGTCTTCCTCGGGTACTAGCAGTGGCTATTAACTTCTACTGTCGCTCATTTGCCCGTTCCCAAAGATTGTGCGTCGACGGCCAACACGCGAATGTCCGACCAGCGCGATACAGAGCTGACATGTTGTGGCGGCGAGTCAGACGAACTATAAATACGTGCTAGCAGAGCGGCCTTAGTCTAACGTAGCTGACTGGGCCGTTGCTTTGTCCATCAGACTTACGCTTGCAAACGATGGTTGAACGTTTGGCACTGTGTGCATATCTACTAGGGCTGTTCTCCTGCGATGCGTTAGACGTCGGCGATTTGCGGTTGAAAGGCGGGGCACTCTGACGTCATGTTTGTGGCGCTGTGATTTTGAAGAAGCGGAGGCCCAAGAAGAAGAAGTAATGGGGGAGGAAAACGGGAAGGGGAGGTTCGCAAGCCTCACAAGGTCTCGACTGCCGCAACAGTCATATACTCAGATTTACTGAGTGTTGCCGTTGGTGGCTGTGTCGAGTAGCAGGGCAGGCGATACTCTGGCCGTTAGTGAGGTACTCTCACACGAAGTGGTTGTTATGGAGAGCAGAAGTCATAGTCGAGAAACAATGACTGGCTTTTTTCGGCTACTATGGTTATCGCTAAAGAGTGTAAACTGTAGACGTTTGTGACTGGATCGTGATTCAGCTCGTTGGGTTTCACTTCATTTGGGTTTGTATGAAAGTTGTAGGACTCGGGTTAATGGTTGCTCGGTCCGACCGAGCCTGACTTGTCTGGAAAACCAGCTGATATGTTCTATTACCTCAATTTATAAATGGATCAAGTAGAATTGATCTATCTTGAAAGAGAAGGATCTATCTTGAAAGCGAAGGAACTTCGGTAAGTTGTCATCTGCTATTGATTGCGTAGTGCAGAGGTGTAAAGCGCATATAGGTGGTTTGGTACTACATCTCTATAGAAGAATCTACAGTAACTATTGTTGTCTGTTATTAGGGAAATGGTTATTTCTTCTAGAATAGCACGCATAATAAGCCCTCTGCCAAATGGGAATCGGACGTTCATAAGATCTCAAATCAGTGATATAAACATTATACCATTACTGCTGGATTAGGAACTACTTCAGGGTCCAAATCATAACTTTTCACATCAGAGGCTAACAAGACAAACGATTTATGAAAGAGCGTTTGGTTATGCAACTCCATAGACACTAACCAATGTTTGTCGGCCTTGAAAGCACCTCTTCCTTTCTGCACATATATGTCCAGACAATAACTTATATTTGAAAACAAAAAAAGGAAGAATAGATGTTTACTCTCTAAGTAAAGCAAATAAGGAAAGCTCCAAAGGAAACTTTCTTGTAACTGTTTCGTTTCCATCAGCCTCTTGTCGGGTACTGTAGCCTTACAAACACTCCGCAAATCCTAAACCAAATGCCTCTCTAAACGTTTGAAGTGTTTATAGTTTTCTATTTTAAGTAAGCTCTTAAACATTGCTTGTTGGACTTTCTTAAAACTTCTTTTCGCTTTGTCCATTTCGGAGAGTAACGTTCAGCTTGGAACTATATAGACATTGGTATCAAAGTTCTCATCCACAATCCTTCCGCTAAGGGCTAAACTCATTCCATTGAGCAGTTTTCCACTGATTTCAAAAAAGAATCAGCTTTATTATTATCACGGCATTTGGCATTATTACAATATATATAAAACGAGTTCCTATCGCATACGGTAGGTTTTACTATACTGCATGAATCTGATAGTAGTTTATTACATAAATTGAGAAATTATTTTAATACTGTATGAGTCGATCAGATTTGGCCCTGCATTGGGGCTTGCTAGAATATACTGCAAAGCCACATATTGCCATACGGTTCGCTGATCTCCTCTGCCATTCCACAATGCGTATGGCTTTTTCTAATAGCTCACATTCCCCTTTGCAAACAAAAACTAGTTATGTATATATGTCCATGGTATAAATAGAATGCATTCTTCTAGTGTACATTATATATGTATTTGTTAAAACGAAGCATAAATATAATATCTCAAGCTGCCTGCACGCATTTTATGCAAAAATGTGCTCATAGGCCAAAATGTTGAAAAGAAATATTGGCACAAAGCGATGTGACATTTCCTAGACCCACTATTTCAACGTGCTACAATTTGACTGCTACAATTGTTGAAATAATTACTATACAGAATTGGAATATACTATTTTCAGATGCAGGCTTCAAATCCTGCTTCGGATTAGGAGCTAACCGGCAAGCTGTTCCGTATGCACAATATAAATCATATCCACCCAAGTCTTTTAAACTATTTTATGGTTATGTAAGTAATCATTCGCTCTGCTCTTTTTGACAGAGACTGAACATGGCCATACTGCGATAGAACTACGGAAACTGTTCACACACAGCATTACCCTTGCCTAAACTCAAACAACAGTTTCGTTAAAAGTTACACCTATTGACCATAGAAACTACTGATGCAAATACTAGCTCGAGTCGTGACACGGTGATCCGTGGGTAAGTGTTCAGTGAAAACTCAATGCTAGCTCTAAACGCAGGGAGAACTACTCTAGGTATTTAGTATTCATTCATCATATTTTTTATTGGCTAGTTAATGTTATTCGAACTACGAGGCCATACGTTATTAACCGTGTCAAGCACTTTCGTATAAAGTTATTGAGATGGCCTTGTTACCTAAAATGGCCTTTAGCAACATGAGTAACAAGGCGTCGTATACTGAGCGCTAGCTAGTGATTCAACCACTAAACTAACTAGCAGATTACGTCGAAATAGGTTGTTATAGGTGATGTTTTTCAACAGGCGTCTCCAAGAGTTAACCGCATGACAATAATAGTTTGTTCCACTGAACTGCTATCGTCAATCCGAATAGTTTCGAGCCTGTCAGACTGACCCATGAAGCCAGGCTAAATTCTAGCAGTTATATTCTATATATAATCGGGAAGTTGATGCTGATGTTTTGAGTCGCATTCGTTCAATTCAATCAAGGTATTATGTTAGAAGGACAAAATGGCACTAAGGCATATTTTCTCTGTAAATACCAAATAAAACGAGAAGTTGCCTATTTGTGTTAAGTAAAAAGAGCACAATTTGAGTGAGAAACAAATACAAAACCTGCTTCGAAATGCTGCATTTGGAATTAACAAAAAAGCACTGCTTTGTGAGTAGTTAGACTGCAGTAATAATTAGCTATTATGAATGGAAATACAAATTATTACTGAGTTAATGTTAATTCAATACGTCACTACCCGTATCTTTGTCACTCATTTAAGTTGTTGCGACATGTTAGTAATTGAACCCACATAAAGAGCTTTTCTTTGAAAAGTTTATAAGATAACAAATATACCCGGTATAATTATGCGCAATAGACATAACTTTAGCAGTTATTGTATAATAGTATAATAGATTTTTTATACTAACCGAGAGCATTTTTGCGTGAAATGTGCTTTTAAACGCTTTTTTTTTGTTAATTGCTATCTCAAGTCTTCACAAAGCATTTTGTCGAAGGTTCAAGAATCGGAAGCATTGTTAAAGTAAATTATATTGGGTTGTATATGCATGGCGGATTAAAACCAGCTGCTTTCAGGCCTACTATAAGATAGTACTGCATTTGCAATATATCGTTACCATTAGACCTGTTGACAGAGTACCAAGACGTGAGAAGGTACTCTCGAACCCAATACGCGCAATGGCCAGTAACCTTCCCTAGGAAACAGGACCGATAATAACTTTCGAACAAAATCATGCACAGCGTCCGGGTTGTCGTGAGTGCGCACATTTTACGCGGTTGACGAAAAAAAAATTACTATAGTCTCTAAAGTAAGGGATACGTGATGCTCTAGGTTCGAATGCAAGCGTAGACACACCTTCTTTCATGGTAAAAAAAAAAAAAAAAAAAAAAGCCAGCCATTTAAAGCATTGCCTAGCGGTGTAGGTACCGGACACATCTAGTTTTGGCCTCTGATTACAAAGGATTTCTGAAGGACTGAAGGATTTCGTAAAAGACATTTATTTTTCGCATCCAAGGGTGATCACGATTCGAATTGAACCTGTAATCGTGGCCGTTATATATGTAGCGGATTATCATATTTGAAGTTTCAACATTCCTCACATAAAAGGGGGGTACATTTAGTTATGTCCATTATATTATTAGTCTTGGCATTGAATTATATTTAAAGCACACTGCTTGAAACAGTAATAACAATTTGAAAGCACGTTAGAAGAAAGCATCTACGGTTCGCTAGGATTCAGAGCCCAAGAAACCTGTAAATCGTCAGATGGCTGTGAATCACCTAGATAAGTTCATCCAAAATTTACAAGAAACCTTGCTCTACTGGGGAAGCTCGCTATGTTTCTAGCTAGAAATAGGGGACATTTTGTCGTTATCAAATACGACGTTATAAAATAGAACCAATTACGATTAGCTTCTTTCGGTTTTAAATACTCATATTACTACGTGATATTGGTTTAAGACTATAACGAAGGGCAACCGTTTTTTCAGCAAATTGCCAACTACGAGCGTCAGATTTCCGAGATCAAATCTAGGCCTACTGTGAACTCGAGGTTTCGATGTAGGAAGCTATATACATATTTTTTCAAGCAAAAATGAGCCACTTTTAGATATCTATTTTTGATCGTCGAAAACACTAGTAAAGATCTTGTTTTACACGAAAAGGTTGATGCTCGGCAGCCTTACAACCCCTAGCTATATTAAGTTTGTGCGACCATTTTTTTGACTAATTTTTAACGATGTGCAACAAACAGTATTCAATTTCACATGACAAAACTGATATCATTAATCAATGAAAGGAACAAATACAAAACAAGTAACCACAGGTCCATCGCTCAGTTTTCTGCTGGATTAATTTGACTATTCATAAGCATTGCACCCTCTTCAGTTAACAACCAGCAGCCTGCAGCGTACCAAAAATTACCATTTTTATCGAAATTTAACACAATGAAACGTTTTTTAAATATGAAATTTGTGATCCCGTTTCGCTGACACTAAATCACGATGTAGGGCCCAGTTGTGGTGTGAAAGTCATTACGATAACTTAGAATATTCACACAATTTCTGTAGTTTGTGTCGGCTATTAAACAACAAAGACTTGATTAGAAGCTCTTATTATCCCTTCGACGCTGGGTCGCTTTAAAACACACGAAGAAGCTCTGATAGAAGATTCAGAGCCGTTGTATTCATCCATGTGAATCATGAGTGGTCTAGCTGGGTTGCAAGAACTTAAACAATATTATTATGCGCGATTATTTACAAAAGGGCTGGCGTTACCATCATTATCAACACAACGCTAGTTGCCATCGGGCGTCGGGCTTTTACCCACTTGATCAATAGCCGTATCGTTGTTTGGTCGGCGTCGATTACGACTAACTGATTCTGTCACTCTTATAGAGATGGTACACCGACAGGCAGTATACAACATCCCGTTTGAGAGTGCCGACTATAATCGCGTATTCACCTCGTCTGTGGCTCAAGCTTAGTATTTAACAGGAACTATATCAAACTTAGCGATACGAATATTGTGCTATGTTGTTCGACTAAGGCACCTACTGCCATTGAAGAGATGTTGATATCGATAAGATACAACGAGATCACCTCGGATAAGAAGATCACCACTGACACTCCTGGGTCGATATGATGAAAGCAGTAACGGAAATAGCATCATGATGCTCATCACCGGAAGAGCGAACCTCGAAAGGCACGGCGGAATCTTCGAAAACAACACTCACGAATAGAAAGGGAAGGACTTCGGAAAATAAAAAAAATAAGCCGCAATATTCTATGTTTGCCCTGTTCAACATGTTCATATTGGGCAAAAGTTATAGCTAACAGGCTGTGGAGAGGGGCTTCCTGGATCGCAGCAGCTCCTCCTGCCGGAAGCCAATGTAAACACACGATGCCTACGCAACCTTGACGTCGTTGAACACGGTCACAAACGAGAAAAGGGCAGGAGCGAGTCGTGTCTAACACGCAGCCGTCACGCTTCAACGAATTATTGCAACGTCCTTGCCTTCCAGAAAAGCTAGGAAGTCGGGAAGCAGAACTGGAGTGTAGACCTCGTAGTGATTTCGTTTCGCCTCGAACGAGACAGTGAGTAGTTGCAGTGGTGGTGGAAAATTACTTGTGAACAATTATTTTTCGTATGCTTTTCGTAAATCTCAACAGGGCCTTACAAGATAATGTTGTCTGAGGAAGTTAAAGAGATGTGTGATCTTTTCTGAGGACACTCGCTTGCATAAAGTAACTTAAATTTCTTAAGTTGTCTATTATTTTTGAGTCCAGCCATTTGATATAAGTATAGTTTGTATGGTTCTGCCTGAAGGACAACGATAGTTTAACATTAACGATGAATTCATCTACTTTCTACGGATAGAAAGCTACTTTGGTAATGTGCTTGCTATATTCTGATATAAATAAAATATAAAAGATACATGGAGTTAGAGAACTGTCATGTATCTTTTTCTATGCCTATTACTCATAATAGACTTGAAGTGCAGTCACAAAGCTTGCCACTCCAATGAACGTATACATTTCTCAATGTAGATTTTTTTTTTGCAAATATAATGTTATTTCAGGTATTTATTGATCTTTTCAAACTGCAGCTCCCATCCCGTGCAGATCTGGCAATTTGATGCGCCTATGACATGTTCCTGAAGCTATTAGATGGCAATTTCTCGTTCAGTTATTACACAGCTACACGGAATCGTATAGTGTCCTCGTAGGCCTTAATTAAGTCGCTTGGTTTGTCAAGCTACTTGGCATCGCGTTGGCATCAATTCTCTAAACCGACGCGCGATGATACCGCTGTTTCGGAGCTCGATAGTCTCTGGTAGTATCACTAGTACTATTTGCCAAAGTTTTTTATTGTTCTATTAAGTGCGTGCACTTAATGAAGCGTTTTCGTTGGCCCGTTCTTTCGAGGTGTCAAAGGATGGCTGCTACTGCTGCGATATAGGCGGGGACGAAACTACTCCATCTAGCATGTGACTGATTAACAATTTTTTTTTATAATTATTATAGTATCGTATCGGATAAAGCTAATGAAGTTTCTACACAGACATAGCAACGTAAAACGTTTTGGTAATATAGCCATGCATTACGCAGTAGCCCAGCAAATTATGCAGAATCCACTTTCATTTATCAAAGGTAATAGATATGCATTTCCGCCATTAATCAGGCAAAGAAAAACGAAACCTACCGACTTAACAGACTAACAGTAAGCAGCTATAACACATTATCTTCTCCGGCCATAGACACAATAGCCGCAGTTTCTTCTAGGAAAAATAAAATCTTCTCTTGAGCTTAGCTGAATAATTGAGTCCTCCACACAGAATCATTCGCGGCCAATGTAGTCGACCTCAGGCCCATTAAACTCCACAAAATGGGGCTATAGATATGAGCCACATAATATAAGTCTTTCACAAATGTATTGGCTTAATGCTTTTTTCTTTCCCAGCGCCAGTTATTTTCAACAGCGATGTTAAGGAAATCTTTACCCACATGCTCCTTATTTCCGCTATATATATAATGTATATGTATAGACTTTAATAGAACAGTTTTTGAATCACGCGCCGCTAACAGTTGAAATTCGGTTTGTAAGTACCTGGGTCTTCTATAAATTTTTGAGTAAAAACCACTTGAATTTACTCTAGAAGAAATGAGCTTAGAAAAAAAACATCTTTTAGTCCCAAAAGTCCATACTCAGCAGTCAAGTTTTTGACCTTCGAAGGCACAGACAAGAACGCAGTACTGCAATTTAGAAGGTTTTCCACGAAAGCAGAGTGTGGAACCTAAAGGTTCCGTTGGTCAAATGTAATGTACCACATGTAACATGTTGCAAAATTAAAACCCAAGTACAGAATTTACAGAAATTGAACAAAAAATGGGTCTCTTGTGCATTGATTCCAAGTTAGTGGAAATGCATGTTTTGTATCTTTACCCTTGTATATAACTTTGCTTGTAGTGCACGATTTTCGTACATTAGACATGGTTCAGACTCTATTACTAGACGAGAAGGACCCAAGCAACAGAGTGTTATTGCCCTTAAGACAAATCGACTTCGGAGGTAAAGTGATGGCTGTACTTGCAATAGACGCCAGGGGTATCTGCTACTATGAGATACGTGCCGAAAATGATATGATGAATGCAGTCTTCTATGTCGAGTTCCCCAAAAGACTCCTGGACTGTTCGAAGGCACGTAGTCTGGGGACTTAAGTACAACGCCAGACCTCACGTACTTCCCGAACTGCGCAAAGGAATACCCAGCGTTGGCTTCAACCCGCTTATTCTTCCTCCCTAAATAATTGCAAAACTTGATCCATACCTATGCTTTGAAAAGGGCAACTGTTGGGCAAGCGTAGCCTACGACTGATTTACTCCGAGAAGCCATGGGCTAGAGAAATTACATGTGGAAACGCAAATGGTGAACATACGACCATCCGGAGATTGCCAGAGCCGTGGCACAAGTGCGAAAGAAATATAAAAAGAGTACCTTGAAGACGATTATCCTAGTCCAACTAGTTAAAACATCATTTAATTTCAAAGTCCACCAGATTCGCGTGAAATCAAACTAATAGGTTTAGCCTAATTCACTTGGAAAACGTTTGTTTTCGGATTTTGATTACTTCGTGCGTGTCGACTTGCTTTGATAAGAGGACTCAACGATTGTTATTGCTAATAGGTCTAAATAGGCATAGACTGTTTCTAAACATCTCATAGTGCACATGCTTCGTCGGTGGCCCATGGTGCCTACTGTGAAACTTATGAATTTACTAAATACTCGAAAAATCTAAAAAAGATTTAGCATTACTTCGACGAGAACTATCTAGCCGAAACACCGTTGTGCTGCGACGTGCTAGCAGCTATGGGAGAGTGCCCACTTGAAGACGTTCGATGCGGCTTAAATTTGAGACAAAGGAAATATATCCCATTTCGTGCTGGAAGCGAGCACTTTGAAACAGTGCTCAATACGTAAAGCTTGAATCATTTATTAGGGTATCGGTGCCGCTCAGAAATAGTGTGTGTGGTATAATTCGAACGACATAGAACTACTAATCCAATGCAACGGTTAAGCTAAGGGGCCCTCGTAATAAACCGAGTCTCAATCTGCCTTTTATATATCGTTTCAGAAATAACCATGATCAATCCGGAGGAGGCATATAGTTACGAGGAGATGGTGAGTGAACGCAGAGTTCACATATAGTTCAGCAGTCTGATTCGTCATAATTACTTGATACGCCATTCGGATCACGACACGATCACTGATATCTGCTTTAGACAGGCAATATTGTTAGCTGGTGTATTATTCAAGTTGAATGTTATTATAGCCAAGTGAAAATTGCCAATGTTCTTTAATCTCGACGTTAGAAACCATTTCTACAGGTAAGAAAAAATTGTGAGTCACAAGGAAACGCTTCCTGTACGATTTCAATGGTACATCGCTTGCGAGCTTGGACGAGAGACGAACAAAACAGTTAATGCATCTTTTAGATTTGGATAGAACACCGACTCAGGCTCGAGTCAGCGACATGTTTCAGTTTACTCTAAACTTGGAAAAGTTTTTAACATCAATCGTTATTAACAAGCTATGGTCTGTTTTACCTTTGCTGGTTATTGTGGTACGCGCAGGTGGAGATCGCAAACTTTCTACAAACGAAGACTCAACATCGACCCTCAGTTGGCATTATCTGCGGTTCGGGTCTTTCGTTTTTAGCTGACCTTCTCGCCGAGAAGGATATCATCAAATATGAGGACGTCCCGCGGTTCCCACGGAGTACGGTAAAAGGCCACAGTGGCCAGTTGGTGTTTGGTAAATTATCGGGCAAAGTCGTCGTCTGCATGCAGGGTCGAATCCATCCATACGAAGGCCATCCCATGTGGAAGTGCGCTATGCCAGTTCGCCTTATGAAGCTATGCGGGGCCAGCATCCTAGTGGTAACGAACGCCGCTGGTGGACTTAATCCCAGTCTTAAAACGGGCGACATTATGCTTATTAAGGATCACATCAATTTTGCTGGTCTGGCTGGTAACCATCCTCTTCGGGGTCTTAACGACGATCGTTGGGGCCCACGATTTTCTAATATGAATTGCGCTTATGATCCAGAGCTTTTGAGGCTAGCACGTGATGCAGCCTTGGAGGTTGGTGCTGGTAGTTTTCTTAAGGAAGGCGTCTATTGTATGTTGGGAGGACCAAGCTTCGAAACCGTTGCCGAAGTTAAGATGCTCCGCTTACTCGGAGCTGATTGCGTAGGTAGGTAATCTCTAATTCGACTATTTGTACGTTCGAACAAATCTACGCTACAAATCGTTCGAAACTGCAATTTTTGAAGCAAGTTCTCATCATTTTTCCTTGTCTAGTAAGATATATATACCTCACAAGCGATTCTGTGTTTTAGGCATGTCAACCAGTCACGAGGTAATCGTGGCCAAACACTGTGGATTGCGCGTCGTCGGCTTATCGCTCATTACCAATGAGGCCGTGGCATCATATGAAGCTAATCAATTCGCTTGTCACGACGAGGTGCTGGCAACTGCCCGCCAAAGAGCAACAGTCCTAGAAAAGATCGTGTCACTTCTCGTCTTTCGAATGCACTAGATTTCCCAAGAAGGAAAATTGGCACCTGCCGATCAATGTGTTCAATGCTCCATTAATACCAATATCGTAATCTTATACCGCCACGAAATGGATCCGTTAAAGGGCTATCCTGTAAGCGGCAAAAAGCTATAAAAAATGTTCAGCGATCTTCACCCACGAGTCCACTGTTGCCGTGTGTCTTACGGGGCTGAGACAGCAGTGCCAATGTTACATAGTATCTGGCTTAATTACATACGTAGCTATAGCATATTTATAATTTTACATGTTTTCCAATAAGGAATCGAATAAGTGAATCCGCTGTAATGTCGAAAAGGGAAGTTAGATAAGATGTTCATTTGTTAGGCTCATGCCTTTGGGGTTAGAAAAAAATGATGGATCTGGACACCTTTTCCATGAATCGGCAGAATGACTATGTCCAATCTACCCGGCTCACTGTTGTAGTTTAATTCCATAGCGAATATTCCCATTATTATAATTTGTGTATAAAACAAAGCCAAAGACTGTAAAACTATTTTTATTAAGGAGAAAGCTATTATTATTTACTAGGTTACATTAACAACGACACGTGTTGTTATATATATATATATATATATTGGGCATTGCTAACTAATAATACTTAATAAATGTGCGAAATTTCACTTTTCTCAGCTGTCTTGATCTAGATTTAGTCTTACTGTTCTATAGATTCTGTGTTAGCTAGACAAAGGTATAGCTAAGTAAAGCACAAATGATCATTATCTATATCAAAAACATTGATGACTGCGATACTTATAAAATTTAACAACAAATTATAACAAACGGCCAGAGTAGCATAGGCCTATATGAGACAGAGTATTTCGAGCATCTGTATTTCAGAGAGCACACATTTTTATCCGTTAAAAAGTTGATGGTGGAATGAAAAGAGTCCAACCCGAGAAACATCCCTGAGTTAGCAACAGAATGAAAAACGGGTCAGGATGCAAAAACTAAGGTCGCTTATTTAACTAACACTTTGAAGCCGTAGAATGGGTTCTTCTTCAGTTGATCAGTGATCTATGATGAACTTGCCTATAATGATGAACGAGGAAGCCCGGGCCATCTTGTTTAGTTGAACGGAAAAAAACACTGACAAGAAAGAGAACAAATTTGTGCCACATCGTTGAATCCGCAAGTAAACCAATCGTAACCGCGTCTCTTAGAAACATAGACAATCATGGATACTGCAACACAAGCGTGTGGAAGGGGTAATATGCTAGATAATTTAAAAATCCGAAATTAAATTCGTTGTGTATACGTGCTGTGTCAAACGGCAAAAGCTGTTGGCGCTGGATTTCCTGTTCCTTTCGGTAATTTAATTCAGTACTTGAAAGTACGTTTTACAAAAGAGCTTGAAAGCGATAAGGGTGCAATAAATAATTAATGTCGGACAGTAAATCCTATTAGAATAATTCAATCAATCCGATCAAGAAAATTGTTACAGGTCAGATACCTAAAGTGAGGCGCGAAGCTTTAAAAATATTTTCAAAAGCAAACATATGAGATGCCCTATAGGTTGATTTAACCTGTCCCGGGCGTCAACCTTCAGACAACAGAATTACGCCCCGAACTGAATCTCCAATCTAAGGTTGAATTATGTACCCTTCTTGTTTACACATAAAAAAAAACTAATGGGCCTATTCTAGCTAATTGTCGTGACCTTCTTTAATTTGATACCAAATTTTTATATTGTATCTTAGTAATACACTAAATTAAATGTAGAGCAGCATATGTTTGTTCATTATTTTGTCAGCATCATCTCTTACCTACATTCTATCATGACTATCGTAATAATGATATTGCGGAAATGAAAGATTCGATCAATTTTCATTTTTCTTTATGTTTATATACAGTACCTTAGATCGTTTGCATGATTATATCCTTGTTTTTTTTTTTACAATTGTCTAGTCTCTTAGTTGTATACATGTACATAAATGATTCTTGCTTTTGAGACAGTGTACCTTCTACTATAAATATGTACATAAGTGGCGATTGATAGACAGATGCGCAGTAGACAGAACGACATGAGCTTATTTGGAACGATGTACGAAAATGACATAACTAACGCTGATCACGCACGGCGTGTCACTGCGTATTTGAGCAGGCTGTCTCCACAAAATCAGTTTCTGTTGTGATCCTGAACGTCAATAACACATAAAAAGTACAAAAGGTCTCAGACAAAAGTTCATCTACAACCCACGTCGTACTTCAGAACAGCGCAAATATATCAGCTAGGTATAATTTATACGCTGATACTTGGCGAATTGTAACCGGTTAGTTTGCGCAGATTTGCCCCGATTTTAAGGCGCCAAGCAGGTCTGTGTCTCGATGAATACGTGCTTAATCCTTTACTAAATCTACATACACAGTTTTTATCTATAGGTTCTATTGCAAATCATAAAGCAATTCAATCACTAAAAAATGAAAGAAAACTACGGGTAATAATGACGCCGATTCATTACAAGCGTCGCAATGTGAGTCTCCATTTGAGCTTCGCTCCTTTTAGACCGTCGACGTAAACCGGCTATCAGACTAATGAGGGCCGATGAAAAAGTCCGGAAGAGGCATCGCTGTGAACCGTAAGCATTGACATGCGGGCATCCGCATGCTGATATCTCTTATGCGGTACTGATGCGACCAGCTCAAAACGACGGCTATCAATTAACCTGTAACGATATTGTTCAATCAGAGAATCGACAAACAACGTACGATGTGGCTGGGAAACTAGAACAGTTCCGGCCTCCTGGGGCTTTTTTTACTAGTTTTTTTCCTGCATTTAGTATCATTATTATTTGCGTTCTCTACCAATTGCCGAAGCTACCTAATGCCAGCTAACGCGCTTTTTAATGCAAATCAGAATAGCTAAAGGACAAATATCTGCTTAGGCAACACAGAACTCAACGAAGTTTAACGTGTTGTAACTATAGCCACCGTTGAAGGGGCTCGTTTTCCGGTCTAATATAGCAATGAGGAGGAAATGATCTTGGTTCGACACAGAGACAACGGATGTACAAGGACGACAGGAGCCCATATTTTTAGTAAGTAACCCCACTATAATTATTTCTCTGGGCAGGATGCAGACGTATAATGCACTATGCACCCAATCTCATACCTAAATAAAACTTGGCTACCAACAAACTGCTAAATATACTCTAAAGTACAAATCCGTTATTTTGGGCTCGAGCTCGTATGCGGTATCCGAATGTGTTCGTAAAGCAGTTAGTATCATGCCTCTAGTGTCACTCACGTGTAGCCTCACTTAGTCCTCACCTGGCGTAGGTTCTCTTAAGCTGAAATTGCACCTCCCCATTGCAATAGCACAGAACCAGTGAAACGAAGATGCCTTGAGAGCTGATACAACACCAGGCGATGTACGATGTCAACAGGGCGTTCGCACACGCGGCTCCGGAGGCAAACATCGATACCACGTAATGAACACCGAACAAGGGTGTAAGCAATAGAACGGCACGGAACACTCGCCTGTAGGTGACCCGTTATATACACAACAGTAGCTGCTTCGTAAGGGTTTTTCGGTAAATGTTTAATATGAGTGAAAAATTATAGTATCAATATTGTACCGAGTACTTCAATTAAGCTTTCCAAAGAATATATGGTGTGACAGCTATTGTTGATTCGCTCGCCATTTTATCGAAAGCTCCCATATATAATGCTGTCGGGACCTCTAACGCGGAACAGTCCAGTCACTAAGTGACTTTTTGCTGGCTATATCTTGCTCACCGTCTAAGTCGACCCTAGATATCGGACCGGTCCATGTCAAACGTCCCGAAGCTACGCTTTTGAAACATTTAAGGCTTTCCATATGCACGCTATTCACACGAGGCTCGTGAACGTAAATGCGTGCCACTGAAAAAATTATCGAATTATCGAGCGACAATAGCGCATTGCAAAGATCGTGGAGCGAACTTCCAATGGGAAAGCTTCCAAGCTAATGAAATTTGACATGATACAATGCCTTACTTGAGATTATTTTCTGTCGCCTCGTCGCCAGAACTGTCCGGTCCTCGAAGCTTGGCCACCAGAATGACCATTACACGTACCATGAGAACTACGTTCAACTAAGGTAAAAATGAATTATAAAAATCTATTATCAGTTTCCGATGTAGATTGTACGACTAAAAGTTGAGTGTTCGCAATTTTATCCGCAAGAGAAACCTTAATCCATGTACTCGATATCTGAAGGCGCCCTTGAAAGAACAACCTTGATAAATTATAGCATATTGAATAAGCCATCAATACACTCAAATCTGTTTAACTTACCAGTAAGCACAAAGTAGCTGGAATTGTCACAATATAATCGTATAGAGTTATCGAACGCCAGCAGCTGAAACAATCGTCACAAAGCGAAGTAGTAATACTTTGAAAGGTTTTACAAAACAGTGAAGCTCGATACGCTTGTTTAATCCTAGGTATTTGCACCAAATCGTTGCCACTCTTCGGATTCAACAAAGAAATTCAGGTACCTAATTAGATAGGATCAAAAACGTACACCAAACACTACTTAACCTGACCGTGTTCCGCGAGAAAGAGGGATGGAAGATTCACTCACGTAGCTGTTTCAGGCTCGAAAGTAGCCTATTTGTAAAAAATAGCAGACATTATAAAATAACAAAAAAATCCATGACAGAACTGTGGTGCCTATTGAGATTAATATCAAAGGTAATAGTAATAATAATAAATATGTTTCGTAGAATCGCGCATACTCTCCATTGGTGAAACATGCCGACAGAACAGCATAAATTATAACGCAAACAGCTGGAATTCCTGCAATTGTCAGAACAATCAAAATTTAGCTAAACTTCCAGGAGTAAGTTCAGAAATAAAGTGTTACACTTGAATTTATTTGAAACAAGCTATCTACACGTGTGAAAAGCGCGTTATATATATATATATATATATATATATATATATCGATGAATCGATACTTTGATCAGCGTTTTTCATCGACAAATTTCTATTGAAAGTCGTATTAGAGTTAGGGAATGATGAAGACACACAATTACGTTGAAGGTAAAACTGACCCCATCCAAAGGCGTAGTACGATGTTAACGATCGATAATCGATGAAGGCCTGTGACACTAGCGTATGCAGGTAGATCCCCTCGCAAAGCATCCACGCGAACTGCGATGCCCAGAAATATTTTTGCAGAACCTGAAGCGCTTTGCACCACCACTGCACACCACGATGAAAGCGAAGAATCCATCTGTTAAAACTACCGTATGACTTTCGGGCTCCATGATAAACTGCATATGGTACGCGATAGTAAAATGGCTCTGAGGTGAATCGTCGTACGGATCCGGTGGCCGACCGGTTATTCAAAGTTGATATTTAAATCGGGCCTCTGATTTTTGAAGTTTTTTCGAATCGTCTTGTCCTCGATCAGGCCGAAAAATCCCATTTACCACAACGAAAGAAGTGATAACTTTACAATCTAGCAACATATTTTACGGCCTGTTAATCAAAAGTATGCGAAAAGAATGAGAAGATCGTTCTCACGCACGTGAAGGGTTATCACTGCTCATAACAATGTAATTATATAATATGGGCTTGATATCTTGAATTCATCTACCGACCGTATTTTGGACTATTCGACTTAAGACAGCCGTGCTGACTGAAGCCTGTCGGCTAACGCTAGGTAAGGTGAGGACGCTGTGCTCAATTAACTGGAACAACGACGATAGCATCACTGATAAAACAAGTTGTTTATGCATCGAGATTCGTTGACAACGCAATGCCCTGAAAGAAATACGAGAGAAAAGAACTAAGAACGAGCGCAACCCCAGTATCATATAGAAGTCGTATTTAGCTTACAAAAATAGTTTGTGCTATGAGAATTATATATGCATACGAAAATATTTAATTAATCATTTTCAGCGCTTCTTCTGGTCCGTATTATGACTAGAATGTAAAACTGGAACTCCGGTCTGGAGCAAAAAAAACCTGTTTGAAAGCTATGTCAAAAAAACGGAGAACAAGGAAAACGCAATATGCGTACGAGGTGTTACAATTAACAAAAACTGAGTAAAAAAATGTTCATTGATTTTCTTTTATATCCAATGACGACGCAGTAAACATTGCGTCTTCACGGTCCTTAAAGGCCAAGACTAATCGAACCTAAGTGGGGTGATCGACTTATTTAAGCTCAATGTATATTAAAGAACATTTTTCTGCTTTCAAGTTAGCCATGAAGATCTTATTAACAAAGTGTCAGTTTCTGAAATTATAAGTGCATTAGCAGTCAGGATGATATTCAGAATTGTTAATTAAATCGTTCCTATTTACCTAAAGGAGCTAAAGATGGTCACCGCAGGTAGACAGAACAGTACGCTGAAGGTGTATAACGTAATAGCGAAGTAGTATACCGAAGCGATTTCCTCCTGAAAATTTAATGAGCTCTATAGCTGTTAGTCTAATCGTACCTGGATCGTCGACCAGTTGTTGATGTCAAATACGAACGAACAGAAGTACATAATTTGAAATGTCGCTTTTCCTTAGTTTTACTTGAAGTGTATTATCGTTATATTGCCCAGTTAACAGCGAGCTTAACTACAATTGGCGCCCACTTAACAGCTATCAGGATTTCAAGCCTGTGGGGCAAAAAGGGTACGTCTCATGGAATTAGCATAGACACGATTGCAACATACCTCCCGCTCTTTGAGAGTACAGCCGGAATAGTCTGTGTATTCATCGGTCTTATTAGGTTTGCGTCTCCATGTGCCGTCGAGTAAGCAAAGCCTTTGTGAAGTATGTACACACTGTAAGAAAACGTCAGCAACACTTAGGCTTGCAAAGGTCGCAGAAGGTTTGATACAGTTGATACTTCCCAAAAAATTAGATAAAGGCTTACCTTAGGTGGTTTCTCGTAGAGAAATTTAGGGCACTCGTTGTCCACAATCGATCCAGGGGTGGCATCGTCGAAGCATGTGAGAGCATCCCAGGTTGCCCTACAGTGGCCAGTGTCGGGAGGGTATGTGTAATGGTGTATACGTTGGCAGCACTCTGAAGCGGTATCATGACATATACAATGAAGGGTATTTTAGTTGAGCCATTTAGATATGTGTAAAATGACGGCCAATATGTGTCATGTTTTACCCTTTTACGAAACAAAGCCGGCTATGTTTCTAATCTGTTTTAAATTAAACAATAGATGCATGAAATAACGAGACAGAGATGAACAGAAATTAACGTTCTGTTATGCTATGAATATGCAAAATCAATTCATTTTTTTATAATTTCCCTAAACGAGAACTTACCTGTACCTGTGTCTTATTGTTTTGGATTGTCTATGGCCTTTGAAATGTTCTATAGTTTTTTGACTTTATTAAAGATTCAATAATAACATATTTAGCACAAGTACTATATGATCTGTGTTTGTTTTGCTCTATATAACTCTGAAAATAGCTCAAATTTTAAAGAATTTAATCCAACGAACCACGCAAGGTTCAACTTAAAACTGGTCTCAACTAAAGTTCAGTAGGATGCAACAATGTTCTACTCAACTTTTGTACGCTGCTATCACTGAATGAAGCTCTTTTTAATGAGAACTTCGGGAAATTTAACGGCGGACCCTTAAATGACTTTAATTAGTTACACATCATCTGTGTTAGCAGTTAGCAGCCTGCGTGATCGAAAAGTTTTCAACGACGCTATGTTAAGAGACATATATTAATAAGTGATGCCACGCTCTTCTGCTCTCATTGGGATATACCGAAGGCTCTCGACAACGAAAATTGCATAGATCCTTGCTATCGATCATTACTTAGAAAATACATTGGCGCAGCGCAATCTCGGGCCCTGGTTGTTTCATTTACAAAGGGAACAAACACATTTAGCCCCGAAACGCTACTCGTACATAACAGCCGAGAGCCGTTTTCAAAGCACTTGGGGAGATGCGGATGCACCTGCTAGAAGCCTTATCTAAATCTAACAACGATTTTTCACATAGTTAGACGACGAGAATTATGATAGATTTAGGACAAACCCTGTTTGCCTTAGGCTCTATAGACAACCACTCACCAACTGCAGCCTTTACACAAGTAAGCCATCGAAACTCTGCCCCGGGGACTCCCTCCAGCGCTTTTGCGAGTCCGCCTTTGCGATGTACAGTATCAGGTAGATGGCAGTCGCCTTCGCTAAAAGAACGTGCATTGCCGTTGAAACATATGAAAGGTAACGCAAGGCAGGGTTTTCTGTTTAGGTAATTTGCTCCTGTGTAATAAAAGCATTCCGCTGCCGTGTGAAGGTGAAACTGCTCAGGATCCCTGTAGAAGTAATGGTTTCGTACGGAACACTCCCTTCGTCCAAGGATTGGGGCCATATCGTCAACATCCCAATCTTCTAAAGACGGACTATTTGAAGCGTTCAATTTCCATGGGGGCTGGAATGGGCAGGTACGCTGGCTAGCAATTGCCTGATGACCACCATTAAAGTCAAACACGGACTTCATTTAGATATCAAATGAAAAATCAATTCGCAGAGATATACGAGCTAATATAAGATTACATGAATTTATTAGGTCAAACACATATTTCTATTACGTGCAAACGTTCAATCTCTATAAAGTTTTCGAATCTGCCTATACGACAGTGATTCTCAGATGTAATGCAATGATTTCTATTCTGTAAAAAAAAATAGCCAAAGAAAGCTTTTCTGTCAAAATATAAACGCTATGCAGACGCTGAAGGACACTATCCATAAGTATGTACATCTTGTTTGTTCTACCATCGTAACTTAGTATGGGTCAGTATGGGCCTGAAACATATGTAGGGAAATAGAATGTCAGAAAATGTAACTTCATTTTTTTTTAGATTATACTAAATGAATTGAATATGCTATACCTAAAATACATCATAATAATAATAATAGTCCATTTGAGATCTTTTTTCGGTACATTACTTCTACATAGAATTTGTCAAACCAGAAGAATTTATGTACGCCTCCGTTTTGAAAGCACGTAAGAAGAAGAAGTCTAGTACACGTACGGAACGTACGGATGTTTGCTGTACTCTATATGATGGGTAGAAACAATCATATCTGTGAAGACCTACAGGAAACTTATCTTAAACGCTTCACGGCACCGCGGGTCATTTAAAAAAAACAACTAATAAAAACGAAAGATAGAGATAAAGCAAATCTACTAATATAATTACTCGTAATTAGCTTCATGAACAGGAATAATAACATACATGAAATTTTTTCTTTTCTCACCTTTAGTGAGCCAGCGACAAACACGCACAACAGGACATGGCTAGGCGTCATTTTCGAATTGACTTTTCATTCCTGTCTCTGGACCGACGTTCGATCACTGTCGAGGAATGAGCCTAAAATATTTATCAAAACATTACATATTCAGTATAGACACATGTAGTATTCGTCATTTCTATTCTATTCGACACGCTATTACGCATTGTATGACATGAAAATAGCGACATCCTCAAATCAATAATAACAGCGTATGACTCGAACAGTGTACTAATGATCAACAGATACAGTTCTGACCATGATTATTTGTACCGTTTTTGTGGCCGCTTTGACCTACTATGGCAACAAGAACAGCGAGTCCATTAGGGTTTCCCTTACGACCTTAATTTCACATACACTTTCATAGCCTTGGTTAATCTTGTTCTAGCCCAAAGTCAAGTTTGCGCGTGACTTCATCCAGCAGATGGCCATAAGCATGCACACAACCTAGTTATATAGGTGCCCATTATCTCTGTACGTAGCTATTGCTCCAGCTAGCCGTCCAAGCAACCTAATGAATAGCTTTGCAAGAACCCCCATCATGTCCTACCTAACCTTACATAGACGCTATCAATTTCTGAACGATGCACGTTTTGTAGCCTGAAAGGAGTAAGCGACTCGATGCATTGTCTGTTTCTCAGAAGCTCTGACGCATTTATGGCGCACTTCCGGGTGATGCCTGCTCCTTCCAACAGGGTTTGCGTGACAATTAAACGTTAAATCAGTACGGAAACTATGTTTGCTTAATTTAGTACTAATAAAGACGCTGTTCTCCATTTGGTTTCGCGCGATGGCTTTTGTCTGGCCGATAGCCAATGGCACCAGCGGTGATCTAGCTACAGTATAAAAGTAATCACTATAAAATCGAGTGATCCGTTTATAATCGATTATTTCCACCTGGGACGTAGCGCTACAATTTGACAGTGGTCACTTAGCAATCGGTCAAAATTATTAGACCGCCGTTCTTCATGCACCCTGGGTTAAAGCTAGACCGTCTGTAAAAACAGTGCGTAAATAGTTACGCTTTCCTCCGCAATATCTATGGCTATAGCAGCGCTACACAGATACGAATCCAATAGTACATATAGGACACGCCAGCATCAGCGAAACTTGACGATGGCTTTTATTGTTGTCGACGGTTATTCTCCCTCCGAGTTTGGCGTCGCTAGTGGTCGGACGAAGTATTGAGGAATCGCGGAACAAAAGTCAATAATGAAGACATTCCTATATTAATTTTAAAGTCACACAAGCAAAACGCTTAGCAGTTCGTTTCGACGGGTAAGCTCTCCATTGACACCTCAAACCTTCATATCTATGAATGTGAACTGTAGAATTAGAGCAGCCGCCTTTGTTTCACTAAGTTATAATACTAACAATAGAGTCAGTTCACGTGACCTAAACCCCTTTACCCAGTCGACGTGACAGTGAAGTTCCAGCCTATTCATGACAAAAATTAGGGTAGATTCACTCTTTCTGTATGAACTTATTCCTTTGATGACATTTCCTCAAATGCTATTGACTATATGCTTACAACTAGAAAGCACATTGAGTAAATGTTATATCTAAGAACTTTGAAAAAAGGATCTGCCCCTTCAGTGTATTCACATAACGCACGTTCGGGCATTGTAAACTATTTGATCACTTATCTTTTAGAGGATAATGATAGATAACGATTCTTTTAAATTAACTTGCTCGTCAAATGTATTTACTAACAGTATTGTGGCAGATATAAACATAGCTTAATTCATCTTTTTAGCGTGATTTGAATTTTTGTTAGCAGCCTCCGTTGCTTTTTGTGTGTGTGCTGAAGTGTGGCTGAAGCGGTTAATTGAGCTAGATACTGATACTTATTATTTGGCCTAACTTACCTAATTTAATTTGTAAGGTTTCATCTAAGCCGCCAATCGAGTACAAAAATTGTGTTCGAACCACCGTGCGTAGGTTCTTCAAATAGGATCAATTAAGCAGCTACGCAAGTAACCTCACAATAGAAATTTGTAGCTGCATTTAATTTAGATAATTAGTTTATATATATAGTAACTTACTTTGAGACGCTATATTAAAGAAGTTCTTCATTGATAGGATGAGTATCTGGCTATCACGATGTGCATCTAGCAACTATCGGATCCTCTACATCTGATGCCACGTGTTTCCCTCAGGAACCTCTTACTCCCAACGCTCTGTCCTCTCCCGAATTAATCGGAATGCTAAAGATATTCATAAATGATGAATGGTCCGCGGTTCCTTTTTATAGCTAATTTTTTTCCCAATGGTTTGCCAATAAATGCAGAGTAGTATCTTGTAGGAGACGTAGTCGCGGAAGAAATTCATATAAGCGTATCCTTCATATTTTACTACAACACAAGGCTGTCTATACGCAGATTTCTCATTGCAGTCTCTGTGTTTCGTCTCCTTTTCTAAACCTACATAAACAGACAGTTTTTAACGTATTACAGATAATGCTTGCCTTGCAAGCAAGAGACACGACGTCTAAACCACGTAGGATTATCGCTTCTCTTATTTCATCCTTACACCTGCAACGAAAATGATTTTTCTTTGACTTGCTAGCTTCTATAGATATTAACATTTTGCAGTGCGAACGTCACGGATAAACCATACGTGTCTTGTGTGAAAAAGCATCCATGCTATAAACGGTATGACGGCTGGAAGTCTCCTCAGAAATTGGTGCATTTTATAATAAAAATTGTGTACGACAACGCAAAAGCATGCATAGGCGAACCATGTCAACAAATCAATGATGGCAAGAAACCCTGAACCAGTTATGAACCATTATGTGAACAAATACAGAACGACTATAAGCGTACTTTCCTTTCTGACTGTAAGGTAAGCCTAACTCTTCTAATTAGTTATAGACCTGATTCTTCCGATTAACTGTGGACCTACTTTTTTAAAATAAGCTATACAAAGTTGGGAACCTTCCATAGAATGGACAGATTATGCCATAAAATCTTCCTCCATTTGTGGGGTTACGTCTAAAGGTTGACGGTTCTACAAGTTTCTGTGGACCACATGTCAACAAAAATTCTGCTATCTTACACAGCCAGCTGTTCGTGAGGGTTCAATCTGCTGAAAGCTACTCCATGCAGTGGCAGTCGTAAATCGGCTTGTTTGACCTCCAGTCACTTCGCTTCTAATGGATATAAACAGCCAAAGAGTTACCACCCATACGAAGAGGATCCTGTCAGCGGCGTATTGCGGTGCACTTGTGGCGTAACGCGTTCACACAAGTTCCCGATCCGTGCAGACTCCATCAACTCTGATTGTCGACGATATTCTATCGTACTGATATAGATGATATTGGTGATAGTTCGACATTGCGTCTTTTCAGACATAGCCAGCTAATGTCGTTTGGTCAGCATATGATGTGTTTTATTATAGAAGATTAGGCATCATTATAGTTGTTCACGAAGATATTTTTATTGCCCGTCTTTTTTCGTCCGCATTTAATTGATGCTAGGTATTCAATATTTTCAAGAGACAGCCAATTATTAGAGCATAAAGCAAAACCGCAACACGCGGTATCTCAAACTTCCAAGCTAAGCGTAAAGTCATCGATTCGTACAAATGAAACTATGTCTCCATATCATATATGGTAGTCCTTTTATATTCGGTATGAAGTATCTCATTTTTACAATGCAAGCCAGACACCCATCGGGTAGGGCCAATATGACGAGGGTCAAGAAGAAGCCGTACCTATGGCAGAAAAATAGATATGATGAGAACAGGTACACAAAGTTTATCAATAATGAAGAATATATCCACAATAAAAACCCAATCTGTGATCTGTGACAGATATGTTCGTAAGAAATTGTTTATTCAATAGCTGGCTTTTGTTAATATTGTTCGTCGATGGTCGCAAGAGCCATTCGCGAAATTCATCTACAGGAACCAGACGCCTGGCTGGCTGGCTACCGCTTGTAGCAACCGATTTGTAAACATTTTTCCTTCAAAAATTATCAATGTACGTACGAGGAGATTCTATTACAATATAAACGTTGCAGAAAGGTCAATTATTAGTGACGATGTGTACGCAATTTTCACAGAAAGGAACAACGCCTATCGAAATGGTGTTGGTGTCGCAAAATGGATCCCGCGCACTTTTACGTACCACACAGATAAATTCGTAACTCGACCGCTCACTGGCTCGCTCTCGTATCAAGATAAACACGAATACGGCTATCTTTTGAACGCTTTCCCATCATGGCCGGTTCCTTGCGCTGATGAAACTTTGATGTCATCAGCTTATCGGCCCCTGGTTGACTTTTAGCTGACCGTGGCTGCCGCCAAGCGCTAATTTAGCGAGGCACGAGGAGAAAGACATTTTGACGCTCCGTAGAACAATTTTACAGATTAATTGAATCCACGCAAAAATGTGACACTTGCTATAACTGGCTGTTGTCTCTTTTACAAGGACACTCATAATCCTTCACAATAACAGCTTGAATGCAAGTGCTCTAAACAAATCCTCTTCAGTTACAAACTTTATTACTAAAATACAGCATAAATGAAAGGGGCTCCCGTGGCTTCGCTCACGGCAGCTATTTGCTTCGTTCGGGTTTTTGCGGCTCTTTCGCATACATGCAGCTCTATCTTTGAAATGGCGGAACAGGTATTTTTCTCAAGTTTCCTTATCCATTATATCCTTCGAATGACTGTCCTAGCACGCCTTACTTTTTAGGTACACCCATGAAAAGAAGGAAGGGTTATGCCACCCCGGGAGCAGTCGCTCACCGAAGCAATAATTGAATGAAGTAATTACACCGTTAGTTATTTGAGGGTGTGGATCGTGCCGCTGAAAAATACGTATCTCGCAAACCTTCTTCGAAAACTCTGCGTACGGTAGCGAAAGGAGTTCGTAGCACTGTTTAAGACAAAATCTAGTGCTTCCGGTCCACATTGCTGATATTATACTTAAGTGAGATCCTAAATGTATAAATCTAACTGCAACGTTTACTAATATTTAATACTGCATTGTGTCGATCCTACGCTGACTACATTCTGTAGTTGTTCGAGAAACCCAACTGATTCGTGAATTCGTGGCACGCATTTGTCAAAGAACGTCGATATTATGAATAACCCCAAGGGTAATGATTTTACGTGAAAGCGAAGCGTTTTTTGTACTGCTTCTACGGCTCGAACGGACGCTGTTGCTACGAGATAATTAGAGACGATTTATTGCAATGCTACTCGTTCGATGGCAACACTTGAATTCACTGTGAACTATAAATATACACGGGCCGTCTACTTGACGCTTGACGCAGCTGCGAAGTGACGAAGCTCACCTTCGACAATGGGCAAATACGTTTCTCTACGCAGAGAGTCGCACGTTGGAAAACAATGCAGTGGCTACTTCGCTTGATCTATTATATGAATACATACATCTACATAGAGGAGTCATGTTGTTTTGGCCGATCGGCAAACGCAGTACGAATGACAGGACACAACCATCGCTCAAATGATTTAGCCTGTTAATATGAAAAATTTAAGCATCGCAAATATGGACAACGATAGCATAACAGAACTTGAAAAATCCCCCAAAATTTTTCGATGTTGGTATTCGTTAGACGTACCTTAGAAAGTACGGGTGTGGCATGCGCTTCTCGCTGGCTTAAATTTACAACAAAGTACACTGGGTGGTGTACTTTGTTTAATAGGAGCCAAAAGATCTACAATAGTGTATTGCAGCTGAATCAATATACCTGTAACGATCTTTCTAAATAATTTTAGTTGTTAATTATATTTTATTATTAGCGCAAAAAATATTCATTCTATTTTTGATATCTAGAAATTTGTCCTATGCTAGAAACTATAGGTATCTTATATTGTGTGTTTTTTTTTTCTTATTTTTTCTTGAACGTTGGGTTATTGTAGTTGATTGACCATTTACGGTAATTGAAGTGTTTAAACAAAACGTCAATTTAAGTTGCGACTTTGAAAATGCGCTCTAGTATAACTGCCAAGATAATTTACCGCCTAATTGTCCCTTAATCAATAATGCTGGAAACGATTAGACTGACCAGCAGGGGAAATGCATTTAACATTGAATGGGCAACAACTTTATTTCGCAATACAAAATACCTCAATAGCATGCTGTTCGAGGTTCATTTCCTCCCCCGTTCCTGTTTCATCATAGTGAAATATTGCTATTAACCTGCACGCCGTGCATAAAAGCTAATTCGCGCGTATTTATTTTAGTAAGTGTGTTTATCGCCCTGGCGTAGTTTTTTAACACTTGCTGTAATCTGTTTGTAAGTAGGGAGTCTGTTTTTTCGGGCCAGTTTCTTTGGCCGACGAGAGAAATCGGTTGAGGCACAGTGGACTTCCAGCGCGCCCTTTAGTCTTAGCTTGTTTCCTCTTTATCGTCGAATGACTGACTACGATCAGAGAGACCTAGCTACTTTACCTTTTATAATTGTGTTTCGGTTTTTTTAGGTTTTTTGTCGCCAGATGATATCAATGACGACGTTAGTGACAACGAAACTGGTCAAATCTTGCGTCAATCTAAGCTTTATCTCTTTGTCACATAATGTTTGGCGCTCCAACAGGTCCCATGGAGAGAATTACTCCTAGCCATTATGGATGTCCGAAATGACGCGATACTGCAACCTCTACTAGTGCAAAAACTTCAAGCGATGTTCATCTCAATGGTAGTCCAGTTGCCCGTACGATAATTGTCAAGGGAAAATGTTACGGAACAATAGATGCGGCGGTTACGCAATCAGGCCTTGCATACGTTCGTCATATCGTACTGTGATACCGAAGTAGTTTGCCTTTTTGAATCGTTAACAAATTGTCGTAAGAATCATTTGTCTCCGCTTGGATTATAGAGCGCACTCGGCCCAAACATACAGCGTCCTATCCTCATAAACATTATCGTTCATAGAAACTTGACAATTTTCTTCGCGTACAAATTTTAACAGACAGTTGTTGACGAATGCTAGAAATTGTTCGTTGTGTGACAGCGTTTGCTCACTCTTGTTTGCAGCAGTATCCTGCAGTTTCTACACATGACCGGGCAGGCCATATGGCCAACCTGAACTTAAACCGAAAGTTTCATATTGACATACATTCGTGAAAACTGGCAATAACAAGAAGATCTTGAAGTAAAGCAGACGCACTATTGTTCTGATTTGTTGTCACGTTGACAGACACGTGACAGACATGACAGATAGTCATCAGCTGATCAATGCATGTTACCAGGTGTTCGGTTCTAGAGGAGGTGGCGCTTGTCAAGAAGACATGACAAGCCTATAACAAAATATATATGGTATCTATACACGTATATGTATGCGTACGACACGAATACATGTGAGCACATATTAATGCATTTGAATGGCCTTCGGATATGTCACGATACGTTAACAAGCTAATCATTTCATTAAACCGTCTGATTATGGGGCTGGTACCGGTAATCTGCCATCGACATATATGTATAACATAATATTACGGTACGAGTCTGATCAGGTGACGAGACTATTACTGCTGATAGAACATTCTTAAGTCTATGCAAGGTATGACGCGGCCTTGTTGTTTGTCAGGATCGCTTAGTAGGTCATAACGGATTAATTTGAAAATTATGGGCTTTTGGAAAAACTTGGCATAATCCGTGTGAGACACTCTACTGTCATTGTTTAAAAGAATATGCTATACACAAATGTTTTTGGCACTTCACATAGCTGCAATGACTAGCAGACCCTCCGAGCATCGAAAGTCATTTTAGTTGAGCATGACATTGTAAGTAAGAGGCACAAATATCGCACTATGTTATAGCTCAGTAGCGTGTATAGTTCTGCCTACCAAATAAAACGATTTAGCTAATTAGGAATCTTGTTATGCGTATGGCTCTGGTGGCCTACTTTTGTGTTCTGAAGGTTGCAGACCGTTTCACTGCTGCAAACTTTAATACCACCGGTGCCTTTAGTTTTTCAAAGCTCCTGTTCTTTACTGCACCTGAACAGTGTTGGCGAGTAACTATAACACGATATCGTGTTAGAGTCCAACTCGCAATATTTTTGACCCTTTTGGTTGTTTTAATTTCACCCGGGAGAAATCTAGGGTTATCTCGGCTAAACTCCCGGATCACAGAACTTTTTTGACTATTTTGTCAATACGCCTCTTTGCGTCTTTCGACCAGACCTAGGTTAGACGGTTACGAGTGAAGTAAGCTCCCGCAAATAGCGCGAATAATTCCGACAAACGTCGTTGGGCCTTTTTTTCTCCAACTCACTACAGATATACATATAAGTGTGAAAAATCTAAGCCTGTGCTGTCTAAAGGTATTATAAACACGATTCTGCTTGTAAACGGGTGACTTATCCAATCATAATATCATGGTCCCACCTCGGCTATCCATACCGATGATTAGCTGAGAGCTTGTCAAGCACACAAAAACTATGGGTAGCAAATAACCTTTACTTTTGTTTCTAACTAGTGCTTTCGGTTGTCCGGTGTTCATTTTTATCAACCGTTGCCGCAAAAAAGCCGAGAGTACAAATATCAACAAAGATATGTTGAAAAATATAGCCAATATTTCTATTAATTCCGCGATATATGTACAGCAAAATATATTGTCCTTTATGCAGTCTCAAACAGCTGCTTGAATAATCAATATTTCTCCATTCTCAATCCGTAACTACTATTAGGTATGCAATCTTAACTCAGATTGAAAAGCATGCTCACGTCTGATTCGGATCACTGCCGCTATATACGATTTGATTCAATTAAAAAAACCATTTATCAAAAGAAAAACAGACTTCGTCGTTGGCATAATCTGATTATTACTGATTTTTCAACAAAGACACGCGTGTAGGCACTTTCTCTACGAGCACAGACATCCAAGTTCATAATGTATATGCTATATGTCCGGCTATTACCGTTGCACCATACGTATCGCTCAAACTGATACACCTATATGGCGTCTTCTGGTGTGTCGAAAAGTGCGTGAAGCAAGAAAAACCGAGGCAAACACTCGGAGCAGCTCTAAGCACTCCTATTTTACTTTGTCACATATTTATAGGAGTCTAGTTTATGTTCGATATAATATCCTAGTAAAGTCTCTACAGCCGCTCTTGGGAATATCTTGGGAGAACATGTATGATGCTACCTCGAATCACTGGTTACTTACTACCTGTATGGCCAGTGCCGTACCATTGTGCTCCTTTTTATGTCAGTCATGTGAGGAGAGACAAATATTAAGTTAGACTCGATCGAGAACATCAGTCTATTTAAACGTTGCAAATGATAGCATTAATACCATTATTATTATTATAATCTATCTATATAGTCAATACTGTATCCAGTGTCTTAGAGTTTCCTGCCGTTGCATACGGTGTCCCTACGTCATTAGAGCCGAATGAAAATGCTGTAAACCATAAATGTAATTTTTTCTATGACAAAGTACTGGAAATCAAGTAAGGAAAAGCATTCGATACCTCTTATGTGATCCCTGCCTTGTAGCCTTTCGTAGCCCACAGTGACTTTTCCCGTCGACATGCGTTTTTATCTCGCTACCGCCTTCTCATTATTTTATAACTAAGCATATTTTACAAGGACTGCTTTCGAATAACGAGCTGTTTGTGTGGAAACTTGCGAATTGGCGTTCAGGAAATGCTAAAATAGAATCAGACATACTTAGTATCTCAGCTACGTTAAGCGTTTCTCTAGTATGAAGGAAATATGTAGGACATTTACCTAGATAGTTGCCTCTAGCTTGTTTGATAGGGGCATCGAGTTTGTACATTGTAACGGTTAAGCTTGTGAAATAATCCTTTTTTCTCGGGGGGTATATATGCCTTAGAAAAAATACAATGCTCCATAACAAATGGGGGTACATATGCTACCTTATAACAAATCAGGATGACATCTTGTTCTTTAAGATGCGTGTTAAGATTTGATTGATAGCTTTTATCGTTTCTCAATGCCCTGGTGAGTTTTGTCTGAGTTCGGTGCGCCGATTAAGTGCTTTCGCGTTAAAATTTTAATGGCAATAAGCACGCTACTATATATAATAAGCAAATCGTGCTTAATACATTGCGTCAAGTATTTTGTTTCATGGAGAATTCACTTTTAAAAATCTGAGTAAATAATAGCATTAAAGCAAATTCTACAAGTCGCAAAGTTCTTTTTTAACAAGTGTGCTGCATGTTTGAGGGCGGGAGCTCTACCTGTGATATTTTAACAATATATGCTAATTCACATCAAAGAACGGAAGGAGAACAAAATCGTATTTTTTTCTCAGTAAAAAAATACGTCTAAACAAAATGCGTGATAGTCGGCTCAGGCGCAGACATTTAAAATATATACAAATACAACATAAGATCCACTCACTAAGTTTGCTGATTCAAAATGGCGATCCAAATTGTCTCGCGCTATCAACGTAGACCAGATGTGATAGAATTTTTAACGGACCATCACCGTACACGATATCCCCAGAATATTCAATATCCCCTTTGTCTTTCTCAACCGCAAATTGATTGTGATGCAAAGTGATAGTGGAAGACATTTCTTTACGAAAATAGTTAGTCACGATTGACAAAAAACAACAACAAGCAGCACAGCAGGAATGATATTAACGTCTAGGTAGCGCGTCGACTTGTTGGCACAGTATAAAAATACAGTGCAACAGCGAATTAGGCGCGTCGCAGTAACTTGACATCATTGACGCAATGGCTGACACAGGTGTCAGTAGACTCAGAAGAAGGGGATTGGTATGTGCTAGTCCTATAGGCCAAGCCCTGTAGCCTCATAGAGTTCAAAGCCTACCCCGTAAACTAGGAAAAAGAGACTGCCCAGTCTGCTAAGGACATCTTAAACACGGAGGAGACACTCGCTTCAGGATAAATTGATTTAACCTCTGCATAAGTAATGTCGTTTCATTTGGTGTCTATACAAATCTAATGTGTTTTTGTTAGAGCCACATTAACGACGCCAAATATCTAACCGTTAAGTTGTGTCAATTAATTCGGTTTCCATGTCTGCCTCAGTTTTACTTAAACGAGACTGGTTGACTTGTACCGCATATCATGCAAGCAAAAGGGGATCTTATATGATGATACCTCAAGAGTTCTCTTGCATACGTTTAATAACGGCGATATCAGACAATAGTCGAGTCATAAATATCGTATCGTCTTAGCCATATTGCACGCAAAGCTCGTCTTTTGATTTTTAAGGCGGTCGTTAGGTGCTTTCTTATATACTCAGGCGCCATCATAGATCAATGAATATGGTGGTAGTAAGAAAACCCAGCGGATCATCCCTAAGAGACTTGTATATAAGACCTTTGGTAAGAGTTAGCTGAGCGCACTATGTCTTCACATCGCCACGTCTCCTATCGTAAACATGGAAGTAGTTCTTTCCCTTTACCATTTTTATGATGACATTAAGCGAAAGCCTTTAAGCAAAGTTGACTCATGTCGTTCTTAATCGTGCGACTCTCTATTACCGAAGTATTCTTATTATTATTATTTGCTTCTTATACGTTAGCTAGAACCACTCAAAACACAATGACTAGCACATAAAAAGCTGTTATTAGACGATAAAGTATCTCAATACGGGAGTGATTGTAATGAAAACCTTACAACGACACCACTACGAACCCATTCGATATATCTACTTTTCTAGCATAGGTGCCACGTTTACCAAATTGCTGACTTCTGAGATCATCATTCGAGCCTGCAGAATAATTTATCTTTTCTCTAGCCTGATAACACGCTTATTATTATTCAAAAGGTGATTGAGAAAAGCCCAAAGTTTCATTGTGATCATCAATCTCCAAATATATTTTTCTAGCTAATCTGCATTGATGGAGTATCGACTGCACGAACTCGTCTGCGCAGGAGCCCTGATGCGACGCACGCGAAACTGTGAGCTCTAAAAATTAAGAATATACCTTAAGCACTCGCAGACGCAATTAGATCTAGCGACAACATTAATGGCGCTCGCCTTTTTTGCACTTGCGATGTTTTTGGACATTTGGGACGTCTCGCACACAAGTGACACACATGATTCGTTACTGCGTAAATAAATGCAAAATGACGGAATCGATAATCGGCTAAACGCTTTACGGTTTTATTCTTTCTCAATGTGAGAAAGCGTCGCTGCGTTATGATGCCAGGACGGTCTATGAATTTATGAAGATGTCAGTTAAGAACCCGTTTAGGACAGCTGAGGCTTCCATTGTCAGAGCTAACGCTGAACAAAAGTACGCAAAACTATGACGCAATCAATGTTGTAGAGAAGCAGTCAATTTGACAGCTGTCTCTTACTTGAAATGTCTCGCAAATGTTCATCTTCTGTTAAGTAATTTAGTATAAGTTGACATAGCATTCTTTAATGAAAGCTATAGAAATACTGTTTTTATTAATATACACATATAAAGGTTTTTTAAGGCAAGCGCCTCATTATGCCTGATTGATATCAGGCAGCAAGGACCCTAGTAGGTGATACAGGATGTCGGAAAACCCTGGAACGAATATACAGCGAAATCCTTCAAAATCTCTGGTAAATTTAAGTGAAACTATGCCCTCGACTATTATGTAGGTCCTGGACCAAGTCCCAACGCGCTCAGTTTTGCATTTTGCGCGGTATGCATACAACGAAATGTCTACAGGTAATGCATTTGACTTTACTACCACCGGTAGTTAATTTCTTCCTGCTGTCATAAGAGTGATTCTAATACGATTTTAAATTATCTTGTCATCAGGACGGCAGGTTCATGTTTTGCAATGGAGTCATAACCATTGTAATACTAATGATATATTCAAATTGTTCCTTATCATGTCTATTAAGAAAATATCAGAATAAGATGTCGGCCTTTAGAAAAAAATGGCTACTACAAAAAAAACAAAATGCCTGTTTATAGCAAACAGTGAACGTTGGAAATACGCACCTAGATGGGTCTCAATCCAATTGGTTTCATTCAATTAGTTTCATATAGGTTTTTTTGGCAAAATCCGTTTACGCAATAACACTTCTTTTTCGCTTACCCACAATTAACCAAGCGGCAAGGTTGTTGCTGTTGCGTATTTTAATCCTTCTAGACTGGATTCTTCCTCTATTTCCAATGTCGCTCTCTACGCTGCTGCCGACAGTAAACGGTCGTCAATGTCGCGGACACCATCGGCAAAAGTAACAAGTATTTCTGCCACTTACAAACTACAAGACCACGGTAGCCAACAACATAGTCATAGTCGTAGCCAAGAACAAGATTATCCTTTTGGACTATGATCATTTAGCGAGATTATCTTAAGCGCTACAAGCCTAAGGTGTCTAAGTTGCCGCAGCTACCGTCGCCGTTGTCATTGCGACCCGCTACCCCAGGCTATTATTTTACTGCTTTGTTTACTTCCTTTAACATCTAACGTGCCCTACGAAAGGCCCCTGTACCCGCCCTACACGGCCCTTGGGTCTTCTTGCTCATTCAAATTCGGCAGCGACGTATGATTCAAATAGCTATAACTTGTGGCGGTCAGTGCGCACATACACCAAAAGACACATGCAGGCATATTGTTAATGTATTTTGCCTACTAGCATGCTTAGTAATGGTAGCGAGTCAGCTCTTATCCGTCTAATAACGAACACTTTTAAAACTGCATATACACTCACATGCACATATACATGCAGAGAGGAAACTTGTTGTCCTAGCTAAACCTGGTATACAAACTCCTCTAGGCTTTTCGTTAGATTTGACACCTCGAGGGCATATCACGTAGTTGCAACGTGCATTGTCTAGTTGTCGTACAGATGTTGATAGATAACGGAAGATCGAGGCGCTGATTAAAGCCAACGCAGAGTTTTGTTCTGCTTATTTTCGACTTGTTCAAAATCACTTTTCCATGATGTCAAGAAGCCTTTTGACGTTCGCCCTTTTGTGGAACAGCGTTAACAACATCCCGCTAGATTGATTCGTGGTACGATGCTGCGCATTGACGACAAGATCTTTCAGCTTTCCTATCACCGCTGCGTTGGGGGGGAAATCGTCAAGGCAATCAGAGCGACGAGAATGCTGACGAACGACAGATAGATGTACAGGAATAACAGGGACAGCTGAACGCACTTTCATTCCTCTTTTGATGGTTTAAAATATAAGGGACGCTCTGGATGGACATATATACAATTGTGTTAACATTCAAACTATAGAGCAGGCAAACGCGACACTGATTATCATCCCGAAAAGGGTTCAATGGGGTGACGCTTGCGGTTGGTGCAAGCAGTAGGCTGGCCTTTCCCTATTTTACTGTCGTGGCTGTCTCTTGCTATATTGTAATGGATGCGAACTCTACTACACGATCCAGATCGCAGTGATCCATGTAGGAGATGCTACTCAATGAAGCGCTTCGGTGAGTGACGCAATGTGCGATAACAAAAGTTGACATCTCAGCAAGCGAAAGGCTCTGCAACAGCAACACCGTTTTGAGATCACTATGGTGCGACTCAGCGTCGACTTTTCGCACCTCCTTTATTTCACCGTTTAATCTATATTATAAGCGACCATTAGGCAGGCCATATGCTGTCAATACACCTGTCGTATAGGTAATTTTTTTACCTTTTCTAAAAACATTTCACTGGCTATGGTGAAACTCTATGGCAGCGTGCGCCACATCTGTGTTGCCTTAGTAATTTAACTTCCAAAGACAACATTCTGTAGCTTCAGTTATCCGTATTGCTTATGTAGAGCGCGTGTTCTTTTCTTTGCGACTAGTTTTTCCTATCAAATTCAAGTTTGTCCTTGTCAAATTTAAACTTTCTTTAATGTCTCTTGGGCCCCAAAGCCAGTGGTCAGATTGGCTTCTATCAGTCGAAAGGCTGTTCTTCCGAGTAGTGACACATCTATGTCAAAAAGTATACCCTAAGCAGAGCGGTATAATGGGGCCTAGCTTCGCGCAGCACAGTCCGAGTTATTTACCACCACGTGCTTCAATACAGGCCGTGTAGGAACTTATTAGCAATTTCACCACTATCGTCCGCATCTCAATACCCTTACCCGTTGAGTTTCCTTCCATCGCTCCATGCCCTTTCTCTGGAGTCCGCCTCAGCAGCGGCTACGCAAGTCCGTTTTGTTTATTGCACAATCGTAAACGGATAGTACGCGGTAATGTATGTAAATCGACACCGCGAAAACCAAAGACGAGTCACGGAGCAACGGTCGGTGCCGTCGACCGTCCGAGACATTCAGCGAACGGCACCAATTACATCAACGCGATCGTGACGAGATCATAGTAGTCAACCGAAGAATAGTACAAGAAGAAGTCGTGAAATTGCGTGTGTTTAACATGTAAGTCGTAATCAGACTCATGTCTCTATGAAATAACCTTCTTTAATAAATATCATAAAAGAAAATCGAACTCGTACAATTGTTGAATTGGTATTTTACGGAGTCGTTTATTTCTGGTTGGTAAGCAGAGAAGTTTACGTCATGACTGACGTAAACTTCTCATGTACTTTTATAACAAGTGCGGTGATCGACGCAGCAAATGCCTTGCCGAGCTTTAAACTTATTAATTCAGGTTTCATAAATAAATACGTTTTTTTCATGTCTAGAAAACTCAGAGGACGATCGGCATCTACACAACCGTAGATCGTTTAGGCAATTTATGTATCCCTTACTTAACTGCAAGTGAATCAATTTGCTACTCTAATCGTTCACAAAAGTACGGCTAAATTCGTGGATTATACGATGGTGCCTTTATCAATCGTCTATCCGATTTGCTTGATGTAATGACTTTTCTAGCTGGAAATGTTAGATAAAAAAAAATACTTTTGAAGAGCCGATTCGTTTTAGCTGGATAAGCTGCAATGTATGTGTTCAAATGTGAAAAGTGAAACGCACAACTGGATGGTTTCGTACGTGAAAATTAAAGAGCCACTAAACATCACCTTTTTTGAAAGTATAGGTTACTGTATCTTGAGCAAACAAAAAGACTATGTATTAATTTTTATAAATTAGTCATTGGTTCTGCACTTCTAACAAATTAAGGATGAGAATTGTTATGGACTGCCAACATTATTTGGTATCGTTCTTACACCAAAATACGGTTTTTTCAGAATTAAAAGGAAAAATCATCTGCTGTAATTCGCCTCTCTCACGATGCTGTTTCGACTTGTCTAATCGTGTTTGGAAACTATTTCCTTGATAGCGCAGTGGTAACGTGCTTGTCGCTTAACTTAAGGCGTACGATCCGGTTATGGATACGCTTTGTCTCATGCTGGAAAGAGCCAGCAATTTGAAGCGATGTCTAGCTGCTCAACATCTAGACGTAGAGTTCGAACTTTTTATATTTGAGAATGCCGCCGTTGATCAACTTCTATTGATCATACCTTCTCATTTATTTATCAAAATCCCTCACAATATGTATGCTTTATCTACTATCCATTAAACGGATCTAATTTATTTAATCCTTTATTAACACGCTTGTTTTGATCAGGAATTTCTATTTCATAACATAGAAACCTTACTTCAACTATAGCAGCGGTAGCGGCATTCGCGTCATTTACTTTATCGACTAAAACAGTTACATGTTCTTCTATAAATAAAGAATTGACAGCCTGACCAATGATTGAGTCACTTTAAGTGTTTATAGTAGTCATATCCAGGTAATAAAGGTGATCAAAAAAGAAAGTAGATATTCATACTTACTGCCCATAATGTTGCGTGAAGATTTTAGCAAATCACTGCTTTCAGCATATCTTAATTCAGCCAAATATTATTTAAGTACTGATTATATGTATACACTACAAACCTCATAATTATTGGTGAGAAATTTGCGTTAAAAATATCCTTTAGAATTCCAATCTGGCTAATAAACTACTGCAATATAAAGATCTAAACGAAGCTAGTATTAAATGTGCAGGGATTTGATGATGTTGAATAGAAGTGCTTCAACTTATCTTCCTAGGATTGTGATTACTAAAGATATGGAGTGTAGCGCGTACTCAGAAACTCAGCGTACTTTTCCGGGAAATCGTCTACCCTATTTGGCATGACAAAATACAGAGGAAGAAAACTCTTTTCGAAGAACTTTGATACTAGTTATATGGGAAAAAAAATACTGAATATCGATGCTGAGCAAAGAAAGCCTATTTCTTGCATCGATCTCTTCCCTGAGTTCCAAGCGACATGTACTGACATAATCCTGATCCTTGAACACGATGTATGTTTTGAAATATGAAGAAAAATTATTTCATCTGTATGGGTCACGATTCTCATGGACTACAGACATACAATATTGATCACCTTGTTGATGTTGTTTTGGTTCAAGCAATGATATTTTCTAGCACAAAATGCAAAAATATTCACACTATGCTCGTTCCTTGAGGCACAAAGAGAAAAATACACTTTTGCCTAAAATAGTTGATAAAATCACGTTGACACAAACAGTAAAATAAAATTAGTATGTCGTATATAGACTCTTCAGTATAGCCGTTCACTCCGCTGCCTACTCTTCACTTCACACTTAAGAACACAAAGTTGGAATGACGGGAAAATTATTCTTCCATTTTTAAAATTCATTTTTCATTCAAGCTTTGTTAGCTTTTAATTAAGTGTTTGCAGACGTAGCGGTCTTTCCCTATGTTTTTTAGCTCAGATTTTCCATCCTTATTTGTCAGACCCAACGTGTTCTGATCTGCATAGTAATCTAAATAGCATCCCTGGGCCATGACGTATTCGGGATTTTCGGATCTGCAAAACTCTAAAAAAAGGTTGTTCCGCTGGTAGTGCAGTGGGTGAAAAATGTTTGCACTAAATTTAAAAACACCTCCCTGTCCAGGTTTAAAATCGAACATGGACATACTTAGTGCTGGAAGCCAGCCGTCTGAAATAATCCCTGACGGCTTAAGTACCAGACATATGACACGAAAACTTGGTACGATCTTCTTCGGCTCCATTAGGATTTCAAGTAGGCCTTATCATGATAAAGTGTATATATTACTTCAGCAAAAATGTTTGCTTTCCTATATATATCTCATATTTTTCAATATTTGGTTAGCGGTACTAGAAATCACGGTCTTGGCTGTTAGCGCGGAGCCACTTTAGCCACTCCATGGTAGACAATGGCTACTAGATAGTTTTTACTCGTAAGGTAAAGTCTGAAGTTTATTACGTGCCTAATTTATTAGTTCAATTTAGAATTACGAAGCCAGTCTCAGTAGCTGAAAACCCAAAAGTGAACAGAGCTTCTATATGATAACTTCTACGATTTGTCCTCTACCGACAGAGTCTTTTCGTACACGTTTAGAGCTAACCTCTATCTTATTCTATTTTTAAATTTTGTCATATTCTTTTCGTCCCTATTTTACTACTGTAGAAAATGTGAAATCACTTTGGCTCTTTGATGCATTATGAATGGTGCTCCGTTGCCTACTTATGCTCAGGAGAGCCTGAATACAAGGAATCCCGGAAAGTAAGCCCGAGTCACCCCTGAATAGCTGTGTTACTATTTTTTTAGTTTTCTGCACCGAACAGATCTTTGTTTCTTTTTCCTACGGTGCTTCAATTGACGCGGCCAAAATGTCGATTTGGCTCAATCGAGAATAATAATAATAAGATTAATTCTTCATCACCGAAGGTGGATCAGCTTGTACTATTGTTAGAACATGAGTTCTATAAGATAAGTTGTAGCAGGTAACGCACTTGAAGGGATGCGCATTAACTGCTCAACTTTCGCCGTCCCTACTTACTGCTCACTCACGGCGTCAGGGGCCTGATAGGTCAATTGTATGAACCTCCACAGCGTGCTATTTTTCCGCATGACCAGGGTAATAAAAACATAAGATATGCGAAACTATCCCGTTATTCATATGATCCGCATTACAAACCCCTGAATAAGTACCGGCCTTTTCGCGCATCCTAATATAACCAAAACATACGCCAAATCAGAGACTTCCGCATACTGTGTATCAGATACTACGCTTATTATCAATCTTTACAAAAATATAACAATTGGCGTAAGTCAGAAAAAAAGTCAACAAGAAAAACGTAAAATTAAAAAAACTGAGTAAAAAAGAGTTATTGCAATTCAATTTTAGAATACTACTAATGTAATCTGTTCCTAATTAACCTGTGAACGTCCACAAGCATATGATGATGTCAGAACGTAACGAATTGATTTAAAAACTGCTACAACATATACGATCTTTTTGCAAACCAAAACAAAAAACCAACGCATGTCAAGTCGATGATTGTCGACAGTAGTACGTAGCACGATGATCCACAACAATCTTGAAGCAGCTGCTTCAATGATGCCAGCGCGATGTAGAAAGCTATGTCGCTTTGTGATATCTAAATTGTGGTTATGATAAAACCTTTTTTCTTAAGAATTTTCGTTTTTGCCCTACTAATTTCAACTGTCACAGCTTGAAATCTTTTCAAATAAGTGGGTCATTGTCTGTTAATATAATGATCTAAGACAAACAAAAAAACTTAACAAAAAAGAATATGCCTGCTAACATTTTCAGTTAATAGAAATTCCTTGTTTCCGCTATCAACCGTTTTACATACTTATAGTGTATCTTTACGCACAAATACATGGTATTTCACAAAACTTCGTATTTTCATTCTCATCTACTCGTCCTTAAGTAAACGAATCTCATGAAATATCTAATTCTTTTTTGTCGGCATTTCATATATAATATGTTTTCTCGACAATTGTATAAATACATAATATTTTTATTAGTCACACTAAGAAATTGTTCATTCGATATAAGCGTATATTCTACTGACACTTCGCTCTCCTATACAGATGCCGATTCACCTCCGATATTCGAAGGTCTCGCAGCGGTTCGATATCGAGGTCCTTCAACGATGAAAAGACGTCATAGTTGCTAATGCTGTCTTCTACTACTAACGAACTACTTGGATGGCTGCAAGTGAGAATGTAGCCTGGATAGAGGCACGTTGCAAAGGTCAGCACCGCTACAATCGTCCACGAAGGCAAAGCCAGTGCCCAATATTTATCCGGCAAATAAATAATACCAAAGCTAGCCCACTGGGACATCGGAACCAATGCCCAGGCTAAATAGATTGTTAAGCCCAATAAAGAGCCGACCATAAGCACGAAGCCATACACTGATCGCGACAACTGCGGCGACGGGGAGCCCATTTTAATAAAAACAAAAAAAAATCAAGCGATTTCTTAAAACCGGGTCGTCAAGAGTTCGTTTCGTTAATGTTTAATCGAAGCATCCGTAGTTAATCAGATGCGTTACTACAGGTTACTACGTTTTACAATCTATTTGACTGCGCTTATACAAAGAAATTAATGAATAGAACAGAGATGTAGTCGGTCAACTTTTCTTGACATTAACCGAGCTCACCACTTCCTTTACTATTGCAAAATAGGTCCTGTATGCTGCTCAGTTGTCGAATTAGAAGCAAGGCGTGATGAAGAGGAGTAGATTGCCTCGCGTTCCCTTATAATCCAAAATAATCTAGTTCTCACTAAACTGATCAATGGTCTGTAGGAGTAGGTCAAGCAACTCGAAGAAACTCGTTGTGGCGTTCCGAAGATTTTTTATGTTCGTCGATGAGTCGAATTTTGCATCACACGTGATACGCCTATAATATGAAAACGTAAACATTTGAAATGTCTGTGCTTTGTAGCTAATATTTTGTTATTGATGACGTCGCATACCTAGTTATTTGAGAAAAAAAAGTTGCCGAAGAGTCTTTGATCGAGACATAATAGTTTGCTTTTTAGATTTGTCTACAGAGCCGCCAGCATATTGTGTTGTCGTTCTAAATGTTAACTAACCGACCCCAATGCAAGGATTTGGTGGGCAGCAATGTAATTATCCTAAAAAATCACTTTGTTCTCTTTACGGATTTATAGCAATTTATTCGAACTCCGGTAATAGCTTATATGTAGTTAATACCACAGAGCATTACTTAAGTAAGTTTGGTCTAATGAAGTTTAGCATTAGCATGAGATTACGGCGAAGTTTGCGGTACGCAGTTGTTTATGCAAGACTTTGTCTTAATCTTCTACCTGTTCCAACATCAACAGGATGCCATTAATATACATACACTTTAAGTCCACCATTGTCCGTTTCGATAACCTTTGAGCAGTAGCTTCGCTCGGGTTCAGGATCCGCTTGAAGACTAGCTCTGATTATTTTAGCATGTGCCACATTTCGCACAGGGATTACAAAAGTCCTTCAGTAAAAAATAATGACGATGACTATTAGGTACAGCTCACAATACTACAATAACTTGATAATAAGATAAGCAACTCTGTCTAGTAAATAAAACATCTGTAGTGTAAAGAAATATTTACATTATCTAAAAAAGCCCTTTTCTGAATTGACTATTTTATGGTTCTTAGCCATATTTTATGTATACGATACTAAATTTGCTCTTTCGCGCTACATAAATGTTGAAAGGTGAAACGTTTGGTATCTCTGATAAATTACTAGAAATACATTTTACTTTATGTAAAATGTTTTTATATAGATTACTGAAATATTTAAGTATTAAGTTGCGAAATACAATATGATACACTCAAAAGCCATTCGCTATGAATTTTTATTTGAGCGATTTTAGAGTAATATTGGTCGACATAATAAATAATTCAACGAATCTAGATAACTAATATATACTTACACACTGTGACAGCTTTTAGTCGTGGACCCATCCTCAGAAGAACACTTCTTTATGACAACTGAATTGGACATTTAGCAGCACTAAAAGCAACTAAACCAGTTATTTTCAAGCTCTAATGCACCGATTCCAACCTGATTTTGCAACTCAGTAATTGTCTCTCTGAGCTATAGAATAACCAGAGAAGCAAACCAATGAGCAAAAATTACTGATATTCAAATTTAATGTGAATTCGAACTGGCATGCTCATTGAAAACTGTATCGCCATGTTTACATTGAATACGAATCCGAATTGGTGAATGAATGCATTCGGCTGATCTGTCGATTACTTTATGGTGCAGGGCGGTTTGCGGATCCACTAAAGCGAACCAACAAATCGTGTTTAAGTCAACAATGATTTTGCTCCACTGCGAATTTCCTGAACGCCGAAATGCTTGTCTGTTTGTAACGAATCATGTAAAACCATTCCAATAATTGTCGTTGAAAAATTATGCACCTGTTACTAACGTTGAGGTAACCTTTCGCCATCAGAATGCAATGAAACTATTTGTTAAAGCACAAAATGTATGCCTTTAAACTATTTTAAAGAAAGTGTAATATGAAAACAGGGCCCGAAGACCAACGCCAACAATAACAATTAGCTCAAATACTGATATAAATATATGTATATTATAATAATGTAAATAATTCTTTCGTTTGGAGCACGACTAGCCATATGCATCAACAAGGCCACTCGATCGTATTACCTTACTTTGTGCTTATTAGACGGATTTTTTTTATTACATTTATACTGTAAATAAGAAACACTCGTAACTTGAACGCAATAATTCCCAATACAAAACGAATTATGTGTAAACTTGTTTTGAATCTAGGCCACTTCATGGATCTCCAAGTTAAGTACGCAAACACTGCGTCATCATGGCAACGTTAATAATTGACTAAACCGGTTTTACCCTGCTGTATGGATTCTTTGTAAGTCAAAATCATTATATTTTCGGAATAGCCTAACATATAGATTGAGATAAACAGCACCTATTTCATAAACGATACATCTATGTCCATAAAACCTGCAAGGCTGATAGACATCGTTAGCCATAGTTCAAAAGCAATTAAGTACCACTGAACTATATTGCCAAAGTCAGACGTACTATTCTGATTTTATTTCAGCAAAATCGACCCGTTTAACCACAAGTTACCTTGTATGAAAAACGTTTAACTGCGTTTATATAATGGCTTGACGTTATATATGGCTTATTGACGTTAATAGATGCTCCATCTAATCTTAGGGTACCAAAAGGCGAAGCGTTGAGAATCATTACCCATGAAAATAAACGTCTTCCATACGAACCGCTTTGAAAGACATATTCAAAAATCATTCGCAAAGCTGAGTGGCCATGGTTTCTTTTTTTTCGCCTGTCGCTAGCTCTGAAGAGACGAATAGGCATGACTGCAAACCTAGCTACAATAGAATCATACAATTTAGCTTAAGTGTCTCGAATATATTGGTGTTCAATATAGTACTAGCCGCATTTCTCACATTTAACCTCATATTCTCTGCATAAGAAACATGATAGTCGATAAAAATTAATGTTTATTCAAATACAATTGTCGCCAATGAGTTCAAGCGCAATGTTTAATTTGAATGTCGTTTGGGGAATAGTCATAAGGGCGAATATCTTTATTCCCGTTCTCCAAAGTGCGACGGGCCAGTATCAACTGATCCTAAAAATCTACGTATCGTATTAAATATATTGACTATTTTTCTGGACTCTCGTAAGTCGTGTTTGTGCTTCGAAATGTTGTTTTTTGACGATAAAGTACCCCACCATACTATTACTCTCGGCTTCCTTCGCAACGTTCGAAATGCGGCGATCCGTTTTGATTCGCCGTTGCCATGGCGAAATGGCCAGGGCCTTCATTACCGTCCTTTTCTGTGAAGCCCCCGTCCCTTTTATATACATGATGAATATCTGCCCTCCACCTCCTACAAAGGGGACAATGTGAACGTGGCATAACACCGAGATTTATCTGACGCTTCATGTTACGTAGCAGCATTCCCAGGGTGACAGGGTGTGATATATCCATGTATTACTGTACGCCGAAAAAAACCTTCTTCTAATGATCATAACAGTGCAGATCTCTAAACAATAATTTTTTTTTCGTGAATCCTTTATGAAGTACGTCCTTTGCGTGTGATTAGCCTGTGTATTGTTAGACTGTGTCCAATCGAGGTTTTACATGGACTGATGTGGTGAAAGTACCAAACGTTGTGGTACTAGGGGCTGGACTGCACCTGAATTGGGTCATAGTCACCTCTGTAGAAACAACTGAAATTTTTTTCATAACTAAAAAAATGTCCCAGGACAAAAAATCGATGGTAGAAACTGATTTAGCCTCAACTGTAAAAAATACAGGCAGTGAAAGAGGCAGGGGAATACCATTTTATTCGGTAAGCCAATAAAGAGCTATTGAATTTGCGTAAGTTCAGCTTTTCTATGTTCATCATATGGAATTGGTGTCGCCCGATTGATCACCGACATTGTGTTTTCAGCCATCCGCTAACTGTGATTTGTAACCTTTCAGACACTTTGGGGCCGAGCGGTGATCTTCGTGATCGCTGCTGCGGTATCCGTCACCTACCAAACCGAAAAGCCTTTTAGCTGGAGTATTCAGGTAACCATAAATTTTGGGAAAAGATAGCATACTATTTATTGCCAGTACTGACTTAGAGCAGCTATTTAAAGCATACGTGTCATCTTTAAAACCATAGTTTTTAAAGCTATTTTAAAAAAAACCCGTTCTTCAATTTTCATTAGTACTGAGCTTTCGTTCGAGTAATATTTTGTTCGTTAATAATTAATTTACCTAGGAACGATACAGCGGTCATGATCATTTATGCTATTAAGCGTTCTACATATTACGGTATAATAAGTAATAACAATAATTATACCCTAATATTTTGTGTAGAAAATGCTAATAACGTGTGCCATATAGATGGAGCACGGATGTACTTCAGTAAAATGATGAGAAAGATATTACACATCGAAGTTACATGTGTCTCCAAATAGTTTTGTATATTTGTACATTTGTGCTTCAGGAAACGCTGGTGGTAAATCGAAACCAATTTGATTCTTTTGCTGCGGCCACTTCGACTAAATGGATAGCCAAGGTAAATCCTCTTCTCTGAAATAATTATTGAGAAGTGGATGTGAAAAGAAACTATAGGTCAAATTGATCAGTATTAAAAGCGAATACAGTTGAACGCTGAGAAAAGACCATCCGTCTTTGTTCCAGAATTATTTAATTAAATCGCTTTTATATTTTAAACTCCATTACCTGTCTTTGTTCTAGAAATTCATTGATATATGATAATAAATTTGTTTGCTTCCATCCGCACCCACTAACATCGGATATATATATATGTTAGCTATAGCTATCGTTACTTATCATGAGGATTTTTAGGCATTTTTTCGAATGAGAAACAGAACCGATTTAAATTAATAACTCAGACTCTACGTTCAGTTTATGCCGTTCGTGGATCAGATGCAACGGGTTGGTAAGGGAGAGCTAGCTAAAAATCAGCTGTATCAGTCAAGAAAGTCTGTACCTTTTTATGGTAAGTTTTTTGCATCTACTTGGTTGTCGATCGATTTATTATCAACAATTCGCTTTAGCGCGCAGACTGTATTAGATATATCAACACACCATTGTTTTCTAGGCACCTTATGGGTATTAAAGCAATGCACCACATATGTAACAATTGAGTTCATTTGTTTGGAAACGACTCATTCAACAGTTTCGAGCGAAAGTTTAACTTAAAACTTCGACTCGGACGACCATGCTACCATAGTAAACGGCATGATTCTTACATTACGAAGCACTTACATAAGGCCATAATAAGGCGAAAGGGTAGTTTGTAATGCCAATTTGCAGGTAAACATATCGCGAACATTATGAACCCATAAGGCGTTCTCTTACGTTCATATTTATGTATGAGTATAATATCCTTTTGAAAGATGTACAAAGTGTTTGTATCTAAACAATTACTAAAGTTATAGTAAATTAGCACATCCTCTATCTTCATATGTGAACCCATAGTAATTCTGACTGGCTAGTTTGCAGGTTGAATCCTTAGATTGCCTTCATTACACTGTCAATAGTATTCCTATTTTTCGCTTCATTTCCGCGTTCTACATGTAAGCCTGTTTCACCTGCACTCTTACGAGTAAAATTGCCTTTAGAGCTTCAGTACACTACCGGCGTTGTAGCATGACCAAGCAAAAACGATTATCGAATAAATAGTTTGTTTCACAGGCGACGTAATCAACATTCATAAGGTGATTGACTATTCTCCTGGTCGGTTGCTTCGACTCTTCGGCAGCTCACAGTGGCTAAGGCCAGTTTTAACCGTAAAAGCCCGTCAAAGCAATGACAAGACAGAGCTTACGGTAACTGTCACGTTTTGGAGAAATAGTATTCTATTCCAGGTAGGTACAAAAAGGTTTTATTATCGGATGCCAGCAATTACATAAACTAGCCTTATTAAGCCTGAAAAATCCAAATATCTTCTTGAGAAGAGTAATAACTTTTAGCATAGAGCACATATGAACATTTGTCTACCTCAGTTTGGTAATAACTAGCTTAACTTACGATAAGTTTCTCACCTTTGACGAGCCCAACAGCTCTGGGGACGTACCGTAAACTTGTTTACTTGTGTATACTGTGCCCTATTTCATCTGACACCATAGCAAGTTTCCATGATATCGAGTCCTGTAATAACCTTAAGTCTCAAGGTGTAAAGTAGTGCGTGCTCAAAGCAGTATTCAACTACTACCTACATAACAACATAATGCCCCTTCAGTTTCGACCAGAAACAGGAGCCTTTTCTATTCAACGCTCATGGAAAATGTGCGGCATTCATACAACAATGGATATAGAAATACTCGCTCACATCGAGCTGCGAGAACCGTCAGAAAAACTGCTGGCATGTTAATGTATGCAAAACACATAAATATATCCGATTATATTTCTTGGTTACATATGATCTATAATGCAATGGATAACCACAATGAAATAGGTGATATTTGTATGGACTTCTGCAGGAATGGGCCTTTACTGGAATTCGGGTTACTTGCAATTTTTCTCATAGACGTTTTCTTATCACAGGGCAACAATTAGAGTAGTGCGTTTATGTCTCTCAACTAAAATAAGCTTTTATAACCAATGTATTTTTGTCATATCTTATTGTTGTGTGAATTACAGATGACTTTAGGCCCGGTTCTGTGGTTAGTCCACCAGGATTCACTACGCCGGTCTCTTCTTTTGCTGAGAATGGATCTTCAGGACTAAACATAAGCAGTGCTTCATTTTCCATTCGGTACATAAAGTCAAAGTCATTAAGCCAAATCTGAATTTAATTATATAGATATAAGTCCGAAACCACGGGCTTCAAGTTCATTAAACACCGACTATTAAGTAAAACTACCATCATAAACAATGAGTTTGACAAACAAGATAAAAGAACCGTTTTTGGCCCGTATTTCTCTCTCTGGATCTGACTAGGGACAAAATCACTAAGCGATCAGTGACAGTTTACTGTGTATAATAAATTGTTTTACACACATAACCTATTCTATGAAGTGGTATCGCTTGTAACTATTGTCATTTTAAGAGCGTCGCGCTATGTTTCAGCAATAGATATACTGTTCTATTTAAGCATATAATAACAATAGCTGTTCTGGTGAGTAGTAACCGAAGACGAATTTCCTGGAACCCATTTATGCAATAAACAATTTTTATAGAGGTAAGCCTGTTGTCTCTTTTCACTCGATGTAAGGCATTGTTTTAGAAATTTTATTATTAATCGTACGAGTTTGTAAAATATGATTTACTTGCATATATAGCATTGTATATATCACAGTGCTCATGCATTCGACAGCGGTGAAGCGATCAATGTCTCGTTTCGAACGACATTGATTTGATATATTTCTCAACGGGCACCACGCTTATGCATCTCCTGAGCGCTTGTACGATTCGTTAAGAACGTAGAACGTCGTGGATGGTTAAGCGTCTCAACACACGTTTCCATACACGCAGATCGAGTAACAACTTGGCGGTTATCCCGTTGCGTTCTCAAGTCAAGTCACAATGCAGTCGTTCATGAAACCTACACGTCTGATACGTGTACAGTGAGAACTGGCAAATGGGGAACGGCCTTCCACTGTAACAGAGCAGGCAGTACGACGAGATTCATAGGGTGAAAAAGGTAGTCCCATCGTGCTTTGGAGCCTCTTGGTGGCTTTGAAAGTGAAACAGAGGACCTCTGTGGTCGTCATGATGGCTAACAGGAAAACAACTCGTGGTGGTAAGCTCCTCAGAATGGTGACTGTCAGACATCAGTGGGTCTTCGGTGGTTTTTCTGGCACCATTTGTTTCACCATCTTGACCTCCTGGGCACGTGAGCACATTTGTTCTCCTCTTTGAGTAATGTTTCACCTGCGTCCATACTCAGCAATGCCTTTGGAAGGCATACCTAGACACATTTATTTGCTAGTAAGTTCGACAGTGGCCTTAACGCGGAGCCATATACATTTATGACAAAAACAAAGAAATAGAGCTCAACGCGAAACGTCAAGTGTAAATTTGATTGCCAGCTCGAATAATGTCCGTTTATTTGTCAAACAAATAGTGCTAATAAATGATTATAGTGTCTATCCTAGTCCTGCCTGTCACGACTGAGCGTACCAGTGTATAACAGCAAGTTGACATAGTACCCAGAATCGAATTAGGAACTTTAGTTCCATGGCTGTAACGGGAACGGATCAGTTTGATATCCTACTGAAAGGGGAAAGATATAAGATAAAATGGCACGAGGAACCAAATAGCTAGCTACACAGGTATTATCATGTTTATCTACGAGCTAGTGAGCTAAGAGTGACCATTTGGTTTAGATCAAACATAGACGCCATGATAATCTAAACGTATTCATTGAGCAGTGCAGTAATTTAATATTGTAAGAATTGTATAGGTCATACAATTAGAGCTCACCAACTGCAAGCAATGCTGTCGTTAGCATGTATTATGCAAACGCGTGTTCAAAACTTGAAAACGAGACGATTCATAATTTAGCATGCAAACATTATATTTAGATAGAGGCATTTAAAACAATTTTTCTTCTGATGTAATAGACCCATACTTTTAACCAACCGCATCAGATCCCTGCTTACAACATGACATCGCTTTATACGCCATTCGCTGTGATTGTGCACACGCAACACGTTGTTAAAAACGGAAAATGAATGATAAATAAGACAGAGCTAATATATATATACATATTATGCATGCATGGACACTCTTCTACAGGCTATGGTATAATCACCTAAAAAATGTTTTTCAGTCCCTGGATGAGTGATCGTTGTATATATATATATATATATATATATATATATATATATATAGGCAAACATATTAAAACGAAGAAGTTTCCAGCAGGTAGCACTCCTGATCAGGGAAACGGGGCACATGCGGACTGGGAAAACAGCGTTCATGTGTTCGCGCTTCCAAAGGATGTCACCGAACAAGAACTAAGATCTTTGTTTGAGGAACGCGGCTTTCAAGTTCGTCGTATCATCATGAAGTCTCGCCATCCGAACACATCTTCAATTGTGTCGTTTGATAACGAACGTATCGTAGAAAACTTACTCAGAGTGGTTGGTTGAGGCAGTCCTGCTTTGACTTCTTCATTGATTAGACAGTTTCTTCAAAGTTCATGCAACATAAAAGCAACTACTTTAAGGATTACAGTCTTCGATTCGAAGCTTATGTGGTCTATTATTAAATGCTAAAAAAATTAACAGAATTTATTAAAAGACGTTGGTACGGCGACTAAGTTAGACTGCTATATTTGAACCTAAAAATACCGAGAAAACTGTTGCGGTCATTATCGAGTGCTGGCTGTTTGTCTGCATCAAACAATTTAAGAATCTAAACAACACGAATGCGATGAATATCGTAATCTTTTATAATTATGAGATTGCTTATAATTAGTCCTTGCTTACCCTAATGGGTCCTTAAAACAAAGCTAAAGAGCCCTACCAGACCTATTGTAGAAGACTAGCTAAGAGTCAACTTTAAAAAAATTGCTTTAATAGCACAATAACGTAAGCTTTAACCACATAGTGAAATCACTTTACTGTAATATAGATGACCACGGGTTGCGTAAAAGTAGTAGTTCAATTGGGAAATGTATAAATAATATACGCATATTCTTGGACACATTCCATCTGGGCAGGCACGGCCCATTTAATTATTCACCATTTCTGCTCTTTCTGTTGTTGCTGGCACCATTCGTTTTCAGCATAAAAATCGCCATTTTGCCATGCGAAGCAAATATGTTTCCGTAGAACGAGCAAGCAATAATTATTCTTTACCTCCGAGGACTGGCTACGTTAAACTCTATGCGCAGAATATGGAGTCATCACAAGACAGGCTAACGTCTTCGCGCACGGAAGCCACAGAACAACGTCCTGCATCGCCCGGAACGAGTTCATCTGCATCAAAACCGCAATTCGCATGGTCTGCCACCATGGATCCCCATGAAGGTTTTAGCGAGATAGAAGATAAGCTAATCAATACTGAGAGTTATGGTACTCTGCCGCAGCACAGCATGTACGCGGCTCATTCATATAACTCGTATCCGATAGCAGCACCAATTTATCCTTATCAGCCATATGTTTTGATCCGGCAAGATGCTCACAGTTTCCAGCAGGACAACCAGATGTACCCACATGGTGCCCAGTGGGCACCTCATATCCGGCAATTCCATGTCCATGGCTGGTCGCCAGTAAATGATAATGGTGAACCACTAACAACCCATTATATTCACGCCAGCAGGCCTGAAGAGGCAATACGTGTCGAGAGAAATCGCGGACCTCTACTTGAGACACCAAGACCTACGGCTCCGGACCCAACTTGTGTTCCGGTTGGTGTTCAGCCTCCATCTGACGTCATGTATCCAGAGAAGGATGTCTACTGTTCTACTTATTTTTCAGCAATAACTAATAGCGCGAGCTATGGAAACTACTTTGTTGCACAGTGCATTTTACCAGCGTATATATACAGCCACCCCGTAACGAACCAGCTGTATTACGTGTTTAGTTCTCTTCCGTCATATCAGCCACAATATTATAACAAGCCTGTTCGGTTCGAGTCACCTTTGGGTCCTGGCGACATCCCGTACACATTGCGGAGTGCTGAAGAAGCTGACCTTATTTACCCTTTACCTGGGAACTCTACAGTTGACGCAAGCACCATAGAAACCCTTAGTCAGTACGAAAACATGCAGATCATCAAGCCTTTAGTTGAATCCGGGAACCTAGACTCCTACGAAACCATTGACAACATCGCTTCAGGCAAAAAAGCTGGTAACGTACGGCCTCCTGGTAATGCATCGCGTTCATTCTTATGAGAGTGAATCGCTAACCGACCCTTAATCCGGAGGCAGACAAAATGTTTTCACCTGTCCGTCCGCATAAACTAGGGAAAACGAACGTCCCGTCGTTTTTACGACATAATTGAAAAAATTAATTTATTAACGGTTTAATCTGCGATAAAACTAATTCTATTTGTTAGCATTGTACACATAACTTTATCATTCCTAGTACATTTTCATGATATTTTTGTTAAAACATAAATGAAAACATCTTAACACAAAAAAAAGTTTGAAGAAAAACCCAAACCTATCTTACCCTAAGCAATATATGCTTGATTATTGTAGATTTTCAAGGTTTGTTGTTTACAAGTGTGTCAAAAGTGATTTTATAGATGAAATTTTGTTCTACTTTATAAGTGCGGCTTAAAAAATTATTGAAGAACAAACCAAAGCATATTGTGCTGACTAATATATTTGCTACATTGTTGTGGTAACTTTTCTAGACAAACAGACAAAGTGTAATGCACTCGAACGCCTCGGGGCAGAACTTACCCATTTTAGTTTTACGTGAATGGTGAGATGTAAACAAATCTCTATGATATTAAATTCAAAACACGAGGTTACCGAAATGGGTGCATTAGGTATGCATATAAGAAACTATCTAGGAATGTGTTTAATACTAAACCGTTTCTTAATATTCTATTATAATGTAGATAACACTGTTGCGTTTGTTTTAGAAGAATGCATATAGGATAGATAGAGATTTTAAATATAGAAGAAAAATATGTATTGAGAACGGATGAGGCCTAAGAAATGATGATCTTTCGCCAAATCATCTTTGAAAGTAGTTATAAGGGTCGCAGTATTGGACATTCTGAACAAGCCATAAAGCGGCTTCCATTCAGCAGGATTGCAGAATCCAGATGTAACCTTTAGTTCCCACCTTGTTTGCGCTAATGCGTGTGAAACATTAGACTTTCGGCCCCTTGCCGTGATAAAAGTCAGACGGCCACTATACCATCTAATAAGTATTTTATATGTAGCAGATACGAAGAGAACAGATTGTTATGAGTGTGAACAGCCGCGAATATAATCTAATAAACGAAGACGAAAGTTGTCCTGTTTTAAAGAAGAAGACGGTCACCGTTATCAATTAAGGATATCATTAAACTTTTACAATAGTTGCACGCAGAAAGTGTTTACTTTACAAATGTATAGTAGTGAAAGACACATCTGTATAAGGTAGATGCCTTTACTTGACGCCCGCGTTTATTGTTAAAAGTATATAAAAGACCGTAGATTTGGCTTGCGAGAGAATTCATTGGGTTTAATAAGTTAATTGCAACATAGGAAGTTGAAAAGGTGCGGGATGTAGGCCACCAATAAAAGCTCAATCTGAGTTGGAATATCCACTTTGTAAACTCCTGTAGCCCTATGTTAGAAACAAATCCTTGTAGATAATTATGAACAAAATAGCAGGGCACATCTAGGCATACGAGGGTAATACGGGCAAATTATATTGGCTATGATCATTCTTGCTATATTGAAAATACGTATTCTTATTTATTCGCACAGATGGTGTAGTATGTCATGTTGTAGCATGTTTCGTATTTTAAAGACTTCAATTTTAACATTAGGATTCCGTTTTACAAAGTGGAACTACTATAAATATTTAAAAGTAGTCTTTTAAAGACCTTTACTGTGGGCTCTAAATGTTTTGAATTTTGCATTCGGTACTGCCTTAGGTAAGTATTGCTTCCAACGGACGGCTAGCCCCTAGCACAGAACGAAGTGTATCCTTGCCCGTACCTTACCATACAAAATCTTAGGAGCTTCCGGTAATTTCTAGATGATGTAATTCAAACAACCTATTTCTTAGAATGATGGATAATAACCATTTATCAGCAAAACAAAAATATCGATGCATCTGTTGTGATCAAATACTATGATCAGATATAACTATAATAGGCGGAAATACTTCAATTTGCACAAATTATGCCGCCTAAGTAATATTTTTCTTTCTTCGATTATTACCTGCTACGTGAAGCTTTAGGTTTCCTAAGCCATAGAAAACATTTAGCAAACCGCATTCGTAGGCTGTTGTTTTTGCAAATCGCATGTCACTACATATCTCTTCGAATAAACGTGCAAACCTGAATGAATTACGGCTTGGTAAATAGCAGCTTTATTTCAATGCTTCATCTGACAATTCACAGCACTAGGATTTAATTTTTCATGAATGTCACCACAATTGCAATAATAAAAGCGTCACGGGCCAATAACATCGTACACATGTTAACTATCGTGCAGATCCAGAAGCACATGAGGTACTGGCTCGGGCAGACGATAAAATGTAGAAATGTGCTTGGTAGAACAAGCTACGACAAAAAAAATTGTTTTGGTCGTGAAGGAAAGAATTCGCTATTGGAGCTTTCGGTCGTTTCGGTAAAAAAAATATCACTTGGTCAATTAATCATCACGCTGGCTACCGTAACTGCCACTCGTATTGGTGAGTAATCCGATGTCATTTGTAGGCCAGTACTGACAATAGGGTAATAACTGTATCGTAATAAACACGTCGACACTGGCGTGGGTTATATTAGTATGTTCATCTCATCTGTGATCTTTGCATTTGGCCAACTTGAGTCTCTCGAATTGAGTGTCAAAAAAACTTTCCTTCATATGTGACGTATGCTTTGAGCTCGTTCAGGGATACCACATGAATAAGATAGGACTCATTTTTTTTTAGCGTAAGAGTTTTTTATGCCGCGCAAAATTTAAAACCAGTTTGTCTGTTTTTACTACCAGTTCAATAAGTCGTAACTTATTGTCCCATGACGAATTTAATGAAAATTAAATCTCTCCATTTTAAGTAAACTCGATAGCTGTAAACTATAAAACGGTCGTAACGTTTATAACTTATAGGCTTCGACGTAGACTTCAGTAGGTCTGTCTATGTACACAAGGACATGTAGGACATGTAGGACAATCTATGTACACTTTTCGGTATATGAGGGATCAGCAGACGAATAAATTAATAAAGGAGACAAACACTTACTTCGATATCCTTCAAGGTTATGCTGCTATACACAGAATGATATCCCTGTTATAATTTGTAATTGCTTAAATCAATACTGATCCTATTATATTCCTGTAAAGAAACATATTCAAGAGTTTTTGTTAGGTTTATAAATTATATCATCACCCAGTTCTATATCGGGAAATACAATACCGCTGTCATATGTATGCACTGGAAACATTTTATCCCGAGTTCAAGGCATCATACATGAAGGTCACTAATATCAGTGACTTGGACAACTTATTTTATTATCTCAGTATTCTACTAAGTGTATTGGTTCCGACAACATACTAGATTCGTCACGCATTAAAACATAGGTTCGTTCTTCCGATCGGCTCAGTAAAGAACTTAAAGATGTGCGGGTGTCTATTTAGAGGTGATCCAGACTTGAGTTAGACAAAGTGTAGCGAGCTAGTATAATATGGAAGTAACTTGGCCGTTAACCCTCTTCAATTTTTCCGCAGGGAAGTCATCTTCCACTCGTATCACGATGTATCGCAGGAGCGGAGACATGGCGGACAAAGAAAGCAGGACCGTTCTAAAGGATCGTGTTTTCGTAGGCAAACTGCCAAGAGGTGTCAGTGAACAGGATCTAAGACGCGTTTTCAGTGAGGGCGGGTACAGTGTTCGAGATATTCATATTCAACATTCAGCTCGGGACAGGGATTTTGCTTTCGTGTCATTCAACGATGAACGCGACGTCGAAGCTATACTGGAAACGGTCAGTGGTGTTCATTCTGGTAATTTTCTAATTAAATACTTGACGAAGCCTAGTACAAATATATGTTCAATTCCTTTAGTGACCCATAAAGCTTGATAATTTACATGATTTAGACGCTGGACGAGATTTTGTAATCAGTAAAGCTCAACTATCCATGTTATATACATTTAATAAATCTGTGAATAAAATTTTATTCAGTGGAGCAGTTCGTGGGCATCCACATGTCATACACTATAAAGCAAATAGGTCCGTGTGCAGATGTATGTTGATCTTGCCATTTCTTGATTAGATATGGTTATTCAATAATGGGTACAATAGTCTCGCCGAAGTATAGGTATTGTTAGAAAGTGCTAAGATCATAGTGAATTGTAAAATATGAGAATAAGTAAGTAATTAGCGGAATATGCTTTAATATCAACTAGCGACTTTTCTATGCTAATAATTAAGTTGGCAAAATAATGGGGATATCTTTACTGAAATACGATATTCTAGGATAAGGCAAAATACCCTTAGCTTTTTCGTTTCTTTTTTGTTGATATTTTTTTCAGGCCAATGAAAGCCCGTTTTTTATTTCCGGCCAAAATATCACCGTTAGTGAGGCATTCAAATCGAATAAGAAAACGCCAAGACCTATTTTCAATTCCGTTTCCCGTGGTGTCTACAGCGTGCGGGCAGCTCCGCGAGACTACGAACCTTCGCTTGGACGCTCATTGTCTCCCCATTCAGCCGGTTCGAGAGCCAGTTCCGTATCGCCTTCTCCAATGTCTCCCCCTTCTCCCATGCAAAGGCTAGAAGGTGCCAGCGCCTATATGAGCGCTGACTATCAGCAAACGGTGGTGATTGATAATGGCAACCATCATTATTACGCGGTCCCATACAGCAATGTAGGCCCAAGTCATTTTGTCGATCATAGTCTTCCTGCATGTCTCGTTTCTATTAGCAGATGAACACTGCAGTGGTTTTCGTTAAGACCCATGGTTCAATGGGATATCGCCTTGTTTCTAGTAGAAAATTTCGGTTGTCGTTAGGGTGCGTGGCGAAGGCGCCTAAATATCGAGGTACCCTATTTATATTTGACTCATTATCAAAGGGTTGCCTGTTATCCAATAGTTATTTGTATTAGCATAGATTTCTTTCTGGATTACTAAGTGAATTTTGAAGTGCGAGAATCTCAAACATCCTTGTATGAAAGATATGACACTTGAAAAAACCAAATCAGGAAGAGCGACCTCCGTGAATTTAGAAGCAATCTAGAATTTCAATAGGGATTAGCTTCCGATTAATGCGAACATTGAGAACGATCAGTCAACCATTAAGTGACGAAATGCATATATGAATAAATACGATATCGGGCTACACAGTTATATATCTAAGATTAGAATCAGGGTTATAGTAATTCCGAAAGGCCAGAATGTCAGTCGTATATAAAATTGATCAGAAAATGCCACCACCTAGTTACATCTAATCACAAGTTCGATAATTGTACAGAACAATGCAATTATAGTCATAGCAAAATGGTAACTGAGACTTTATTTTACTATAGTCATTAACCTGAATAATGCGAATATCATTGTGACTTTTTAGATGTCGTACCCAATGACGGGTATGTTCCCCAACGGACAGCTAGTAGTATTTCCACCGGTCACCCGCGCCTCCATGCCGCCCTACGTGAACCACGAAATATGGACTAGAGAGGCGCTACTCGGATATCATTACGGAGAAATCCCTTACTGCGGAGTCCGAGGGAATAAGGGTGAGCCCTTACCAGCAAATCCCCGAACTGACGCGAGCCTGCTTGACACGATACCCCCCGAAAAAGAACCTACATTTCCTTATCGTTTTGACCACTACAGCGCACCAAGAGTTGACGCAATGCCGGCCGCCATTACAGGGGAATCCGTTGCATATGCTGAGGATGAGCAGGTGGCAGCAGGGGTAACTCAGAAAATTTTTATTAGATTATTTTTCAAATAAATAGAAAAGGGGTACACAAACGTAGGTACTAGTCTTCTTGCGCTAATGATGAGAGTAAGTTCGATTTTGTGGCAAACAATTTTTCATTATTTGAAATGGACCTGATTATAAAGACACACCCCACTTTATGAAATGACCTACTTGTGTTTCGACGACTTCCTTTCAAGCGCTTATGTTGATAACCTTAAAAACTTTAAGCAGCCTGAATTTCATTTTACGCAAGTGCTCAGCCAAGCCTACTTCGCGTAGACTCTCAAAGCACCCACCTCGATAATACTATATTATTGACTGGCCATTTAAATGTTGATTAGCGGACGTTTCTTGCATACATCTGTAGGTAAATAGGTATGCATTCGTTTGCGCAGACATAACTATCTGATATGCTTTAGCTACGGCCAATAACGAGCTCCTGTTATCCTGGTCACCAGTTCGATTGAAAAATGGTTTATTACACTACTTAAGAACCTATGTTGCTATTTTAAAAATACGCTATGTTACCAGGTGGGGAAAACAATAATATTTTGCATCTGTTCCTTTATAGGTCCATGATATGTAGAAGAGGTCTTCCCATCTTCCTGCTTCAACTCACGAAGGCTTAACGAGAACTGAATCGACCCTGCCGTAATGAAGTCACATTTTCTTTTACTCGCACTTATTCAAATTCGTCCAGAAACTGGGCTAGAAAGATTCTAGATAAACTTGAGGCCGAGAAACAAATAATACTCGGACGCAAATACAATATACTTCATAAGAGTAGGTGGGAAAAGTTGACTTCAAAACTGTTTCGCTGTTGCTAACAGAGATTTGGAAAAGTAAATTTGGTCAAGTAGTCTCTTCTGGATACCTCTTCTGGATGCACTACTGATATAATATAAAATTATTTGTATTGGCGTTTCTTTCAAGAGCAACGTCTAGGCGCTCCGTTTGGCATTGATATCTTTGTCTCTGCTCGGAAAACTAAAAGCAGTAGTTGGACATTGTCCTGTTCAGTAATTCACTCAAGTGACACTTTTATGCCTTGGAAAAATCCTTTCGAACTTTGAATAAAATAGAATAGCACGTCGAAATAAAATAGCGGTTCGGTTTTATCGATGTACCAAGGAACACGTTTTTCGTAATGTACGAAGCAGTGGAACTACTCGTACCGATTAGAAAGAAGAAATGAAAAATATCTTAATTTTTTTGCAACACTATTATTTCTATATTCGAATGTAGACTGTCCATAAGTTTTAGGTGGACGGACAGCATAACGGAAAAAAATATTGCAAAAAAAAATGACTAAAAAATCCATGATCATCTAATAAATTAAGTTGTAGTTTTTAGTGAGCATATTTCTGACTGTTTTTTTTTACGGCTTCATCCATTTCAGCATATACATGGTCTAATGATGCTGTACACAAATAAATAAACTAAAGATAGAAGGTACGCGAAGGCGTTTTCTATGAAACAAGTTAAGCTTCACACGGGCAAAGTCAGGAAATTCCGCCCTAACTATTTTTAGCTCATGATATCGCCTTTATTATTTATGTGGGCTATTTTCTGGAATTTGTGTATCCGTTTGCAGCACAAAGATAATAATGCTTGGGTCAGCTAAACTTTTATCAAATATGACTGTCTCTCGAAAATATTGAACGATTGATTGATCTTTGTTCACTACCTTTTTTTAGCACGTACTTTTAGGATCATGCCGGCATAAGATAACCATAGTTCGATACAACTAATTTGGTGTCCGAATATATTCTCAATTAATGATTTTTAATTATATGTATTGAAATAAATACGAAACAGAACTGTTATGTTAAAAAGAGTTAGCTGATTGGTACTTTTCAAGGGGACACCAGAACTGGCGACAAGAGGTGTTTCATGGATGGCCCGTTCAGTAGCTAGTAGACTAGGAAATGGCTAATTTGACGATGACCTAATAATCAAAAAAAAACAGGGACTCCACTCAGTCCGGAACGAACCAATAACATGCTATTTCAAGCAGCAACATACTATACAAAAGGGATTTAAACAGTATGATATTTTTAGTTTCGTTCATACCAAACACAGTTTTGTTCAAATATTCTTCGATGTAACACGGCCCTATTAGCTGTTTTAGATTTTCCTGAGGCTTTATTCTACCTCTTGTACGTTCAGGAAAATCATAATCGCCTTATGGAGAATCGACCCTTTGAAATCAGTATTAGTATTTCTCCAAACCTGTAGTAACCATTGCTTCTTCTTGTCGTTATTTTTCAGACTGAATTATTATGCTGTCTTAATGTCGACAGAACATGTCTACGTATAGCATATTTAATAAATCTAATTCATCTGATTTAGTTGAAATGGTTTAATATATTTGTCGCCTGCTATAATAGGTGTTTTAATTAAGATTAATTTTGTGTAATGTTCTATAAACAAGCGTTGAATTTGATAAAGCAAAAAAGAATTCATTCTTTTGTAATACGTGTATATTTATTATGTTATTATATGAACCGCTAACCTCAATCACATACACATACAATTGTTTCATAGATATATTTATTGCAATACACATATTACTTTAAACGCTCGGAATAACTATAAGTTGTCCAATATGGTCGAATTTGTACGTCTGCTTAAAACAATTTTCTGTCAGTTTTATGCCGCCAATCGACTGTAAACCGCACCTTGTCATGAATAAAGAAAAATCCTTAATTATACTTTTATGGGCTGGAATTTGAGGCAGCTCGTAGCCAGTGCTATCAACCCACATGAGACCTTCCTGATTTTCTAGTGACACTGTAAGATCGATGGCGCGCTCGGATGTATTCATAATTGTGAATGTTATAGTGAAGGATGTTTCCAACTCGATCTTCGAGGGAAACTGCTCAATAATCAGACTGATATCGGAATGTTGAAACAACGTTCGTTCAAGCTGCGAAGTTTGAAGTCGGCCTTTCTCGCCTAGAGCACTCTTCCAGATAATGTCAAGCTTACCAATGGCCGACGAGCCTCTTGCGCTCTTTTTGCCTTCTTGAGGTGATCGAGATTTTGGCCGACACGAGAACAGGTACTGTCGTGAATCTTGGGGATTAATGAGATTCACCTCACCGAAAACGCTATCTCCTGTATCATTTTGATTGAGGGCTGTTACCTGAAACTGCGGCGAAGGTTCGAGCGAAACCTTGGCTAATGTCACCGGGTTAGACGTAATATTCTGGAGCTGGGCCTCGATAAACGTTTCACCAGTTTCCGAATTATAGAACTTTGTCTTAACATCGAGTGGCTTGTAGACTTGAAATTTGAAGTATTTGCAAAACTGCATAGGTTCACCGGTCGTTGCGTTGATATAGCTCACAATACATTGCAGTAGGTGGGTACCGATTTCCTTGACTTCATGCTGGATGATCTGATCCAATGACTCGTTAGGTTTCAGAACCTCACCACCGCGAGCGATGACTGGGTTAAGGCAAACTTTATGATTTCCGTTATGCAGTTCGGCTTTCAGTTGGACACCGCCGACGTCCATGGAACTGCCATTGTGCACGGTCATATACGATGAAAACGTCTCACCAAGATAGATTGAACCAAAGGACTGCGGCAGGTAGAGCATATCTGAACTAAACACCTGTGGCCCGGAGTGGTCAGAGGGCAATATATCGAAGTCCCAAGGTTCACACATGGGGGTTCGCGTATTGGGCGTGAACGACGGTCTCGCCAACCGCATCACTTTTAAGACGACGTTGTTCATTTCCATAGTTGCGCCGCGATGTACAAAGCTTGATTTACTCACACCATTAATACAAAATAACTGCTGATGAGCTATATTTGTTTTCTACCTACTCGAAGCTGGATAATCTGTACAATTAGTAGTCTTGTAAGAGTAAACACATGTACGTCAAACAACTGTTAATACCATCTTAGTACTCGTGATCTACGTATACTAGAAAATTACGTTTATCTAAGGTGAGACAACAGTTGTAAAGTCGAAATGGGTGCACAAAATGCATGATGAAATCAGCTGGCGGTTAAAGTGCGGAAACAAATCTTCGGAACGTTGAACGTTGCTCCCTCTGTGTTTCGAGTTTTAGTGCGGTATCGCTGTTTGGCATTTCATCAGACGGCTGGCTCCCAGCACGAAACAAATTTTATCCACGCCCGGGTTTGCACCTAGACCATAATATCTCCTAAGATTAGCATGTAAATACCGTACTTACTAAGCCATCATGAGGAAAGCAGGCCGGCTGTACGTGGCGGTTTCGAAAAAAGTATGATAATCACTTAAAGGACCAACACTTTATTTCAATTCATTGATAAATATGTTCGCTTTACGTTGTTGTGGCCTTTATATCCTAATCTGTTACAGGTTGTTACATTTCTTATTATAAATTGCGTCAAATGTTTACTTCAGCGACCCAACGAGGGCAACTGATTTGGGTGTCTTAAATTTTTCAAAATTATTACCATTTAGTCAACACAGTGCTGATAATGGTGAGCTATTAATTAAAACCTCCACAAACTCCTAGATCTTTTGGTATCGTTAGTATCCTGGTGTAAAATACTGATGGTAACCCTACAAGAAAAATCTACTTGGAAAACCAGCAGAATAATCTATCTGTAGGACCTCTTCGATGAAATTATCTGTTTAGATGATTCTCATCAAAGTATATTCTTACATCACAATGATAGCAGGTGCTTTAACTTGAAGATAATTTTCACCTGAGCACTTTACAAGTGCTGAGTGCTTTCTAAAACAGATTCTTGCAGTGAATTCAAGTAATCGGCACCAGTCACTGTAAATAAAAAATAATGATCCAATTAAAATACAGTGCATACATTTTCTGGGAAATCCTGCGTTTTGTGCAATTTTTTTGCGCATATCAATTAACAATGTTGCTCAAAAAATTTACCCCTAATGTGTCAAGTTCACGCCAGTTGCTTGCGTTAGATAAATACCATGAGTATGTAATAACAAAAATAAAATTTATTTCCATACGGCGACTACTCGTATTAGTCTCGTAGCAAGGCTTCAAGTACTCATTTCGGCACTTACCGTCGGTCTTAGCCACCAAAACGGAGAGCAATAGTTATTACTACAAATTTCAGATTTAAAAGGCCTATGATCTCATTTCTGTGAAATTACATTTGTCATATTCACCAGATATATCGAAGCGCGCTAGTGGCATGCAGCACAGAATACGCAACCTCTTCGCTTTTTCGCAAAGCCAATCTCGAATAAAATCGCCTTCAGATGTACAGCTTACGTAATAAATTGTATATCTGGAAGTTGTGTATTCTTGTAACGTTATTATGTAGTAAGAACCTTCTCTTTACAGGGAGTGTCGGATGTAGCACTGATTACCTTTGATAAGATGAAAGCAAGGATTCAAGCTAAATACCATCTTTCGCAATACCTTGGACCTTACTAATAACCCTACAGAAATTTTCAGCGAAGTTTGGTTACGTTTAATTGGCTGCATTTCGAATTACAATACTTATCTTTAATAATCAATAGCTCTCCCACCCGTATTTTTGCAGAATAGAGCCTCGCATTTTAGCGCCTACATGCAAATGCTAAATACTTCCACGACAATATAATATATTTATGTTTATATATTTTTATATACAATATAATATATTTATGCTTAATATTGATGTTAATTTAGGTTCACGTCCGGGTTTCGGTGAATTTAGAAAACTTGCAATAAATACGGACCGTCCGTGTAGCATAATATTAAGTGGTCACACTAGGAATTTTTCCTTACCTATTATAGAAGTGCTTTCATGGTGTTCCCAGTTATGTTGATTTACAGGATTTTTGTGTTATGGCTCCGTTTCAAGGTCAACGTTGGGCTACTGACTTCTAACACGAAACAAAGTATTTCAACCTTAGTTTCGGACCTAAACTACTTCACGAGTTCTTAAGTTTAGTAGGCAAACACTTCATCACTAAACATTCACGTTGACTTTTTTTCTGCCAGGAATGGGTTGTTATTAATATAAAACTGAATGCTCTTATTCTGCGCGCAATATATCTTTGTAACAACAAAGTAATACGAGCCACACGCTGTTAGCTCTCGCGATACGAAAACAACATGTTAAAGGAGCGCTTTATCGATTTTAGAGTTCAAATAGTGCGCCAGTTCTCGCACTACAGCGCGTTCATTGTACTTAGTATTAGTCTGGAACTGGATGACAAGTCAAAAATAGAAAGCGTTAAGTAATGCACAGCGTGTGCGGAATTGTGCATGTAATAATAACAGCTAATCATTGATTTCACTAATTTAAAATTTGTTGTAGCTTCTATTTAAGGTGCAATACTAATCGTGTTTAATCAAAGGCAAACAGGACATAAAAGTATTAATATACGTTTAAAACAAGAAATGAGTTTTTTTTTCTTGTGGAGCAATAAGAAGCACATACGTCTTTTCTGAGGGTCAATGATACAAGAGAATCGTATTCCAGTGAATTATGAAGTTACCTACGATAATGCAATTTCTAGGTCTTTATATACAATATTAATGATAAACTTATTCTAGGGAAGTTAGATTGTTTCTATGTCGCAGATGCTGTTATTTCAGGTGATTTTTAGATTTAGATCTACTCTCTAAAATCGTGTCTTCTCTTCCTTTTAATTGAAAAAGTAATGCTATAAGATGTATTTCATTCGCAGCTTTATCATCGACTTATTATAGAAGATCTAATTGAATGCACCATTTATGTTTATTTTTGCTTCCATAATGGGGCTCGACGTACACTGAGTACCACTGCTTTAAGGACATGTCGTAGCAGAGGCGGAACTTGTTATTCGTTACGATGTCGTCTCTACTCACGATTTCATCATTTGTCTATAATGGAAGCATTCATAATCAAATTATAATAAATAGTATAAATAAAAAAAAATAGAAGTTACTCATATTGAGTTTAATGATAATTGGCGTACTTTTATTCATTTTAAAATAGTACCATATTTCCCCGTTAGAACAATACTATACATACATTCTGTAATTCGGTCTTACCTGCCAGCGACATATTTTCAAAAATCGTATCCTCTATTCAACACCCATTTTCGATATCTACATTCAACATCGTCCATTTAATGATTTTTCTTTTATATAATGATTGCTTTCCTTCAAGAACGAAGCACAAACTACCTCATTAGATGTCCACCTTAGACATGCTCCGCTTTTTTGCGCAGTTAACTCTGAGGTTTCCGAACAACATGGGCGCAGTCGTACGCTCCACGGACGACTTTGAGTTTCAATCCAGGCACGTCTTGTGTGCGGCCTTTGCGTACAAGGACAATTGAATGCTCCTGTAGATTGTGGCCTACGCCAGGGATATATGCGGTTGCCTCGCGGCCATTTGACAGCCTAACAAGAACACATTTTCGGTTGGCCGAGTTCGGCTTTTTCGGCTTCTTGATCACTGTTTTAATAACGACGCCCTTCATGAACGGTTTATGATCGATTGGGCATCGAGGCTTCGGTTTTGCTGGTGGCGGACCTGCTTTGTGCATGGACTCTAAGACTTTATCAGGAATTAGGCCGTCATTTAAAGGACCTGGCACCCGAACAAAGTACCTGCGTAAACAAATCGTTCGTGCAATTTATGGTCAAGGCTTTGTATAGTTAAGAATCATTGGAAGACGGACTCCGTGAGGCTTGGTCAGTTGTGTCGAAAAACCATGTCGAAAAAAAGAACCATTTACAAACAAGCCAGTAGCATGGAGTAAAAGCAGCTACATTACAACTTTAGTTTGGTCGTTTTATCCTTCACATCCTATAAGTAATAACTAATATCACTAAGAATTGTTGAATAAATTAGTTCTAGTCGATCTACCTCGATCGAAATTTACCTGTGTCGGATTTGTTGAACAATCGGGATTTGCGGGGTAGGCATCGGACTGGAAGCAGTATCCCGGATACATTCTTGGGACTGCCGTGAGACAACACTCAAGACGCGTGTTACTAATGAACGCAGCATTCCTAAAACGAGATGCGAAGCTATTCCTAAAACGAAATGCGAAGCTATCTCGTGAGTTAGCAGGAATTATAGAAATACGAAACAACCTCATAATCAAAAATTTGTAAAACATTCGCGAATGTAAGACAAACTCCTAAGCTTTTAAGCACAACTTCATCGTGATAATGCAGTGGTTCTATATTTTTCAATTAAACTTGACATGATGGTTTAGGTTCGGATCCGAGCATAAAGACACCGTTTTGTGATATAAACGGCCAGTCGCTTGGAGCAATGCCCAACGATTTAAGCACCAAACGTAAACTTCTAAAAAATACTCAAAACTAGTGCGAAGAATATAATTTTTTTTATACATTTACTCCACATACCGTCAGTGCTTCAATGAACAGATGAAAAAATTTGTATGTATGAAATTATTCATTGTTTTTAAGCGTACTTTGGAGCAGGTTGGCTTACAGATCGATACCTGTGCCATTATTGGTCTGAGAAAAAGGTTCATAATACGATGTCGCCATTCGAATAGCTCTGGAGTTTGATGTGATTATCTATTGGCCAAAATGGATTTGCAATCCATTTTTGTCATAAATACGGCTACAAGTTTCGTCTCACTTAGTACGTTTGAAAGCACGCGATTCATTTCGTGATGTTAAAACGACTGGATGTGCCCACTGTATAAAACACAAAAGTACTAAAGAGGCATTGCTGTACGGCTGCTTAGGTTAGGTTATTTTAGGGACATCTTTGAGATTGTTTGTTTGAGTCACTAATGGAGACCGGTCTACCTAGCATATATATGTGTTCACAAGTAGCTGGAATCAATTTATATTGAAAGTTGTCTGCTAATTTCTAATTATAAACAAAGCAGTTGAAAAAGATTCACAAAATGGTGATTTTAAAATATTCTACATCCTCAAACTAATTTATATTTTCAGTGTTGTCGCCGAAGGTTTTTCACGTAATCCGCATCTATATTGAACAGCCCGAAGTTTTAGTTTGTTTATTAGAGGTCATAGGAAGAGTGGGCTTGGAGAGAGCAAACAAATTCAAAAATATTAATTAAAAAAAATTAAATATTGATTCTTTGAGCTGATTTCTGTGTCGGTTTATAAAGACGTATGGGTCTTTATTATTATCAGTTGTCTCTCAGCTGTTTATTGAATTCTAGTTTTAATACAGAAAATGTACCTTTTAGCCGGGCCTTGATACACGAATAATATTCTTTTTGAATATCAAATTATTTTTCCGCTTTGTAAAACTACACTATAAATGAATACACTTGATAAGTCGCATCTGATTTAAATTTACTGAACTTTCTGTCGGTGCGCACATCCGAACATTAATCCATTGTTGTTGCCAGGCCCACGATTTAGTCCAATTGAAACTATCATACAGAAGAACCCCGAATCTTTCTCGAATTAAGTCTGACTTCTTGTTCGACAATCTATCATAGGATTAACATGCTTCTACGTCTCATAACTTGGGGAATGAAGAAAACTGCAAAATCACGCACTTACCGACTTATTCATGCATCGCAGACGAAATCATTACCACCCATAATACTCTGCTCGCCCGCTAAACTGTTATGCAGCTGTTCTTTAGATTCGAGGCAAACTATCATTTCGATTTCATACCGACGAAAAAATCCGTTCATTTTTTTAACCTTCGTTATCATTCCGTCAAATTTTAGCTAATTAGTGAAGAAAGGGTCGTTATATCAAGCGAAATCGTCATGAGATGTCCCGGTGGCAAGGGGTTGCCAGGTGTCTGAATCGTCGCTATTTTAGCGGTGGAGAGGTCGCCACAGCGAGGGTCTCTGTGGTCTGAAGTGTATCCCATTCGGTCGAAGGCTGATCAGCCGTAGTTACTATCGCTCTTTGTGACTGATATAGCTATTGATTATATCTTTCTCCAATAGTAGAGGCAAGCATTCCTGCGGTGGTGTGTGCGGTATAATCGAATGCTGTCCCACAGCTACTGGCACTCCAACTAACGGAGAATGCCTTTTACGTCTATGAAAGCGTGAACTGTTTTGACGTACCACCGTATATTCCTATGCCAGTCATCGGTTGTGTTCGCCAACGGCTTTCTCAGATCATCTCTGCTCTGTCACACAGGCTGGTTGAGAAACCAGCTGCAGTAGCAGCAGGGCCCATAGTGGAACAGAGCTAGTGTCATATATGATTACTGTGGTTTGTTGGATGAGATTAGAACGAGGTGTATCGCGTGTCATAATGGTTTTTTCTTCATAGAAAGATCGACGCGAGAGAAAGGAGACTACAACAACATACTCGATGGACGAGATATCATCAGGAAGATTTATTTTCGCGCAGTTGTTTTAGGGATATTGCCACGATCACTTTTTTACTGCAGCTATTTGCAGTAGTGTCACAGCAAAGCTGTTTTCTAGTTATCAGTGATGTTCACTTTTGATATTTGTTGATCTTGAAAGCATCGTCAGACTAAACCCTTATTATTATAGTGGTAATAGTCACACAAGACTAGTACGAATCGGTGTAATCTACATAATTGTTGTTACTATTAGATATTCATCTGGCTGTTAAAAAAATATGATCCTGTCATCCGACGATGACGATCCGCCCCGCCGATGCAACAAATACAATGCGCTGTTACCATACGCAGACCAGTTGGATCAGGAGGCAAGCAAACTGTTCGCCGAAATCAAGTCAAAGATTGCGGAATGTCTTTCGTCTGCCGAAATTCGACCCGGCCTAGTTAGCTGGCTATTTCATCTGCAGAGGTAAGTACCTACGTAAGAGCAATGAGACTTGAGTAACAACTGGCTAACCAAGCACTTAAGCCGAGATAGAGAAATTCAATATAATATAGCAGAGCGGACAATCAATATAAAAAGTTGTAACGAGATAACCTACGGTTTTACTGTACGATCAATGACTGAATAATTGTAAATCAATGCATTTGTTACAATACGGAGAAAATATACGGGCACCGTTAGCAAACATATGTGGGCCTGAGAATAAGGCTTTATTTTAATGCAACATAGTAAATCCATCTCTAATAACTAAATGATAGTTTTTATCCAATAGAAAAAAAATATTGGTGGCAGTTTTATTGGCAGAATTTCCTGTGTTTTTGTTCATGGCTCGTGTAAAATTCACGCTAGTTAGCCTGTGCTTGTTTTCAACTCCACGGATTATTAGGTGGATTTTTATGGTTGTTGGCGAACCGTGGCGACTGCCTATGACAACGTCTATAAAAAACAAAAACATTTAGTTTTAGAAAAGGTATTATACCATATGCGCATATATGTACATTAAGCAGGATGATGAGCTCTTGATTCGAACCAACCCGGATGTTACCATCGATGCACCAAAGTTAAAGTGCTTTGTCATCCCCGCTGTTGTAGCAGCTGCTGCGGCTAGTTTCACCGCCGTTGCTCCGGCTACTCCAGCTCTAGTGGCCGTAGACATTACGGGACATGATGGGCGCAAACGAAGACACAAATGACGAACAAAGGAGGCTGTCTGATTGGCACAACTACAAACGCCATTACTTCCTCTAACTACTTGTCGGCTAGTTCTGTTCCGACGGCTGTAGGCCTGTTTATATTAGTGTAGTTGCTGCATTCTAAAGCATTTATTTTTATAGGGAATAGAAGGTGAAGTCGTTGGAAAGGAAGGCTGGTACGGTAGAATGTAGAGATAATCATAGGTAAAACATAGGGCAATACTCCAAGCCGGATGTGCTTACAGTATTGTTATTGGTTGGTTAAAAGAAAGATAATAACAACACAGATTGCTTTTTAGGAGATTGATGTGGAAATCCGTAGCTATCAGGACAAGGACGGATATCGGAATACAAAGCTTGTCGTGATGTTTTTTGTAACATAAATATGACAGTGGGAGGCATGCGTTAGTTTAAGAAAAACACGGTTTTTGACTCTGGTAAAAATCTGGTTTTATAAGATAACTATTAACTGAATTCGGAGAACTACATTACAAATCAAATTACCCTGACACAAAATACCATAGTGTATTTTTGCTTATCGCAGCGAACTCATAAAGCTTTTTAGACCTGTCTATAAGATAGAGCGGATCATAGGGGTTGATTTACAGGTTGAAATGCTAGCCAAGTGTTGTCTGCAGGTTTTGTGAGGCACTGTATAACCCATAATATCGAATAGGAAAAATTATGCCAGCTGTAGGTGTGAAACAAAAATTAGTGTCGTCCAGGTTGAGCCAAATGTAAAAATTGACTATTATGGGTAGGTTCAGAGCAATCGGCTCTAAACGGTTTCGTGGTGAAATTGTAACCGGAGGTCTATGAAACAAAAAGATTTTTGTGGTTTTATACCAGTGACGAGGGCCCGAACAAAGGATTTCGTGATTCGAAATAATAGCTGCAATAACAGATCTCTAGCTAAGCTGTGCTAATAAATGTTTGCGTCAATACCACCTGGCAACGGAAGAGGAACATGACGAATGATGATGATTTCCTCGTTAAAAAGTATTTATACCATACAATATAGTTATCAAGAGGAACAAACTATCACAGAGCCCTGTTATTACCTTAGCTTGTTGCCCATATGAAACTACGTTGGCTGGCATGACACATGAATATCGATATGCCCGCTATTTGTGTATACCAGGTGAAATTAATTCTTCTAGAAATGGCCCTCTAAGGCCTAACTAAAACACATTAACAGCATTTTTTCTAAGTGTTGCTTGATGCCATGATTATTAAAGCTCTTTGTTTTATGTCGATGGCTGATTCTCATTTCTTTTTTTTTTTTAAATATCCCACCTTGGATTTATACTGATTGTTGGTGATACTATTTGTGAAGTATTATGACGTCAAAGTGAGACAACCCACAAAGTAGTGCCGGGTATGTTAAGATGTCAGGAGCGATGCCCTAACTGTAACCCTTTGGTGATTAAACACACTGGCAATGCTCACAGGCAAGCTGTCTAACAAGAAAATCAAGGCACGTTAACGAAAATATCGATTCTGTCTCCGAATTAAAAAGAATAGTAGTCGTTTCAATAACAGCTTATTTTTCATGTAAATTGGAATCGAGGCCATTTCTGGATTGTTTGATTTTTAGCAAAATACACCACTTATACAGCGCCGAATACTATATATATAGCAGGTTGGCAGTACTATATCTTTACTGAGTTAATAATCACAAGACTTTTTGAGTCTGATATTTAAGCTGATAAGCAAGCTGATCTTTGCTAAACATAGAACGTTCGATACTAAATATCCTTTTTATTCCACTCTTACCTTGTGAAGATAGTTTTGCTTTTCAATCGCATGAAGCTTGAATCAAGACGTCTCAGGTTTAGATTGAAATAAACCAGAAAAACTTTACTTGTTAATAAGTTTTCGAGACACCGTAGCAGCGATACCATATCTGATTAGTTTCGAAATGGGATGCATTTTTTTAAATGGTTTTTCTCTATTTAAGAGTTCATACGGATATGTTGTTTGGACGAAGATAATGAAAGTTGGGTGAAGCGGGTCGGGTTCAAGTCACATTCAAATTTACCGTATTTATAAAATCTACCATTCTAAAGAAAACCTCGCGCAATCCGAATGTATTTAAGTTGAAACGAATTTGTAACGTATGTCGCACACACTAGCTGAATCGTATCCAATTTAATTACTACAATACACCCATGTATGGAACTTTACCAAAAAGTAGATCCATCTGTTAGACTTAGATATCTGCTAATTTATTAACAGCTCCAAGGTCGCAACTATAAGAATCACGTACATACTTATTCCCTTAAGTTTCGTCAAACGATAACGCGTTGCGGTTCGTGGTTTTGGTTCTGTGTGATTGACTGCAGTTTCATAGGCCTTCACGGCTTTCTCTTCAGCAAGGAAGACCATGTAGAACTAATACATTTGCTCATCGATATCGTGCTTCTGCCAGATCTTGATCTCGGAACTGTCCAAAAGGTGTCGTCGGCTATCTGTCGCCTGCTAAGGTAAGTCTGTCAAATCGGGCTGGATATAATTTATTTTCAACCTGACATTAGGATATTACCTAATCGAAATGGCATGAAAAGAATCGAAAATTTTGTTTCATTATACTTACGGATGGTACTGCACTTCTTTAGATTTTACAAAATTACAATAGATTCAAACGAATCGACTCAAACGAGTTGACTAATAGGTACATAAAGTATTTTTGAACTTACTGGTTTTCGGAGTGCTTTCCAAAAAAAAGCTGTCGCTAAAAAGTATGGGGCCCGCGAAGCGGTCCTTTTTTAATTGGTGCTGAAAGGAATTAGCCGATTTTTTTTATTAATAGGATCAAAAATCCGCGCAAGGCATACCATATGATTTTCTGCAAATGCAAATGTTCAGTTTCGAAGTCCCTTTTTGAGTAAAGATGGTTATTAGGCTTTTGCACGAGCACAAAATAAAATATTCGTCGTCATGCCTTGTGCATATCAGCTCTCCCTTCTCCAGTGTCTTTAGCTTCTTTAGTTTCTTTTAGTACATATATAAAAAGGAATAGCTACCAATAGCTACCTGTAGTGTGATTTATAAGACTGAGGTTGCAAACAGCGGCAACCAGTAGCGAAATGGTCATGGTAAAGAAATTGGAGACACGCCAACTAACACTTAATCAAAACTACGTCGATTTACATGCGGGCTGCGTCTCACGTTGATCAGTATTTGGCTGAAGGTCTTCTGCGGGTCTAGATTAAGGGATAAGGCAGAAATTTAATGACTTCTATTTACGTCAACCAGGAAGAGAAGGTTGCTCGTAGAGAGCCCGCATAGGGAGGACACTAAATGGCGCCGAGTACAAAGTATACGGCCACTGCTGTTGCCGATTGTAAGTGAACTCACAGGGGCCATTTTTATTTCGTTGATGCGGCGGTACAGGAAGGGCGGCAATGAAATCTAGTCATACGGAAAATTTGTAGCAGCTTGAGTAGTATAAGGGTGTACCGCTTTAAAGCTTTATCATTGATCCTATGCACTTCCTAATATTGTTTTCAATAGAACTGCTAAACCAATATCGTGAAAGCAACATCGTGAACATCGTATCATTAGTCCTAGCCAGGCAGAGAAAAGTCGAATTTGAAAACCAAACCAAATGAGCGGGTAACATTTTTCAACTCCAGCCTTGTATTGCGTGGCAATGACCGCTGGGTCTCAGAAATTTATGGGAAGAAATTAGAAGCTTCCCCATTCCAAGCGCATTCTGCTGACTGACTCAAAGAGAAGTTTACATTGCTACGGCTGAGCTTCTTGGATGACAGAGTATATTTCGGCAACAGGCCACAATTTCACTGTGAGAACAACCCGAGGGATGGGTTAGCATAACTCCAAAAAATATAAGACAATATAGTACAAAATGCCTGCAATCGAAAAATTCCGGGGTAGGACTTAGCCTTTGTTCTTTCTTATCTAACAATTGTCGTTATACAGGAACAAGTTTGTAATGTCTCCTACTGTAGCTATTTTCTTCAAAAAAATCATACGAACTAACCAGCTTTTAGTTTATCCGGCCAACCGACATATTTTAACCAGCTGGTAAGTCTACCGCTGCCGCTAGCAGGTCGCCCATATGCAAATGAGAAGGTCTCCGAACTGTCGAAAAGTGTGCCAGCGATCTGCTCGGTGAACCTTGACACAGGACCGTCAACAAAAAAAAGGCGCAAGCCGAGATGCTTGCCTACTTATCGTATATTTTTTTTTAATTGAATTTGTGTGCTTACTCATTGATTAACAACGACACTTGTTCTGTCAAGTATAACACTGTGTCCTCATGCATTTATCAATCATATCTGGAGCACTATGCGTAATTAAAGACTTTGTTTTTTAGTGTAAGGTAATCTCCCTCTATAACTCATACTCCTATTCGCATTTTTTTTATTAAATTTAGATTATAAAGTTTAAATTATGTAAATATGTGATATCTAAGCCAATAATTTCTTGCGAATAAAGCACTCATAAGACATAAAAGAAGACTCAACTTTTTTTCGTCCCCCATTATCCTCAACATCAACTACGCAATTCTCATGACATGCCAAGATTACTCTATAATCTGACATAACATGTCACTGCCTGCACTCTTCAAAATGTGCATATATATATATAAGAAAGGAGGCAAAAAGGGTCTTAGCTTTGTTGACCGTAGTCTACTTCGCTAGAAGGTCTGGGTGATGTCTCGTTGTTAAGCTGCTGGCTATCGCTTTGTCTCTCGAAGCAACTAGCAGTTAGTGAGTCACTGGTGACGACGGCTCTTTCCACACCAGTACCCGCTGCTGCGCCATGCCAATGTCCTACGTTTCTGCGTTGTTTTCTTCCTTGAGCTCTGTCTTGATCTTGAACCCGTGTTCAGTCACTCGTTTAGCCGAACTCAGCCGGATACCGACTGTTGGCTACACTACGCAGGTTGTCGTCCACGAATCTAGCAAAAATACGTTTACATTTACACTATTTTACTAAGACAAACTCTTGACCACAATGTGGCCAAACAGGGAATCTTTATCACCTGTCCAGGAAAATAGCTTGAAAGGCATTGGCTGGTATGAGACAGTGTCAGGAAGAATCCGGTGATGAAGGCCAGACCTTGACAACATGCGTTGTAATAGCAGCCACATCGTTAGAGAGCGTAAGCAGCGCCTTTATGACAAATTCTCGCGTCAAATGAGAGTGAATAGGCAGCGGGCAACGGTTCAACGTCATCTATCCAGTACTGAGCTTAGGCAAGGCATGCCGGCATGCTCTAGACCCGTAGTGGTCTTTTTGCCAATTGCTTGTACCACATTGTTTTCCTTATTTCAGTATAGTTGCTCGGTGCTTTGCGTTTCTTGCTGACAGTTTGAAAAGCATCCACAAAGCTGGTGCTACTTATGGTAACGAAAAGGTAATAATCGAACGACTATTTTAGCCAATGCAATCTGCTGCTAAATCTTGGCCTCAGCAAAATTTGAATGATAAGGCCTTGAACCACACTTTCTGAACTAAGCGGCACTTTTAAATCCTCAGCGCCAACACACTGGCGTCACTCAGTCCCTCGAAGGGCTCGTTAAAGCGTGATGCAGGTCTAGTTGCATATTGCTACTCATCGAATCCTAATTGATATGATACACAAACAGGAATATACGAATTGCATTTATGAAAGAAACCCGTTAGCTTTATTGAGGTCGACAACAGGGATAGGCTTTTGTGGATTTGTTTGTTCTAATGTGCGGGGTAATCAATTAAAGCACATGAAAATTGAATTCGATGTTATGCACTGTGAACTATTTTTAGAAACACCGTGTCTTGAGGAACTACGTACACTATACATGCACCGTTGTTAAAGTGATGTGAAACACGCTACGCTAAACCAAAGTGACCCAAAATGAGTTCTCATCGTCATTAGAGACGTGAACTAATAAATGAGCATTTTTTTTATCTTTTTATAAACAAGATTATGTTACGAACGCTTTTGGGTATTCAGAGCCTCGCCATGGGTGGTTATTGTCCTTGGTTGATGTAGTGGTTCTTGAGTGAATGTGGCACAGGAGTAAAACGTACCTGTCGTAAGATGAACGTTTTGACAATTTCTTTTTCGTGTATATGATAAAAGCCTACAATGAATTCTAAGGTGTATATTCGAAGTTGCCGCGGTCGTCTGTACGTGAGTGCAACGAACGCACAAATTAACAGCAGTAGAAACAGTACAGCTACTAGATCGTTTGCAAACCTCTCGAATTGTTCTTTTCAAAATGCATTTCAGACAGCGAACATTACTCACCTACAACAGCTGCCTTGATATAAATGTATATGTATGTCTGCATCTTGTCCAAAGGGCCTCATTGCCCGAGAATTGCTAAAAACTATGCGATTGAATCCCTTTTGTTATTTACGATAGATGCTTTCCCTAAATTGATGTTTCAGTACTGTATTTGTTCAACACAGAATGTTATACAGAGGTAATCATGATCTATGTAATAATCATAATCTATAATAAAATTAAAAAAGATACAATTTGTAATTTTACAGAAAGAAGCATTTGCTGACCCCAAGTGACTTGACCATCGAATGGCGTCCACTGTTTCAGCTGACCGAACGTTGCCTCAACAGGTCTTTCGAGTATCATGGTCTAATCCAGTGCCCGCAGACGCTCGAGTCCCAGCTAAACACATTGATACGATCATGTCGGCCTTATTTCCATTTGTCAGCTACTAAAGAAATGTTGGACGAGTGGCTCGTTGACATGTGTCCGTATGACGACTTCCGGGATACCTTAGTTCGGCGTCTTCAGTTGTTCCTACCAACGACGTTGCCGCCTGAACATTTTGACAAAGGTTGGAAACTTTGGTTCGAGCGGTTCGTAACCTTGTGGCGTCTTGACCGCAGAGGTGGAACAGAAACAATACTTGTCGGGCTGTTCGCTCGACTTGCAGAAGACAACATTGGATATATCGACTGGGAACCGTACGTGCCTGACATATTCACACGACTACTTCGATCGTTCAATCTGCCGTACGGGAATGGTAGTCTTAAGGTATCGCGGAGCTCGCCTTCAAGCCAGTGCGAGATTGCTCAATTTACACGATGGATTGTGGCATGCCTCGGGGGCGGGTCATCAACGCAGCTGCATTTAGAATTGTTGTTTAAAACCATCGAATCATTTTATCATCCTAGTAATTCTGGCAGATGGACTTTACGACTAACGAAGTTCCTAGCCAAGCTTACTGATGGCTTTCTCGACCGAGTGTGGCAAGAACGCAGGAAGACGAAGACCTGGTGTCACGAGATCCCTGACAGCAAGAAACTTACCGAGAGCGACATCGATGCGTTCGTGAAAACCATCCGACCGATCGGGCTTATGGCGATGTTTTTGAAGATGCATTACACTCATGGATGCACATCACTCCAGGCAATCGCCTGGCTTCGACCCGAGGCCGTAGTGCCTTCTCTTCTTGAGAAACTCAACGATGCTCTTTACAACGTATCCGAACCGCACCGATTAACAGCGACGCTTGTCTCGATGGCATTCGTATCACGCCTATTAGTCCTTAATCACACCAAAATGGGTGTGCCTATAGATATTCCTGGCCTTCTTATGGCCTGTCTACCTGGCATCGATCCTAATGATAACCGCAAAACAACGGTCACATTCCAACTCATTTCCACTCTCGTAGCTGTAGTGCCCCTGGTGGACTGTAGCAGCGTAGCCGATGATGTGGACCCGTCACTTCAGGAGGTTTGTCTGACAACAGCCGCTTTCGAGGACTTTGTTCTCGAGCTAATCTCGAGGTGCATGGCACTAATCGACAATAACGCCGCCGACAATCAACATCGGGAAAGCCAGACGAGCTCGTTAGATGACAGCATCCTCGATGTGGGACTCGCGTCAACATTTTCAGCAGTCTTCAACCAGTGCTCGCCGGCAATCTATCGATCGGCGCTTGATAAGTTGACTGGACTGATCGATAATAAGATTCTGAGTCGGGTGCCGGGTAAGCAGGTTGCAACTATGGTGCGATGCGCAGTTTCCGCTAATCCTCAGTTAGGATTAGAGACGTTCCTGATACGTTTTGCTAAGCGGGCGTTGATCCTGCTTGAGCCAGATGAGGTTTTGCAGGAAGAAAAAGTGGACAACGAACTTCAGTTTTCACTCACGCTGTTATCCGAGGTTGTGCGCTGTAACGGAGACGGAATTCGGCCTCATATGCTGCTGATAATTAAAGTTATTCGTCGTGGCCTTAGGCTGAATTCGCGTACAGGCTACCTCGACTCAGGACTCATACTGCGTCACACATTTAGGGCTCTGGTGGCCGTGTACCCATATTTCTATCGAGTTACCCCAAGACCATCTGTCATAACCGCTGAGAATCTACCAATTCCACATTGGGGTGCAAGTGAGGACATGACGAGCATTCAGATTAAGTGGCACACACCCTCAGATGAAGACATCAACTGCGCTAAAGAACTATTCGAGGCATGTAGTCAACCTGAGATCGATCGACTTCGACGTTGGTGTGACGATCCGCAAAAGAACTCGATGACCAAAGAGGAAGTGCAAAGGTCACTTACCGTCATCTGGGATACACTTCAGGGGCTCGGCTCATGCTTACCTCCTCTGAGAGGAGAGGGAATCAATGTGCTCCAAACAAATACCTCTATATTTTGCAATCGTGTCCAGAACACAGGGAAGAAAATCTTTTCCGAAACGCTCCGCGAAAGTATTCTGGTTAGTATGATGAATATATAGCGTTCGTACAATCAGTTAGTAATTTCCTAGTAGTTTTTCTCACGTATGACTTCTACCCCCCCCCCCCCCCCCACCAGAACGACATTGAACGAGTGGTGTTAACGGTGTCAACGATTTACGAGGACGATATTAAGTCGTTCATCTTCATCTGTCGCATTATCAGCTCAGTGGCGTTCTATTTTGGCGTGACCAAACCCGAGTTCGAGGTCCGCTATAAGGGCTACAAGTTAGCCAAACAGATGTTTGATCTTCGACTTGTCGAGAGCTCGCTAAAGCATACCCGTTCTGTTATCGTCGGTAAGTGTCTTTACTTTAATCTCTACTATAACAACAGCTTGCGTGTTCACATCTTTGTACATACGCTGGACGCAAGCGTCAAAAAAAAAAGCTTTTCTAAACGATCCTTGATTAAATAGAGAAATATGGCAAATGTATTAGTAGGTTCCAGTTGTACACAATTTGCTCGCAAGTGTGTTTCGCTGATGTTTGACTATTCCGTGTTATTATGCATTAATTAAAGACCGCGCTCAACTACAGCATGAGCTAAGGCTGATGCAGGTGTGTCAACAATTTACCAACAACCACAAACGGGCAATGCAGATTTTGTTCAAATTGGCCATTTCACATTATTCTCAGGTATGTTGTCATCAGTGCCTTAACGTCAGTATCGTTCTTAGCTGACTGCTTCTTATTAATATAAATATAAATATTATTATCATTATTTTTATTTTGGGGAGCACAACTGTGAGTTACGGGCTATGATCGCCGAGTCATGTGCTCCCTAGCTAGAATATCAAAGATATGAACTCAGGGCCTTGTGACATGTATAGACGATACGCGCTTACTAACTCAACGTGTATTGTATTAACGCCAACGCTACAGTTTTGTGAAATATCATGATTGCATAAATGAATATTATATCTGTACCTGCAAAATATAATGCCTCTAGATATAGAAAGATATAAATCAGCCCCTGTTATGGGAGCTTTATCTTTACAGCGAAACCTCACCCTAAAACTCTCTATTCGATGGATATACCTACTACGGCGTAGATTTTGTTCTCAATAGACTTTTAATAACACATTAATGAAAATATTTTAGACCAATCACGTGTAACTTTAGGAAAATAGCATTTAGGGCGTTGGTCAAATGTAATTTTGATTTTTTAGGTGCGAATTCAGGCGCAGGATGTTCTAGACGCCTTTTTCACGGTTTTCTCGCGCAGTTATCGGTTCGTGCTTGATGACGTATGCTCTTTACTTGTCAGCCCCTCGATAAGCCATGACCAGTATAAGGGTATACTCTACACTCTATTAGGCAACAAAGACCACAACATTCTAACGACAAACAACTGGAACGCTATGGCCAAGCTGTGGCCATCACTTGTGAGTGCTCAGCATTCAGAAAAACCGTCTATCATCACGTTGATTAGTCGTCTTCAGGACCAGGTACGTTAAGACATACGTCTGCTAGAGCGTCTAAAGATCTTATTGTGTTGCGTTTGCGATGTTTCAAACAGATTACACTTTGTCAGTGGTTTGTACTTATTTCATCATTCGGCCGACACTTTAATTTGGTGATTTTCTCTACTGTGCTCATTAATGCTTTTTGGTTTGTTTCCAGGTTGTCAAGTACATGGAAACCTACCCGATGGTTACCAAGGTACCAGTGCAGATAGCAAGGCGGGCACGCGCTCTAGCAGGGACACTTATGGAGACCTCTGAGATCAAACCTGATGATACACCTAAAACCTCTGAGCTAAACCTAGAGAATCTAATAATGAATGGAGAAGCAAATGAGGCAGTTTATGATAAACTCGTTGTCGATCTCACCAAACTGGTTGGCAGCGGAAAGCTGTAAGTCTTCGATCATTATCGTTATTAGTAATACTGCTCGTGTATAATAAACACCTTAGAATTAGGCGTAGTCAAGTTCAATTGCTGCTTTAGAATTGCGTATAATTTGCAAATACTTTCAGACACTGGCGACATCACTATCTCGGATTGGTTATGCTCAAGATGTTATTACGGCACGATCTTTCCTTCAAAGAGGAAACTGTTCAGATGATCACGGATCATCTGATATCGGAACACTTGCGTACGCGTAAAATCTGTATTGATATCCTTACCGGAATCCTTTATCAACAGAAAAGGAAAATGCTTAAAGTTAAGATAAAGCGCGAAACTATCGAAGAGGTGAACGCCAAAATTCCGCTCAACCCGGCATTTGCAAAGTGCCTGGAAGGCCGCAAAAATCGACCATTCAATTTATTTCTGCAGCTTAACTCAGCCAACTATCCTGATACGCAAGAGCGCTGGGACAAGGCCATTTTCATACACAAACCCTATGTCGGTTACAGTGGCCTGAAGGATGAAGTCGAACTGTATGCGCCGGACAAAGAACAATGGCCAATTCCTAAGCCCGAGCAGATGAATCCTGTAGAACAGGTTATATTCGCACACTTCGCCGACCCCGAGTTCGTTAAGCAATTTATTTTCTATTTAGCCATTGAAGAGAACAAAGGCCGGGATAAATTCGAGGGCAAACGGGTGGGCTTTTTTAAAGGACTGTTTCGTAATTATGGCGACGCGTTCATTGGCAACTTTGAAGGGTACTTGAACAAGTATCTCAAAGAAAGCAAACAGGAATCAGAACAAAGATGTGCCCTCGAAATTCTTGCAGGAATGGTACGCGGAGCTAAACACTGGAATTTCGAGAGAAACCAAAATCTGGCCAGGCTCGTTGTGCCGTTATTTGAAGAGGGTACAGCAAACATTTTACCAGAGACAATGGCAGACTGGGGCGCTTGCGTGGCGACAATGCTTGAGGCGCGGGATTGCAACAAGTTCTATTGGTTCTTTGAGGTGATTACCAAAAACTTATTCGAGGGCAGCTCGTTTATTCAGGCTAGCCGTATGTACACGCTTCTTGGTGGATTGGTACAAATGCGATGGCGAGTGCAGGAAATCGACCATCGTCTGCTGGAAGAAATAATTCCAAATTTGGCACACCCATACCTCAACGTCCGCGAACGTATGGCTCACTTGTTGGCGAACATTTTCGCGTTCGACGTACGTATTAACGATGGTATGATGACAAAATTTGATAACGAAGACCACTTCGTGCTAGCGCCGAAAAGCATCGACTTTGAGACGAAGGTGCTGAGTTCGCTCGAAATGCTCAAACTCGACAATCACGAACAGGAAAAGGAGGCGGCCAAGAGACTCTTCCAAACACGTGAGTTTGATTCTGTCGTGTGATATCTAGTCATTGATTAGCTAGAGATCTGAAATAACCTAAATCTATATATTGTATTATAGTAACCATTTTCGTCAATTTTTTGGGCTGTAATCATGTTTTGCCATTCTTTCGGTGAGGCAGTGCTTAAATGGCAAGCGTCGCATTGTGTCCAATCATACGCATGTGTCCTTCCACGAGAAGCCCTGATGTTGATTCCAACGGCATGCCGGCTTATTGCGGATACCAGCAACGAGGAGCTTCAAAAAGATTGTGGCATTCTAGTAGCACTCCTTGGCTATGAGCTATTGTCAAATCAAACGCTTCACCTTGTCATCGAAGCTGTGCAAGCCAGTCTAAATGAACCTTTTTGGAAGGTAGGTGAAAAAGTTTGTCCATGTCAAAACTGAATTAACTTTATTTCTATAGAATAAGCTATCGTTGTCTTATACATAGTAAAGCAATAGTTAATTTCTAGGCACATCTTATCGTGATAGTAGTACTAATTTCAATATCCAGATTGTTTAAATTAGATGTGATCTTGTTATATAGAGACACTAGAAGGCTTTTACGTGGCCTACTACGGTCAATGTGGTTCCACCAATACATAGCTTTAATTGTTTAACTAGATATTGCTTTCTTTCTTTCGGCCCTAAACCAAAAATAGGTGCGTACTTTCGTCGTATCGCTGCTTCTGTTCGTGACTTACAGCAATCTGTTTTCGGTTAGCGCCGATCCCAAATTAATGCAAGACATCAAGGACATCATCTTTAAGTAAGTGAATAGGTAAAACGTGTGACTGAATAGACCTCTGTTGGCTTCAGAATCTACTAGGTCAGGTCTACATACAAGTCTGCAAACTTGGTAATTTGTTAAGGGTTTCAACGGATGAGTGCAAACAGTTTAGCAAATTCGAAGATCCGAAGTATATGGTCAGCCTTCATTTGTACACTGGTAGGATCTTACTAGGTGTTTTTTTACATATGCGTAAGTCAATTAATACGCGACCGTCAATAATCGTCGTTCTTCAAACTCGTCTGCTATTCAGGGTGATCGCTGACCAGCGAGTTGAGGTTCGCACAGCCGCTCAACAGGCCCTATCTGGCCTGATCCACTGCGGACTCATCGCCGTCACCGATGAAATGCTCAACAAAACTAAGCGGAAATTAAACAAAACTTCGCGCCAACTTCGTGATCGTCGAGCAGCACGTCGTGCTCTTCTAGAAGTGAAACATACTGCATCGAAAAACGACGTTACACAAGAAGGAAACTTAGGTGAGCTTCCGTCAAAGGTAAAATTGTCAAATTTGTCGAGTGGTTTAGGTAAGTCTCCTGAAAAGATCATTTGGAACGGCAATATCTAATACTTTGAGTAAGAGATCGGTTGATATCTCGTAACGTTTGTTAAAAAGGGGTTTTTCTTTACTGTAAGGAAGAAACGAGGGTAAGCACTCATGGAAATCTTGTGCAAAAGAACTACTTCAGCATCAAAAATCTTTTAGATTTTCGGATATGTAAATATACATATATACACCGAATTTCTGAAGCCTAATGAATGCCATGGTATTCCCGTAAGATGAGGCAATAGCGGTTAGTCATCGAATCAACATATTGTCGTCACCCTGTTTTGCAGATGAGAAAACCGTGGAAACGAAAAACGCCCGTGTTGAAAATGATTCAGAGCTCATTATTAATTACCATGCCTGCGCCTTAGAATTGTGCGCTATGGTCAATGCATATCCTTACGACGTCCCGGACTTTATGCCCGATGTCATCTGCACACTTGCCGAGCACGCGAATGCCCCACAACCAATAGCGGTTAGTATTTGTCGTTGCCCCTGTTGACCGTTTAGCTTACGCGATTAGAAAGTTTTGGTTCTAATACAAATGGAATAATAATAATGCTTGCTAAAAATAAGAACGACATTAGTTATTACAATATCATATGAACCCACTTAATATTGTTATTATGAAACAATTTTATAATTCAATCGGTGTGGTGATTCTTACAGTCAACGATTAGGAAGACATTATCAGACTTCAAGCGGACCCATCACGACAATTGGCGCAATCATAAAGACAAATTCAGCGAAGAGCAGTTGGGTATAATTACCGATCTGCTCGTATCCCCATCATACTATGCGTAAATACTAGCAGACAAACACCGGTCGTAAAATATTTAATGGTAGATTATGTTTTTAGTAAATAAGATGAAGAAACTCTTATTTAGTAATTAGTGAGTAACATGTGTGGTCCAAAAGCAAGGTGCTTACTTTCAGCCCAGAACATGTTCTGCGACAGGGCTTGTGCTCGTCGCCGTGAGACTGCTGGGCTTTCAGTACGGCGCATGCTAGCATATTAGCGTAGAAGGAGAGGCTTTCATCAAAACCGATGGGGAAAGCTTGATTGTTAAAAAAACTCGTACCTGTAGGTTGCTATTACCGGTAAAGCAAACACTTGTGTTGCCACCTTTAATGGTTTAATTATATAGACAGGAAAAACCCTGTAGTGGGCCAGGTTTCCACATCTCAATAATTTAAACTGCTCGGAAACATCTTTTATGAAAAAAAACTTATCATTTCGTCTCCCTACCACAACGATTTTTTTTCTCTTTAAATCGCTAAGCGATTTTAATGAAATGGTTTTTTCCGTATTGTGGCTTATTGAGCGATTGGTCGTTTACCTTGGATTTGCGAAGATAGTGAAAAAGACATGAATAAATACATCATCAAGAACGGGGCAGATAGTTAACTATAGTGAAATATTGAATTAAGCATGCCTCCTGCAATTTTAAGTGGAACTCTATTCGTAGAAAAGAAGCTATAGAAAGATGCGCAAATAGGGATTTTTGCTCCTGGGCTGCGATCGTACAGCGTCCGTACAAATTATCTATACATTTCCTATAGAAAAAAACTCGAGACATTTTTTTAACCTATATTTTGATTGTAGATTAATTTTCAAGTGCACTCTTGTGAAAGCGGAAAGGGTCATGTCTCTCTAGCAGGTTTTTGCGCTTAGAATTATTATTCATTTATTGATTTTACCTAAGTATGTGTTTTCAATGTGCTATGTGCTCCAACAAAATAAGAAAAATATTTTTCATTAACTGCGCGCAAAATAGGTAAGGCGGAGCTGTAGGTGAGGCTACAAAATAACGAACTAGACTAATTGATATATTTCATTCGATAATTAAATGAGTGTGTTCGACTAATAAAACGCATTGTTTTATTTGCGCGGCTTTGAGAATAGCAGAAGGTGACAGCCGTCCTTGTGTAAGGCCCGTGGGGTCTATCAAAAGTGTATTATTTTATTAGGTTCTCTCTCTCTGAACACATGTTCAGTTAATTCGCTTTCCCCACAAAGTAACTTGTACATGAAAGAGAAAGTACAAACTAAAAAGACGTGTAGTTAATAGTAACGACGACCCAAAAAAGGGGTCAAAGGTGAAAAAAAACAAAGTAGAAACTCTTAAATGCGGAACTGGAATACTATTAGCAATACAGTTATCTTACAACATCGTTTACATATCGACTAACTGCAGTTCTGTGTAGGTGTGTGCAGTCCGCTAGATACAAGCGCGTCATATGTGCAACATACGTTGGAAATATAATGGGCTGTAACCTCTGCTTCTCCCTAAAGCTGTTGCTCATTCGTCATAAATTACCCGTGTCGATGATCAGGCAAGTTGACGGTGTAACCTCAAATTTCATACTGTGTTCTGCCCTAGAGTGATCGGAGTCGCACACCAATCTATATTGAAGTAGTATATGGGTATCTATTGGAGAAAGTAAACTAAATAGTTGAATAGGTTTGTCCGTTCGTGGTATGTCTAATAAATAGTTGTTGTGGGATGCTCGAGGGGGGAAGGATAACTTCGAATGATCAAACTGAAACTATGAAAAATAGACTTGCACCGCAAGGAGGAAAAACGTTTGTGTATGTCACAGTATTCTAAGAATCAATACTGTTTCGTTGAGATAAGAAAATCTTGAACTATTAGAAGTAGACAGAGTTCCAACTATTTATATATATATCGATACTGGATATATATATATATATATATATATATGTCCAGTATCGATGGGTAAACAAATAGATAGTTGATACTAGTAACAACATTGTAAGCGAAAGAGAAAAATACAGAATGGAGTCGAAAGAAGTGTTGACTGTTGCTGTCCCTTTGTTGTTATAAACACACCTATTTTTAATGAACAGTCTTATACTCTTGTATACAGGTTGGCGTATACGGTATTCGCTGTAATAAAAAACGAAAATGTGATTTTGTTAAATTGTCTATTCACTTCTGTAGTTGCTCAGTAATGATCGCTGAAATTAACTTTGCAAAAGTTAATTAATAATAAAGGTATGTAAATCCTTTCTTCAGAAAAAAAGAGAAAAAAACGAAAATAAAAAAGTTTTAAATTTAAAAATTTTTTCTAAACATACTTTAAACGTTATAAAAAAATTTAAAAAACATAAAATAAATAAGATATAATTGTTTTTACATACAGTTATTCCAGCGGAATTTTTATGTGTGCTAAAAATACCATTACTAACAGTCGTGTTTCTTCAATACAACTATCAATCTGCGCGATCACTTTCGATTTAGGACCTAAACCACTCACTTGTTATTCTCAGAAAATCCGCTAGTCCGTCTAGCAATATATAATATATTCCTTAATGTTGCTCAAATACGTTGCATACGAAAAATTTCAGCGAAACTAAGGTCAAGATGATGGCAAGTTGAAGGTCTTAAAATCCAATGGATTAAAACGGCCAATAAAAAGAACTGTTTAATAAATAATATAATAAATAAGAATAAAAAGGTGACCAACTGTTATAGCTTTCTGGCTAACTTGACTGGCAATTGATATTTTGCTTTTCATAACGACCGTATAAGAGGTCTCATGTGTTACTTTTTGGGTCCACTTCCGATCTTCAAATTCTTTAACTATAAATTATTGAGGTTTATACAGTTAAGCTCCCAAAAATCTTCCTTAGATTTGTCGAAGCTACATAGAAACCTTTGATTTTGGGTAAACAGCTTTCAGTATCGGTAAGAGTTCGTCCTGCGTCAACATATTACATAATCGTTGATATTCGATGAAATTCGGAAAACTCGGATATTTTCACTATGACGAGTTTTCTGTTTTGTTCTAGAGAGAATTGGTTCTTTGCTGGTAGAATGGCGGATGATTTTATGCCTGCTACGTTTACGTAAAGAAAATGAGTCGATAGAATCTTTCCATAAAACAAACAGTTCAGTTGTTGCGACACTTAATACTGCTTACACAATGAAGTCTACTTTTTTGTTCTCTTCTTTGTGAATGAAAAAAGAAATGCCTTTTATTTTTTGTAGAAAAGAAGAACTTGAACAACTGTTTATTTGGCACGCGTTCTTTTGTATTAATTTGCACAGCCTGTTTACGTTGCTACTATAAGTAGTCACTAAAATATTTTTTGAGCAACTGATGTCGCAGCTGCAATTCGACCTTGTTCAATGCGAAGTCTATTTGGAATTCATTTGGATATTGTTGCTTTCTATCCTGAGAAGTGTTCCGTATTTTTTTTTTTGATGTCGGAAATGTGAAGCACTATAAATGACAGGTTTTAGCGGTGACCGAGCTTCGGTAAATTATTGTTATGATTACTATAATGCATTGACTAGGGCACGGTGTAAACTCAGCACCGAACTTGATGCTTTTCCGTTCTCAACTGCTATTGCTCTAATATATTAGTCGTGTGTATATTTATGTCACGTGTAGAGTAATTTCAGGTGCATGTTGCGTTCACTAAAATCGTAGCCTGTCACTCTAGGCAATCGAAGCTTTGCATTCTGCGTAACAGTCTTGAACGTGGCTATTTATGTTTTGCAATAGACAAGCTTAACGATATTTGAATATTCTGAATGCTTTGTTCGGTTGTTTGTCCATCAGAAATTTGCGCATTTGTTTCAAAGTTTGGCTAGTGAAACAACGCAGTTTCTGCAAGGAATGCCCCTCGTATGAACCTTCGTGTATGAACCCTTGCTATACTGCAATGGCACCGGAACAGAACGTGAACGAAAAACAACGAGAACTATTTCGAAATGTAAACTCTATCGGCGGCCCTGCTTATTGCTGCACGATGTCTTGTAAATAACAAGTAATTAGCAAAAATCCACTGCCTGCCGTTTTGTGAAAGGCATTTAATTATTAAGCTTTACATCGTTGTCATGGTGAAACAACACTATGATAATGTGGGGAAAAAGAAAATACCGCTTCTGAATAGCTTGCTTGTTTTCTTCCTCTATGTTATTACATATCCCCCAACCAATAAGTTAGCATTATCTTCTATGCGCATCTTTTCTGCGCCTACGCAATTTATTAATTCTCAACTAGATAGTATATCCTCAAATATTTAAATCGTTCGCCTGCACTTATCACATTGTATGTATGATGTAAGTAAATTTAATTTCGATGAGATTCGTATGTTTCTTCTATTTTTCCACATTATCAATTCTTTCCTCGTAAAGCGTCTGTCCCAAAGTGTAAAAATGCAACGCAAAGACGTTTCTGCTTTTAGCGGTTTGATTTTTTTAAACAACCGCAACCGATTGGCTAACCGAAAAAACGGTGATCTCATGACAGGCCTAACTGTTTGTCCAGTCGTGTGTTTTTATATGTCCGCCCCCAAACCATTTGTGGGCGTTGCGGAACTAACCTCGGTTGCCCTTGCTGGTGGCGAATTCGCAGCGCGTGCGGCCGATGCTGTAATCAGTCGGATAAACTCCGACATGAAATTCTCCATACCAGAGTAGCCGGGAAAGTTGTTCACGTCGATGACGTACAAACGACCAGTCTGCTCTTCGACAATGACATCGATCCCGCAGAGCGTTTGTTTTGTTGACTGTCGAACGGCTTCAACAGCTCGAGCCAGACGTCCCGAAAATCCGACAGAATCACCCCGTTTGTCTGGTCGGTGCCATGCTTCTCGCTGCGAGACGAAACCAAATATAGCGAAAATATGTGACGTAGTTTCCATGCATGAAAATCTCATAAAACGGTTAAGCTATATTAATACAAAGTTCCCAGCTAACAATAAGATTTTGTCACAATAAATAGCAGACTAGTCGAGCAGGTATTTCATATTTGCAATTGTCCATGTACGCATTTGCTTTTAGCAATAATTTTTTCTTACACTTAGAGTAACGGCTGGAACCTGCCTCTATTGCGCGGACGACATCCGTATAGTGGGTATTAACTTAGCGGCCTTTCACAGATGTAGATGCAGAGGTTAGAGATGTTGATTTAGTCTAGCTGTGCATATTTCTATTTAACAGTTTACGAAAAACGTAGCATCGGTTATAATAAATCTCGCGGGACTAAGCGAGCGACTAACACGCCGATTCGCACAGGAACGCATGACTTACGTCAATTAGTGGCGATGATGCATCGGGCTTCGATATGTCATGTGAGTGAAATTCGATAAGATCCTCCTTAGATGATGTTGTGATATTTTTAAACGAGGGTCGTTTAATCACGCTGAATGTCGGACCTACAACGAATACCTGGAATGATACCGTAACGTTAGCCTCGTATGACATTAAGCTGTCAACGATGAAGGTCGTTTGATTTTCCCAATAGCACCGGAGCATTTCTGTTGGACAGGCATCAATTATACAATTAGATTTTTTAGGTATATGTCGTTTGGTACCTTATATAAAACGGATCCATGAGGCACAAACTGTTGCACGATGCAAGGAAACGAGTTTAGTTTTCTTAACCCGCATTCGTTAAAAATAAGCTGCATTATATGAGCTTCAGTCCCTTGTGCCACGATTGGCTTACAAACTGAAACAATAAAATTCAAGGTCCTTAGTCTAAAGCTTGTTGAATATGTAGCTTATGATTCTACACACTCTGGAGCCAGCCACCACTACTTCGTAGCGGGAAAGCAGATAATCTTATATATAAGTAATTATTTTTTTCACATTTAATCGTATACAGTAGTGCGTCGACCATAACTGTACAAAGAAGATAATTACAGAACTTTTTTACTCATTTTTACTCATAGAAAAAAGCGCACCTAGTGGAAACTTGAGACCGCTTTCTTGAACACGATGAATGTTGACATCGGGCTCGGCTGCATCTAGTCGGACAAACGGAGGCACTGAGATATTTTCCTCTAGCTGATCGAGCGCGGATTTCACCGTCTGGTACTGATTATTCCGATCGAGTATCGCGCGGACTGAAGACAATGGGTCTAGGATGACCATACGTGGATTTGACGAACTGAGTTCCTGGAGGAAGTAAACAGCAAGAATATTTAATAACAATTTCCGGTGTGTTGTCCCATTTTTTCTTTAGCAATCCAAAAACTCATCGACGATGTCAAATACCCACCAATCTCCTCACCACAAACCCACGAAATCGGAAACTTTGAACCGCGAGTAAATACCTAGTTGTCCAAGTTTATTCTGAATTCGCGGCATGGAAACTAACCCTTACTTACATCCAATTGTTTGCAAATCGAGGCAGCGTGGCTGTCACCTCTTATTTCCTTAACGAGCATTTCGCAGAGTTTGTGGACGACCACCACAAAAGGTCCCTGTTTTGCTAGGGGCCAATTTAAGTCCAGCTGTGGTACCAATCAGTTGAGTAGGTGGGATGGGTTCAAACAATGAAAAGTGATAACAATGCAAAAATTACTAGATGTTCTCTCATCGATATCAAAAGATACGTAAACTGACAAAGATGATGAGTTTACTAGTAAAGTATTAGAACTACTGTTTATCATCGGATATTGTTATAAACCACATCCAATTTCCTATATGTTGTATTGCGTCACCCTATTAGCGATTTACATATCGCTAGGTATTGTGTGCACGAGACGATTACAATTGCGTACCTTGACCAGTTCCAAATTATACTCTCTGCAATATCAAACGAAACGGATTAAAAGGACATTTTTACCTTTCTTTTTATGACCAATTTTGCATCTATCTATCTATCTATCTATCTATCTATCCTATATCTATCTATCTATCTATCTATCTATCTATCTATCCTATATCTATCTATCTATCCTATATCTATCTATCTATCTATCCTATATCTATCTATCTATCCTATATCTATCTATCTATCTATCCTATATCTATCTATCTATCTATCCTATATCTATCTATCTATCCTATATCTATCTATCTATCCTATATCTATCTATCTATCCTATATCTATCTATCTATCTATCCTATATCTATCTATCTATCCTATATCTATCTATCTATCTATCCTATCTAGATAGATACATAGATGTAGGATAGATAGATAGATAGATATAGGATAGATAGATAGATAGATATAGGATAGATAGATATATAGATCCTATGTCTATCTATCTATCCTATTCTATCCTATTCTTCTATCTATTCTATTCTATCCTATATCTATCTATCTATCCTATATCATTTATCTATCCTATTCTTCCTATATCTATCTATCTATCTATCCTATGTCTATCCTATTCCATCCTATATCTATCTATCTATCTATCCTACCTATCTTATCTATCCTATCTATCTATCGTATCGTATCATATCGTATCCTATCTATCCTATCTATCTTATCCTATATCTATCTTATCTATCTATCTATCCTATCTATCTATCGTATCGTATCATATCGTATCCTCTCTATCCTATCTATCTTATCTATCTATCTATCCTATCCTATCCTATCTAATCTAACTTCTGTTTAACACCCACGCATATCAAGAATAACAAAGACGTCGAAACTTTGTAGTGGTTCCCTTTTATATTTAAGTTGTGATGATAATGTTATATTGTATCAAGCAACTTGTAAAAGTAAATAAAATTGTTAAATTAGATGGGCAGTGCAACAGCTTTCTACTAACCTGAGATGTTTCCTGAGAACTTTCGGCGAAACATACTTCTCTTTTTTATCAGGCCACCAATAACCGACTCGCTGCATCGGTCCCTGTGAGCCGTCTGTTTGGTCCATGCTGCTAAGTTGCCAGACACGGCTTGGTTTTTCCACAATACGTTTTCCGCCGGAATTACCGTGTATCACGTCTAAGACATGGGAACTCGTGCTAGTAAACCTGCTACCATTTTTTTCCCCACACGTCGTGACAATATGAACATTATACGTCAAGGCACTGATTGCGCTGTGATTTTACTACCCAGTCCTGGGTTTGTTTTTCCACCACAGTTTGCCCTGATCAGTTCATCTTCATCGGATTAATGTTCCAGAGCAGTCTGGTATTCGCCGAGTCTGCACAAAAGATACTACTTCTCTCAGATACACGTTAAATTTTGATGTGTACACTGTTACTCTCTCATATAGATCCATGTAGATTTTTGTAAAAACAGTTAGACGAAGTGGCACATCGTGTAACAGTCAAATTATTATTAACCGTTTACCCAGACAAAAACTACTAGCACACAGTAACTACAGCCTTATGTTTCTTCCTTACTTGTATTCACCCACTCTCATTTTGTATTTTCCCTTTCTTGACCGCGATTGACTGATTGAAGCGCGATTAATCAACTGTTGATGTAGCTACGACCACTTCTGTTGTTTGGATATTGTACTATAGCACAAACAAGCGTCTCTGCTTCAGCAAACCTTCTTTAAGATGTTCTGCGGCCGCTCGTTTCGTTAGTTATTCGATGTAGCTGTCCGTTGAATAGCTCCAAAAACAATAAGTCAAGTGGCAACGCCACACTCATTTACCTCCTCTATGCACTGCGGCAACCCATCCCATCGTAGAGTGCATTATGCTCCTCAAATGCTGTGTGCGGCTATCGTTTGGATCGTCACTCCTTGTTTGCGGTGGTCTTTTCCACTAACCTGTTCGTGTCTGTTACAAGCAATGAGGAATGGGCAAGCAGCTGCTAGAGGGCTGACATCTGTAGCCAATTGCTGGATTGAATGGGTACGATATTACGATCCGATTCGGCCAACGCTAGCATCGAGTCGTGCAATGAACGACCGACGAACAGTTTACGAAAAGAGCAGAGTATGAGAAGACCGCACGGGCTACTGCCGCGGCAAGATGTTAGCGGCTGCTACTTTGTAGTATTAGCGAGTCCCTTCCGCCTTTCGCGCGGGCAAATATGCCCCTCTTACACTGAAACCAGGGGTCGCCATGACCGTCGTCGCTCCTTGGTGGAAAGAGACTCTAGACTGGGGAAGAGTGGAGACGCAGCAGCAGTGGAAGCAGCAGACAGGAAAGCTTCTGGTTAGGTTGCGGAGTCTGACTAGGTGAATGCATAGTATTTACTCCAAAAACTTTAAAACCTTGATAGTTGCTTAAGTCAAGGCGATGATAAAAATCAATGGGGTAATATATTGTTTGCAGGTTAGTAATTGCTTGTCCAGGTCCTCGATCCAGGCCGAGCAATCTGATAGCCTTTTAGGGGATGAGGCAACCAAATTAAGCACCAATGATGTGGACAACATCGTGCGTGCACGCCGTATTATCTAATAGTAGAGAATGCCACTTAGTCGTCTGAGTGCTTAAAATCTACACGACTGTCTGCTCGTAGATTTCACAAAGATTTTAAGGAGAATCTCACCATCTGCGCACAGAACTCTCTGAAAATCCAACCCTGTTAGCAACTCGTTTTTCATTATTCGAGGCACTAATACGAATGCAGTGAAAAAAATACGCACGTGCCTCTCTTGCTCGGCCCAGTTCACCGCTATGGGACACAATCACTATCGTCATAAGAGGGGAAGCAAAATCAAAATGAAACTGAACAAGTGGATAACTCGGCAGAAACAGCGCAGTTGGATAACCCGTCACCACTCTAGAATAATGGATGATATTTCCCGGAACTTTATTGCTGGCTCACTAACCGGCTACCATCGCTTTGTTTTCCGTATAGCTAGCATTCAGCCACATAATACTTTGCCTTTTTTTGGTTCTCTTACATGACCAAACCCAAATTGAGCTGGACAACAAGCACACTATCAGCGGTCATCAAAGAAGGTGACCGTCGTCAGTCAGCAATAGAATCGCAACTGCAAACCGTTCATTTCGGACAAGTGACAACACCCTTAACAGTACAGTCAATACTGCACACAATACAACATGATGGAAGACACTATCATGGGAGCTGTAACTCATGAAAATAGAGGGATAGACAAACCAATTTGAAAAAGCCCATAACCGATTTCCAAAACCAGTTTACCCTATACCTAATCTCTTTCTGTAACACGAAAATCGGGGACAACAACAACGTTGTCCTTCGTCTAAAACACTCGTCCGTCTCTAAGCTTCTTCTCGAATTGACCACATGTTTGCCGCCTCTCAGCTGATAGGCTGGGGGCGCGAACAGCAAGCGAATTGGAGCGAGAGGTCTGCAACGGCTCTGTCTCTCAGCTAAACAATGGCGCCGATAGAACTAGGCAGACAGCGAGGGACAGCCGCTCCCGGCGGCTGTAGCAGCACGGTCAATAACAACAGCAGCATCCGCAGAAGCAGTAGCTGTAAAGCAGGCGAAACAAACGAGAGGTGCATTGTAAAGCCAAACCCGGACGGGCCAACAGGCAACAGACCATTGAACCGCTGGTTACGTTTTGCGCCCTATGGTGAGCATTTGCCGTAATTTACGTCGGCCCTGTGTGTGTAATTCGTCTGTGTAAAAGGAGCCCAGAAAAACTGTAGGACAAAAACATAGTACAACTTCGTGTGACACTCGTGTGCGTGCCGGCCCTGTAGAAAGAACTCTCTGGGCCGGTGATAGATTTGAGCAAAGCTCAAATCGAATTTGGACTAACAAAACATTTTCAAGTTAACTTTCGACGCGAGTATCGAGATTGAGCAGAGTACCGTTTCTACCTGTCTACGCGTTGTTCAGCATTAGTTAGAATCGTATATGGTAGTATTTGTCTACAGGTCGGCACTGGGAGAAACTTCGGTTACGGCGCATAATGAGATTCATGCACACGACGACCGACTCATCGGTACACATTAATGCTAAAACAAGCATCGGGTAAGCTGCAACTTTACACTGTGTACGAAGAATATTGTGGGTTGCTACGACGATAATAATCAAGTGGTCATCGAACGAGTATGAAATATCTGTGCATTGCTATGTACGTTGGCCCGTCTTAACAGCTTCTGTTGGGAGTGGCAGAGGTGTCGCTAGACGACAACTGATCTCATACAACTGACTGTATTCACACCAGACTGATACAGAAAGAAAGTGTCTTTGTAGCTCACGCTGTTCGTAGACAGCCACTGGTGTCTATTGCCACTCAGCGGATGAGCGACTAGAGCAGTGCAGATAAATATGTGTGAGCTTTTCCAAAAAAGAGATTGTTATTTGAAACAGGATAAAAGAGGGGAAAACATAAAGGACGCATGACAATAGATTAGAATCAGCTGTGCCAGAATCGGATGTGGTTGGTCTCATTGGGTCGGCTGTCCGACTACTTGACCTCCTTCATAACTGCATCACTCCAACAATTTGAAGCTTCCAAATGATCTGTGTCATTAACGAAGCGATGTTTTGGTAGAGACTATAGGCGGCCACGCGTCTAGATAGTCTTAATAAGGGAGATTCTTTATTGACTACGCGTATAGAAACATATTCCGTAAGGTAGTTGATTTAGAATAGGATTAAATTGCTTTGAAAAGGCAATCGGAAATAAGATACGGCGACAGTAAATTTTTCACATAAATCATGGAAATCCTATTTAGGCTGGGGTATATTTCAGGACGTGGACTTAAATTTAGCGTGATTACTGACGTTAATGTTTGTTTAAGAAATTCGAAGCATTTTTCACTTTAGCATTTATTCTATTAGAGTAACTTATGGGAATCAGTAGCAACATATAAAATAACGTTTGGCCGAACCCGACTCCCTCATTGCGCAGAAAAATCTACGATAATCTAACGACTATCGTAGCGAGGCTCAAACTAACGCGCGGCTTAGCGACAACATCAGTCACTTTTCTAGACTATAACCATAACCGAACTTCAATCACAAAATGTCAACTTGATGCGTTTGCAGATTATAGTCCCTCTCTTAGTCAGCATTACACTTAGCAAATATACATATTGCATCGGCTAAGATCACAGAGCGAAGAACAAAACAGACCACCAACTGCATGCTCAATCTCAGAATGCTTAATATTTTTTTTTATATTTAACTTGATGTCCTTACATCGGATAATACTTGAAGTGTAGAATCAGGTGCCGCACTGCTCGCATTCGTTCCACCTACGTTTTTTTCTTGACCAATATATTGTAATTCATCCGACTTACATTTTGAAAGACGGAAAAGAAGTCAAAAATTATTCCGAGTTCCCATAGTCATTTCAATGATACAATTCATAATCACTTGAGGTAGACTCTTTATTGTTACCGAGAATACGTACAGCTCAAACAACTTTTTTTTTGTCAATAACGTAATATGATAATAATAACATAATGATACTTATGTGGAAACATTAATATGTTTTCACATAAATATCAGATACTTCAGATATCAGATACAGGGACTTAAATAGCTTTTAATTAACTTACCCTCATTGGCGTTGCTTTTCAAATGCCATCGTATGTAAGACAAAACCAATTTATAAAACAATTCGTAATCATAACGTGACCATTCATATGCCGGATTCATCAAACTGTGCTTTTCTTGCCTATTTGTCGCAAAACTTTTCAGAATTATATGGATACTGCCTGTCCTGCTTCCGTCAGCCTACCCGCAGACCCTCGGTTTCAGAGCCTCCACTGTCGGCAGAGGCTCGGATGAGCGTCTGCCACCGTGCGCAGCCTGTAGGATGGTCGCCGTAGAGTTCCTCAAGGGTCTCGAAAAGACCCAGCGAAACAAGTTCGAAGGTGGTGACGCTGCTTACGAAAAGGAGCGAGGCATGAGGTACGAGGACTCGGAGGTACGGTTGATCGAAGTTCAGGAGGCAATGTGCGATGATATCAAGAAACACGCAGGACAGTGCAGGGACCTTAAAGAGGAACACGAGCACCTGCTCGAGGAATGGTATCACGGACTGCGGAAACATGACAGTAAATCGCTCGACAGATGGCTGTGTGTCGAGCAGCTCAGCGTATGTTGTGATAAAGGCTATTTTGGCCCGGAGTGTACACCATGTACGGGGGGCGCGGAGAAACCCTGCTCAGGCCATGGTACTTGTCGGGGCTCTGGCAGCCGAAAGGGTAATGGCACATGTAAATGTCATAAGGGGTACCAGGGTGAGCTGTGTGACCAATGTACGGATGGCTATTTCCTCAATTCGACAGCGAGCCAATGTAGCGCTTGCGATAAGTCATGCGCTACATGTCGTGAGACAGGCTCAAAAGGCTGTGTTGTATGCAAAAAGGGTTATGTACATACACAAGAGTGGGGCTGTTCCGATATAGACGAGTGCGTTGAGAGTGAGGAGTCGCCGTGTACAGGGAACACGTTCTGCGTGAACTACGAGGGCGGATTTCACTGTCTTGAGTGCGATAAAACTTGTCTGGGCTGTTATGCCGATGGTCCCGATAACTGTGTGAAGTGTGCTAAAGGCTACGTACTCAACAAGGGCGTCTGCACGCAACAGAGGCTTAACAGTGTGCAGGTAAGTTATTAAAACGTTATAGAAGTAGGATAAACACTGCGTAAGCGTTTTATGCAAAGCATGCAGACATGCTATAACTACAAAAACTACATTGGCGGATTGGTTTTAACTTCCTCAATACAGCTAAAACATTAAAATTATTCTTTCTTTCGATTAAACATGTTCCAACTTAAAAATTGTAGTCGTGTGATTTCTAAACTATTGACAGTGTGTATTTATAAAGTGAGTTGTATAAGACCATTAAGCAGAACACTGTTGTTGCATTTACTGAAATAATATGTATCTTGGTTGGAATATTGACGAGCGAAATTAAGAGAACCCACTTATGAGTAGGTATTGATACCCTGGCGGGACAAGAAATCACCCAGAGCATAAACCAACAATTAGGACCCTAACACTTGCAAGCAATTATCTTGTTTACACTTATCGATTTTCGTTCTCATTTAGCAAATGTTGCTTAGCCAGTTGTTTTTAAAACCAGCATAATGTACGGCTTCCATACCATTAAAGTTAGCTTAGCCTAGAAAGACCACAGTATCATTATACCTTATCCTTAACCTATTGATCCTTATTGAATTACGGAAAACTATCGCTGAAAGGAATAAATTTAGAAAGAAACCAAAAATAAACTTCTTTTCGGTATCGAATTCTACGCCTTCAACAATCGTATTCAGAGCAATTAGTTAAAGCAAATTTTTAACCCCTACCTAACGATCTTCATGTTTCCGCTGGGCTTAACTCACTACATTCACTTAACTCTTTTTATACTTTACTAATGCAACGAATAATTGGAAAATGGAAACCTGGCTATCTCGTTTATTTATGCAAGCTTAAAGCTAGATATTCTGTTACTACATATGCCCACACAGCGGCTTAGACAACTAAGCTCCTCGTTGAAGGATGATAAGGAAGCGTCACTGCTTCGAATCCTGCCAAGAACGTAGATATTACACAATTTGTGTGTTAGTCAGAAAGTTATATTATATATATAATATATCTATAACTTTATATATGGCGTCGCAACAAGTTAAAAAAAAGCACAACTAAACAAACAGTTGTCTTCTTGCAATTTTCTAAGATATATTCATATTAAATTGCTCCAAATGATACTTTAGCATAAGGCAATCGTTTCTATAAAAAATAGAAGTAATTGTTATAGTAACGATAATAATAATTTAAAAAATCTTACTCGCTCTGCTTGTGTTATTGTCTTAAGGTAACGCTAAGTCGATGGGCTGTCCACCTAGGTTTAATCATCTGTACAGTAATCATCTCGAAGAAGTCGATCACCCTCTCATCGGCAATTGGCGCTTGCGTAGCCATGTACATTGGAGCCTCTGAGTATACAACTGGAGAATGGGAGAACTTCGACGTGCAGAAGTTCATACGGAGCTTTGCCGGCTAGTAACAATTTCTATTGACAACCTACTGTAGATAAATGTAGAAGCAAGTAACAAAGATAAATGCGAGCTGAATGCCTCCTAATGAATCTACTGTACCAAGCGTTAACCCATTGCACACTGGGTAGCTAAGGGAACTTATTTAAGATGGTTATAGAAATAGACAAGCTTTACCAACTGCGCTGTGGGGTTCACCCTATTAACGCAGTACCTATTGACGCAGGGTGCTAAAATCAGAAGCTTGAGCTATGTTACTGTAAATTGGCCGGTGAATGATGTATGAAGCCTAGCTAATAAAGAAACGTGCAAATCTGAGTGAAAGCAATGTCATTGCAGTTAGAAGTGTACTTTTGTAATTTAAATGAACCTTTATGTACACAGTGATAATAAAAAAAATAAACAACCGAACTTCACAACTGGTGCCTACATGTGGATAAATATAGCATACTTAACAGACCTAAATACGTTTGTACAAAATATAACCATCGCCTATAGCTTTGTCGACGCTAAGTCAGTTATACGATAGCAGAAACATTCTTGACGTGTTATACCAGCAGTCCTACAGTAAACATCGTGTTTAATACTGAAGGTAGCCCTGAAGGGCCGTGGAAACAAATTGCAGATTTTTGTTCTGTATTTATCTAGGTATACATATGACAACTGATCATTTAAAAGAACTACAACTAATTCACTAATTACTACTTTAATAGAGAAAATACCTAATTGCAAATGACCGGATTTAGTTTATTATAAAAAATTTAATAATTAGAGATAGAGAAAATTAGGCTGAACAATGCTTACTTTTTTTAGTTAGTTAAGAGGCTCATTTTCATTTTACATAATAAAAATGAGTTCTATCACTTTCATCAGTAAGTGAATTCAACGGGTTCTGTTAGCATCTTCTTTATATTCGATGTAGCCTTCGGTACAATAAGGGAGACTTTTCATCCAGGTACTTTGCATTTTATGGCAAACATTAGTTTACGAATGCGTCTCAAACAATGAAGATACATACATCCATGAAACCGTTGTTGAATCGCACATAGCTAACCTTTATATCAGCGCAGTTTCTAAAAAAGTACATTAATTTTCGGACTTAGATGTCAATAATAACGAACACTTCATGGTGATCAGGTTTGTCCCACACCTGCATATTGGAGTACGTAATTGCCTTCACTTCCGTGCCCTGGGGATGTTTTGCAAGATCGAAACGCTCCCCATATGCTCGACATCTTATTGTGAAGTTTGCCTGCAATATAATAGATCAGCATTATCAATTGAATTTCATTATCTAAGTGTGATGTTTCACCAACTTTAGCCAACAGCGGACGAAACCTATTTAGTAAGCATCAATATTTGGTTAAACTTCAGTTTGCTCAGGTTAGTGGATGAAAAAATGACAAGAAAAGAAGAAGACGGCTCATAATCAACGAAGTCACTTTACTTACGGATTCATAGCTAGGTAATGTAGCACGTGACAAACACACAACAGATATGTATGTAACAAATTAATAGATATTAATTTGTATTCTTGAAAGTATTTGTATTCTACAGAATAAAATAATAGCTTACAGATAGCACCAAGGATATTACAAGCATATGAACTCACCTTATCAAAGAGGATAATTTCTACTTTACGTGCAATAAAATTGGGTTCAGTTGAAAACGAATATAAGAACTCGTCAAGGTAATTAAAAAGAAGATTTTCCATATCTGTTCCAGACACCGTAAGATCCATGTGGCCAAGCAGCTCAACCTGTATTAAAATATGAAATACATGGTTATAATGCTATGAAATCAAAATTATGACCACGACAGTGGAAGTTGTGGGGTTCTCCAAAAACAATTAGCTTTAAGACGATTAATGGACTGTAATTTTCCACGCTTACCTTTTCAATTTCGGTCATGTAGCCGAACATCGCGATAGCCACCTGTTCAAAACATTTTTTGAGGTCGGGTCCCCACGCGTGAAGTTGCACATCAGCCGTATGATCGAGATATTCATATTGAATTTTAGGAAGAAATAGCTCTATTGCCGTTAATTCGCGTTCGACGAATACGCGTTCTTCGCAAACCTCCTCCATGATATAAGAATGCTTTTCAGATTCGAATCTTGCTATTTGAATAGGCTTTTGTGTCCTATATTGGGTTTTTGTGGAATTATATGCGTGTCTTCCTGATACAGACGCAAAAAACAATCATGTTATGATCCGAATACACTGCTCAAAACAGTAGCTTGTGGTGAAATGCCATTATTAGGATTAAGCTTCGTTAAATTTGACTTTTTTCTCGCGTTGACGTCATCCAAGTTTATCCAATCATTTACAATGTGTTACCTGTGACATCAGGCGACCAAGTAACTAGGAGTTGGTTACTTGCGAATTCGAGTCATCCGTATAGTACCGGCACAATTACCTTGAATGATTAACACATATGACAAATGTCATTTGTCAAGTCAGGCCTTTGTTCTCAGTCCCAATGCCCTTATGTATCGACTAGTGCTGCTTAACACGTAACAGTATACTTCTGCTTTCTATGTCCTACGTTCGAAGGGCGCAACATTTTGCATACAAGATTGGCCGAAACACGTGCATAGCCTTCAGAGCAAGTTTGTTCAGACAGGTACCACTATATTATATCGAATGTTTCGAAAATGGCGCCCTGCACAATGCAATGTGTTGACTTTATTACTGAAATTTTTGCTCGGACACGTATCCGACGACCGTGGATCGGAACTTGTACCCTTCAAGCCGAAAAACAAATTTTAAGCAGATCTCCTTATATTGCAATAAAAACAGTATAGTTTACTTCCTAGAAGAAACCGACTTTACAATAACCAGAGACGTTTGGTCGCTCCAAAACTGCGTTCCGCCGATTAGATGCCTCGTAAGAATAATAAAATAAAGTGGAAAGGGAAGACTCGCATATTACTGGCGCAAATATAGCGCGTTGGCATCAGCTGAGATTACCGGGATTTGTTTGTGAAATGTTTTGCGGGTTTTTACGAATTTTTCCGTGACAACAAGTAAAGTACTAACAACAAAGACATGAGTGACCAAGTGAGTGCCTTTGGCCAATGCAGCGTCCGGAAGTTCATTTTTAGAATTCAAATGTGCACTGATTCTGTTGTCGTGCGGTTTTTGTTGTGTTTGATGTCAGTGAAAACATACAGTTAACCTGATCTTCCCCACGTTGTCGTGACAGCCCAGCATATGATATACATCAAACAAACGATGGCGCGCTATACATTAGCACCTTTAAAAAATATAATTTAATGCTGCATGGTAATAGTTTATAAATTAATCACGTAGAATGTTTACACTAATTTAAAGCGATAACGGTCATTTACTCGAGCTATTCAGAAGGTTGTTGTCACTCAGAGATTTCAATATTAGCATTAGAAGAAACAGAAAACCTGTATAAACTTACGGTCTCTTCAAATATGCTGTAAGATTAAGACGTATTTTAAGACTGTGTAGCTTTTTTAACAGTGAGAAAGAGAAGCTGCTACATTAGCGAAAAATTAAACGTAGAAAAAATGGTCAAATAAGCATTACTTTCCTTTAAACATTTCATAGCACCACGGGCACAAAAAGTTTGAAGTGCGCTCTGGAGATTCAGCGAAGATTGTTTCCAATACTGGTCTCGCACCTGTCGTTGCACAACACTACAATTCGCTGCCTGATCAAGGTCGTGAAGGCAGAAAAGAATCGCGTATCTTCCATATGCGTTCCTTTAACAACTGGGTGAAATCAATGCTTATCAGTGAGTTCAATGCACCTGAACGCATTTTATTAGTACTATAACCGATCTATGTGTGATGGCACTAATGGTAATACATGACAATCCTACAAGTATAATATAAACCCAACTTTATTTTATGATCGCATATACATTTCTATCAAATAAGATACCTAAAGCCAATACTCAAGCTTGTTTAGCTAGAATCGTTCTGTTCAACGTAAGCTATATGTAATTGGCACAAAAGTATGAATTGCCAAAGATATAGCGAACAAAGGCGCACGACCATTAATTTAAAAAAAAATCGACTTCCCGGCACGAAGGGCATTCGAGGGCCCGTGTAATAGCTCTTAAGCTAGATCGTATCAATAAGATAATGCATTTATTCGAACTGCAAACATTAAAAGCATAACCGAAATGAAGGTTTATTGTAATCCTAATGGAAGCTTTGTACAAACAGAATAGTAAATAAGTTGATGAAGATGTTGTTATAAATAGTACAATATCGGCTAAAAGTAGCCTTATTGTGTGTGGCCATGTTCCAGAGGAATTTATTAAGCGGGCTCGTGAAAATCCTCATATGTCGCAAGGGGCTTTTCGTGTCCTCGACATTGGTGCAGGAAAAGGCGGCGACCTGATGAAGTGGCAAAAGGGAGACATCAACCATCTAGTCTGTGCTGATATTGCAGAAACGTCACTACAACAGGTAAAACGGTTATGTGATGTGCAGTACGCGGTGTCTAAATTCAGGTAAATTTTAGGAGCTGCTTGTCATAACAGGTGTGCGGTCATCCTAGTAGAGGAAAAAAGTCAGTTCCTTTTAGAATAGAGCAATAAACTAGTGACAGCAACAAACAGTACTTCGTTTTTGAAATTTAACCAAGAATCAACGATTATCCAATTTCTTCGTCCCTTTTTACCCAAAATCGACAGCGCATGCTGTTGCCAGCTTAATGCGGCTTCTAAAAAATCTAAGAGAGATTTCTGCGAGATAATCTGAAAAATTCTCCACACGATTTAAATTTGAACGGAAAAAATTACCAGAATTCTAAAGGGGGAAAATTACCTTTTGTACCTTTGTGCACATTTTGGGCTGTTGGGCTTTTTTGAGGTTTTCCATTTTTGGGACTACAGTCAACCCAAAATGCATTTGCGCTAAAAATTTTTTTGTATGTAGCGTCTTTTAGCGATATTTTGACGATGGTATATCTACTAACATTGAAATACACCAAGTTACTATTACAAAAGGTTATTTGAGGATTAAAAAAAGTGTATTCTGAAATTTAGTGGTGAATGTTTATATTCTAAATTGGAGTGACAATCCTAGGGAATGGTAATCACATGAAATAATCATTACTGGCGAAAATGACGCTTCTGGTACATGACAAAATTTCATAGAAATACATACATATTTTTTGTTTCGATACAGCCTTAAGAATGTGCAAGAAAAATTCCGGATTTAAATATCGCATTCTATATATATATATATATATATATATATATATAGAAGAGGAAAATCAGTCTGACCATAACGCACCGCTTGACTTGCTATTTTTCCATACTCTACAAGATATGTAGTATTCATCTTTGTATAAAACAAATGAAACATTTTTATATATCGCAGTTTTATTATAAATATTTCTCTCCGTCTGTATAACATATGCCTCGATTGTATTCTACGATTATGTACTCAAAAATCTAACTAATTTCTCTAGAAACAATACTTCGAGAGTAGAGAATCAAGGGGTGAATCAATCCTGCATTAGTTATTGTTACCAATTCAAATTTCTTGGCTTCACGATACGAATTCGTGTGATTCTGGTTTGAACTTACTTAGTCTGTCGAACAATCTGTTAAATGTTGTGATTACTTCATTGTTTGCGATTTAGGCAAAAGAGCGTTATATGGATAACCGAAATCGTGCGGTTCGTTTGGGTTTCGACATTTTCGAAGCAGAATTCGTCGCGGCAGATTGTACGAGGGAGAGGCTTGCCGATAAATACTCCCAATCGGATATTGTCTTCGATGTTGTATCATGCCAATTTACTTTCCATTATTGGTTAGTCAATCACCAATGTAGCCTTCATTTGGTACTACCACAGCATTATTTTAATCATTATACTACTAGTATTATTCCTTAGTACCTGGTTTCCATGTTTCAGCTTGTCTTTATCAATGTGCTATGGTAGTTGACTCTTTCTTGTCATGCTTACGTAGTTGATTTACGATACTTTATTTTCCATAATTTGCGTTTTCTTTAAAGCTTACGTAGTGCAGTGATTGTCATTAACTTCGCTGTATTCTGTGTGCTTTTCTATGCGAGCAGTTTCGAATCATTGACACAGGCTCGATGCATGATACGGAACATCTCCGAAAGGCTTCGGAAGGGAGGCTACTTTATCGGAACTACTCCAAACGCGTACGAGCTTGTGTGAGTATTAGACTGCTGCGGTTTTCTATATTTTTTTCTAATTTTACTTCTGTGTTATATTCAGAGATGATCCATTTGTAGGCACTGTCAGTAGCGCCTATTAGGAAGATTAATTGAGGATACCTTTTGGAGGCAGGTGGTTTAAAAATACCCCGCTATATCTATTTTTTATGAGTATGAAAGCTTTACAACTTAACTTCGATAGTAAATTTGCTAAATTAGTGTTGCCATACATCTAAATATTCATGCGCTTATGGTTTCCTCAATACGTGTTCATTTGTTGTCCTACATTTATCTAACGTCGTCATCGCCGTCGCACAGACGCCGCCTCAAGGAATCTGATGAACTCAGCTTTGGTAATGATGTGTACACGGTCACATTTAGCTCAAAAGAAGATTTTCCGCTATTCGGCTGCAAGTACAATTTTCAGTTGGAGGGGGTCGTGGACTGCCCCGAATTTCTAGTCAATTTTGAAATGTTTAAAATTCTCGCACGCGAACAAGATCTTGAACTCGTTCAGCGATGGACATTCGAGGAGTTCTTCAATGATTTTCGTAACCAGGAAGGCGCCTCGCTGCTACAGAAAATGAACGCTTTAGAAACATATCCTGCCCACATAGGGGGGTCACTAGCCGGCCATGAGCACGACTACGTTCATGCACATGAAATTCACAAAGCGACGGGCAAACAATTGGTTAGTACCAGTCTGATAAAAAAGGAGTAGTGCTAATGACAAAAGCAAAATGCACTGATAGGTAGTTCTCAAGCCTACCTTCGATAGCTTAGGTAAAACCGTACTACAGCGACCTAGACCGATTGAAGCAGACGTAGACTGACATCTAAATTTGCCATTGGAAATGCATAATTAAGCCAGCTTAGCGGCAAATGAGACTAAGATTTTATCAAAGGGTATAAGGAAATATATAGGAAAACTTTATTACTCAGTACCCAGATTTTCATCGCTTATAATGTGGCGAAGAGAGCTTACTTCCTAAATATGATAATACAGAATGTAAGAAGCAGAGCACATTGCTATTGCGTCGTGATTTTTTTGACGAGTTTCTGATATGGCCGTTTTGCCCATCGTTTCAGGGAACGCTTTCGAAGCCAGAGTGGGAAGCACTGACTGTGTATGTTGCATACGCATTCGTCAAGAAATAATGAATTACTAGAGTTTGTTGTAATCGGCTCATCAACCATTTGATTGATTATTCTTTCAGGAACGCGTTAAGCGACGCCCACTACCGTGTTGTCGAACGCTTTAAATGCGCGTCATGTGTATCGAGCCGTGAGTTACTTAAAGTTAATGGAAACGATAATACTTCAGTGGATGTAACGTAGTATTGAATAATATTACGTGACTTTTTTACCGTGATCCACAGTCAAGACGATAGAGGCGAAAAAAGTAAGAATGATGTGAACAAACAAAAAAAACTTTGAAACTGCTAATGGTATTGCCTCATATTAAGGCTTGCGTCATACAAATGGATTGTGTTAACACAGCAAATAAAACTTGTATAGAATTTGTATATGGTGAAAAGGCCTGCCTATTTTAAATTTGGAGCTATAGTAGAAATCATAATAAATACGGATTTTATACGATAATCACATTTAGCGGCTCAATTCGGCAATGAAAAAATAAATACAAAGAAAAAAGCGAAAAATTCACTGTGACAAGTAACGTTTATGCTCTGCATCTTTATATTATAATAACATAAATACTGCGAGTCCTGTCCATATATCCACGGAATTCTTCCTGAGCCTAGTTTCTCACACTGTTCAAGCTAACGAAACACTACGAATGGCATCGCAAAAGCTGCGGTACTTACGAGAAGCAAAAAAAAATAACTTTATTCTATTTAATACAAGGTTTGCTGCGTTTAGATTAACGGTGTGATAACGCCTGTTATCATATCATCATTATTCTTACTTATATAAACAAATGTATACAATTATTGGGCTTGTGAGGTCTATGTCGAAGGCGGCCGCTTGCGCATAGTGCAGTCTGTCATTGCTGATTAAGCTTTCTGCCGAGAAGATCTCGCACAGGCATGGTCAGCTCTTCTTCCGAACTGCCATTAGAATCTACTTCAGAGCTATCGGACTCGTAGTTGCCTAGACCAGGCAATACGCCAAGTACGCGCATCGTCTTCGTTGGTTGTCCTTGATCCGCTTGTTGTCTGTTAGAATTTATGTCACCCGATTCGGTCGCCGTTTGTTGACTATTGGACGCACTTTTATTGATTGAAGCGGTACCGCTGGTGCTATCAGCAATATTGGCGTCACTGACCTTTCTCTTAATCGCGCCTATGAGAAGCTTAGCTTGTGATTTCGTTTCTCTCTTTTCGGAGCTGAAATTCGTTGTTTTTTTTATGGGCTCAACCTTTTCGGGTTCCACAGCTGGTCTGGCAAATTGCGTGCGCAGCTTGAACTCCTCGAGCTCACGGCGTTCCTCCTCGCGCTGCTGGCGTTCCTGCTGAGCCCGAAGATCGTCGACTCGTTCGAGAAATTCAACCTCATCGGAATCAAGACCTTTGACGAGATTCTTCAATTGGCGTGACTCTTCGCGTTCGGCTTCTTTCTTCAAACGTTGTTCCTCGAGCCTATCAAAAAGTGGTCGCCTGTCGCTTACGTCCGGCTCGGGTGCGTCTTCTGGGTCATCCGGCCCCCGAACACGATCCCATTCCTCCTTGCGCTTTCGTTTAGCCTCTTCTACCTCTGATTCCGTTACGAACTTACTCAAGCTCACAGACGCCATTATGTTAAAATAGGTATCTCTTAAAATAAACAGAGAAAAATACAATATTAAGATAGATTAACACGCTCACGTCCGCAAACTGGAACAGCATGTCGCATGCAGATTTTATTTATATTAAGATATGCTTCTTTACCACCAGCAGACGTACCATTAGGATACTAGAAAACAGAGTATACTTCGAATTCGTTTCCTTTTCATAAAGTAGTATGAATAACGAAAATTTCGACATTATATTTGGAAAGCCCTCATACGTTTGTATCATGCGGGCAATAATACAACTACACTACAGCACTATAATCCACTCAGATGCTCAGCTGTGACATTATAACTTGGTTTCGCAGCGTGTAAAACTCACACTAATATGTTGGCAGGCAGCATAAAGTAAATTTGATATTCAAAATGCAAAGTAGAAGCGAAGAATCATTTTGTCTCTGTAATTTGTTCAGTATTACGTAATTCAATAACTATGCAATAAATATTTTTCTTATATACTATGTGTACATGAAAAGCGATCGTTCCATACGACAGCTATTCCGTAAATTGCTGGGGCTGCATTCAGGCCTGGGATTTCGGCCAGAGAGTTTGGCCCTATACAACCTGATTCTTACTCTACTAATGTTTGTCTAGCATGTTTTGTTTTTCCACAAGTCACGCTGCGCTCATCACTACACGGACTACACGGAATTCACATAGGGTTCTAGAGATATTTGAGTATCACTGGCTAACTGCACTGAAATAATGCAGCTTGTAAATACACTTATATTAGTAATACATAATGTGTTGTTTTTCTATTATATCATTATTTCAGCCGACGGACGCATGGTCTAGAACGGGCCTTTTTTAAGCAAGTATTCTATGACCTATTTCAAGGCAGTTTGTAACAGTAAGATCACAAACTAACCACGGAAAACAACCATGCACACGGAGCTTAACGATGAAAATGGTAGCTCCGTCAAGCATCTCCCATTGTCTAAACAACAAGTAATTTAGTTGTTATTTAAGTAACTTAGTTATGCTAACAGGACCTTGCACAAGTACGTCGAAATAGATAATCAGCCACTCCTATTACGGCATACATTGCACCGCAAAACTTCTAAGTAAAACTCTGTTAGCATTTGAATGAGAAGTTAGTCTAATGAAAGGTTTCATTACAATAATTTCTCATTTCATTATTACAGAATCATTAGGGAAAATATTACAAAACACATCGGTTTTTAGTAAAGATAATTTGTGATCTGGAAATGAGCTGCAAAGCATTCGTCAAAAGAAGTAAGCATGTCAATGCAGACATTTCAATTCATATTGTAACTTTTCGATAAGATATCACTTGCAAGTAAGCTCGCTATAACTATAAATCGTATTGACTAACTATAGTACAATCAATCAAGTCTTTCTTGACATACTCACATTATTTACGTAGATACCGTGTGGAAGCTTTTTTTTACCTAAAGAATACGCATTCACTTCACGATTAATGGTTCGGTCTCACTCAGTCTCCACACTTTAGTTGAACAACTACTCACTAATGTGTCCAACAATACAATGATTCGTTTGTTGACGTCGTGCCCTTCCCAGCGTTTAAATAACGGGAGCTAAATCGATTTATGGCGATATTTCTCGAAACAGAACAACTTCTTCCCTTGGCCATCGACTAAATGACGGAACGTACACCGAACTGCTCAGAAGAGCGCGAAAGCGGACCTACAAGATGAAACAAAGTTCTCGGAGAGAGTAGAGAAACGAACATAAATATACGACTTTGCTCCAACAAAATAGACACGACATTTTGGTGTATGTTCAATATAAAAATATTTACATTAGCGTTTTTCACATAAGGGCGCTCTTGTGTACTGGTGTGTGGTTTGAGACTGGCGTGAATCAGAATCAACAATGTAAAAAGAAATAGCATTTTCGCGGAATCCGATGGTCAACAGTGGGCAGATGAACTTCATATGCGTTACAAAGAGCGAAGTATTAATAGAAAACACAGGAGTGGCAAAAAATGTTTGGGATAGCTTCGGTCCACATATTAAACGAAGCATATGCGGTGTACCATATGCAATTACTGAATAACAGAAATGTGCAGATTATGAATTTAAGTCGTCTTTCCTAAAAAAAGAATTCGATCATATGAAGATGTGAAAATCTCTGAATACCTTGTATTCTTCAAAGAAAGGGTGTCTTTTTTAGCCGAGCAGTTTCAATATCTCAGCGAAGTGGCCAGTTTCAACTTCATCCAGAATAGAAATTTATGACTGACTCTACTTGAATGTTATATTATATCAAGATTAGGCGTACGTCTCTAAAAAATGATATCATTTCAAAACCTGCATGGTGAACCTACATTCGACAACATCGAGTGCACAGAAAGAATCTGCTGAGAGTCGACCATGTTTTAGGTTTTATAGGTGAAACATAAAAGATCTTAACTAAAAACCATGCTACATAAAACTCCAATGATCCCGGAGATTCGGATTTATTCGCCGTCGGATAATGGGGAGCGTGACAGTTCTGATGAAGAAAGACGACCTTCAGAATCCCACAGCAACAGAAAAGAAAAAAAAGGTACACGAGATAATCATAAAACAATCATATAACACACGCTCAACATTAGTTTATGTTGATTCGATCCGATGGAAGACCTATATCTGCTTTGTCAACTTCCTATCGAATGAAGCTGTTATTTCTTTCTAAGGTAATGCATCTGTCCATTTTATTTGTTCTGTTAAAGCTGCTAAAAAGTTAATTCCATACACATTTTATTTACCTCACCGCTGTCCTGTAGGTCATCTATTCGAGCCAACAAGCGGCGCCGATGATGATAGCAACAGCTGTCCTAAATCCTTAAGCACTTCTTTGAACATCGTCAATGGAGTTTGCTATTTTGACTTTGAACCGTCGACGTGTGTTCCTTGGCAAGGCGTATTCAATATGCGCCCACAGAGTCTTCAGGCTATTGCATCGCTACAAAAAGGTCCTTCCATTCCACTTCACAAAGCGCGATTGGGCTGTGTTACTCCAGCTGCACGAAGTCTCGAAGTTCTCAGGGAATATCTTCAACCCAAGATTAATCAGGAAATTCGCAAGGTTAGAAATAAAATTCGGCATGCACCCAGTAGACATTTCCCAGATGCCTTGCGCATGTAATTCAATATTATCTTATAGCAAAACACGCCTTTGCTGTAATCAGATAGAGTTAGACAGATACGTTACTATAAAACCAAGCCCATGTTAGTAAGTGCTAAGTATTTACCTATATATTATATTACACTCTTCGTTTGACTTGTCTAGGTCATCGACAAGTACATGGATGAGTACTTCAAGCCAGGAATCGAGAACGTCCGCATGAATAATGGTGACAACTCGGTCGCTGAACAGCACCTACAAGCAGTTTGCAGGCAGATGTTGGAACAGGCGAAGAAGATGTTTTCCATGCAGCCGGTAGGAGTTCGTGGTGAACGAGGAACTAGCCCTTGTTCCGACCTTGAATCAGGCCGCAATTCGCCCATGCTCGGAGGAGAACTCGTAAGGAGAAAGCACTTCTCAAGACGTCATAGAACATCCCCCAATAGGGGTTACCTATCTGACTCAGAAAGTGATGCGAGTCAGATCAACACTTTATACGTGCCCAAGAAAAGGGTGAGACCTTAGTTGCAATGCCGAAGAATAAACAAAACTCTATTAAAGGTATTTTTATTTAAAACGGTTTAACTTTGGAAGAAGTTTTGAATAGTGAATAAAGGGAAATAAAATTCGAAATATTTGAACAATAAGGCAAAACGACACAGATCGGTTAGTAGTTAGTGACCCTACCTAATATGAGACGTACAAACGCTAATGTTCAATTTTTAGCCCAAATATGTACATATAAATTGTGCACTGGTACAGTGATATTGCGTTTGACTATACGAGAGTTTAGCATAACGTCACTGTTGCTTTAATTTGCAGACAAACAAGACGAAAAGCTGGTCCGGCGGGTCCGGCAGATCAACTCCTGCGTCGCGGACCTCATGTAAATCTGGGGAGGCTATCAAGCGTGAAGGACCCCGGTGGGACCCAGCTCGTCTATCTACTGAAACGTTATTCGTAATGGGGGCCAGAGCCAACAAGGCACTTGGCCTAGGAGCACAGAGAGGTCGGCTGTATATGAAACATCAAGACGTGTTCCGCTATTGTGGAGATGCTGAAGACAAGCTATGGCTTTACGAGCAGAATCTCATGCCATCGGCAGGCGGAAGGGCTTTCCTATTATTATTAGATGATATTAAACATCTCGCACAGACCGAGGAGTACAAAGATGCTCCTGGCGTCCAGGTTCGGTGATCTACCATTATCTACCGACTATAATTATTACTGAGTTGATTGGAACGTTTGAGTCGGTGGTAATGACTCAAGGCTGTTAAAGAACGTTATTCTGAAATATAATTATCGTATGATGCTTCTATAGTACGGGTCGATGAATGCTACCAGTGAAATGTAACATAGTTAGGTTCTATTAAAAATAGACTTCGATTTAAAACTCGCCAGCAAATGTTAAAAACTTGTGTCACAAATAAGAATGATCGTTTATATCTAAAATAGTAGGATTATCGTTCACGCTAGTAGAGCTTTGTATTGGTTTGTGGCGTCAGTTTATTCATCTGAAAGAGAGTAAAAAGAAAAATTCGTTAAAAGTGTACTGGCTTAACTTATACAGGTCGACGACTTGGAGGGCTTCAAGGTTCCGGAATTTATGATAAACAAGATGCGGTCTTCGATGCTTTCTCTCAGGACAGACATTCCTGGCGGGGGTGGCAAGAAACGAAAACATAAGAGCCCTGTATCAGAGAGGTCGCAGGCTAGTTCCAATATCGACAATATTGGTATGTTATTAATGAAACATACTTGCGAAATTTATCTTTGATAAACTTGGGCTTTCGGTAGTAAAACTTCGTTGATTTCGTTGACTTGCTGACGATATCTTGTCGGATAAAAGCTACACATTATTTATTCTTCATTTGATGTCAATTCATTGTGAACGTTATATGAGTGTACTCGAAACCGAATAAATTCCTATAAGAGATATGAGGTTGAGAATATGTATCCAATGCGGGATTTTTCGCTGCCACCTAGTTGGCGGCGAAATCATGTATTATAGTCTTAAGTCGCAGAAGCGTTTAACTGTAACACATTCACTTCCATTTATGTCACCCAGGCGAAGTGAAACTGTCTCCACCTTGCACATCACCTCTAACTGCTGAAGAAGAAGAAGTTTTACCGGGTGAGGAAGGTGCGCTGAGTCAACTGCCGTCTCTACAGTTGGATTCGACGTGTAATTTGCATCTTTTAGATGAGCCCATCCTTCATGAGGAACCCGTCGATGAACAGGAAATAGCATTCATAGTTGACATTTAGTAATTGATACAACTACTTTGACCAACTTACATGCTCGATATTTCAATTAGGTAGGAAAATTAATAATTACATATATAAAAAATAGAATATATATATATATATATATATATATATATATATATATATATATATATATATACGAGAGAGTGTATGAGAGCCGTGTAGTGCATAATACAAAATATATATGATGAAGTATTGTTTAGTAAGTCATGCGGGTTCGAAGAATGAAGGTTAGCCATGAAGTTAAACAATTTTCTTTTGTGTGGTATGAAAGCGCTTTTGTGACATTTAGTAATAGCAAACAAATCATCGTATAGAAAGTGACTCAACAAAGGACGCCGAGTCGATCACAACAACTGGCCATGTGCAATACAATATAAAACAGTTAGTAAACTTTGCTTTAATCGGCGGCAAGCAGAATACGTTAAGCGTCATAGCATAAATATCAAAATTCAAAGCCAAGTCAAAGGTAAACTATTTATAAGTAAATCAAATGCTTTGCTGACATGCCAGTTGCATGACCAACAACCAGAGATTGCCATTTGTTTATTGTAAAAAGCATATATTTAACAAAAAAAAGTAAGATAGTTTTATTTATTTGTAAATTTCTAAGCCATCTCAAACTGTACCAGGGAAAATCGTATTATAGAAGCGGTTATTATGTGATCCAATTTAACGACTGACAGTAGTTACTTCGTCGGTAAAATCTGTTGTCACATGAAGAGATGGAGATTTAAGTAAGCAATTAGAGTAAAATAAAAGCGGTTCATTGTAAATATACTCCAGCATACCACGATCTGGATGTAGGCCTTAGGCTTAACAGTATTTTTTATCAGGTTCAGCAACACAATGGGATTGAACGTTGTGTGAAAATTCATTCAATGAATCCAGTGGACTGCAACTTGAGTTTTTTTAATGTCTCAGAGAGCAGAAGGCTGAAATACGTAAGAGGAACCACTTAAAATCTATTGGCTAGACAAAACATGGTATAAGGTTTCTTCGTACAAGTATGATACGGTACCTAGATGTAAGTTGTAATCAAAGATCTCGTAGTGCTTCGTACGTAAACTAATAGAGGTTTATGTATATTCGGATATTAATAAGCGGAGTGAGAGGAAACTTATGACATAATAATAATAAAATATTTTATCCTTATATTAATACTATACCGAAGTCAATAAATTTTATAGCCGCTTTATCAAAGTGTGTCTTCGAAAAATAAGGAGCTGTGAAACTGTGTGATCTGTTATATCGATTATATAATAAGATACGTAAGCACTTTGTAACTACACAGACTGTGTGAGCACAGAATCTTATGAGGATGTTGGTGTTTGATATCTTTGTACCCAACAAGACATTGTATAAACACGTTCGACTTATAAAAATGAAACTCTGTCTCGGGAAAATCGGAAACGCCCTCGGTGGCCCGCATATGTCATGTATTCACGTTGTTTCATGAAGTGAACAAACGCCGGCAACAGCCAAGCTAGTCACCGCTAGATGGCTCGCACGTAATCTACAGTAGTGACGACGAATATATATATGTGAATAGTATGTGTTGTACCTATAATGTAGTCTGGTCCGATATCAGAATAAGATCTCAAAATATAAATGCGTATATAACACCTAATGACTTTATGACAAAACTAGTACATTTTTATTTCTTTTCATTTTTAATGAAATAGGACAATACACTTATTCTCGGTTAAAACCTGTCTGTTGTATATATTTTCTCTATTATAGTACGTTTTAACCTGTTATGGCTTTAACCAAGAATCAAAGTAGTTCTTGGTGGAGAGACCATTTATTTATACCCTTCGACGAGCAAATTCACATGTATTAGTTATATAAATAAAGAATACGTAAAATACCTGAAGAAACGTATCTATCATAGTAGAAATAACTGCTTAAAATCAACATATTGATCCTGCTTGGTTTATTAAGTGTAAAGCTTTATTAACTGACTTGAATACATTAGTGTTTCGAATAAAGTTCGTTTATCCTACAAAAGCTATTCGTAAATAGGGTGATCCATTATCACATTGTTTACGCATGATCGCATCATAGAACAGTTGCTTAGCTGTTGCTTTTAATGCATCGTTCCCTTTGGTGTTTTGCTACGCACAAATTTAGAATAAGTCAGACGGAAAGTAGCAGCAAATGCAGCCTTTATAGGAATATGAATAATATTATGAACTCTATTAATTCGGTCACAATATTTTCAGAGGTAAAACATTTTTAGATTTGACTTACAAGCTTAGCAAACATTACCTTAGAAATGTAATTTGCATTTTGGTGGCTATAAAAATTACTAGTGTTTCGTATTACTTCTCGCTGCACACCACGTCCCAAATAGCAGAATTGGTGATCCATGTATCAACAGATTTCAGAGTTGCTTCTTTAATCTGTGTTTTTAACATTATACAATTGCTATTACTGAGTAATAACTGTCAAAAAATAAGTGATGCCTTAAAAACACGACTATACTACGATATCTCACACAGGCATAATCAGGTAGAGCTGCTTTTATTAAATTAATACGTAACCGTATGCCTTGTTTTTCCATAAATGAGGTGTGAAGTTTCACAGACTGCCTATTTTCGCATGCTGTGTATTTATAGGAATACTGAATAAGTTGAGGCTTTGATACAAGATCTATTTTGTTTATCCGTCAACGGAAAGACACGAAGCCCTGCTCGCGTGCAAGAAATTGACTTCTCAGATTAAAATGGAGTTCCTTAGTGTCATCTTGTGTCAGGTGTATTCAGGAGCTTAAAGTTAGGCAATGCTGTTTTTTTTTTTCGTTTGTAGATTCAACTTCTGTATCTTCGGTAGGTAGACATTCCACCCGCTGTGCAACGGAAATCTTCCCGTTCCATGTTCGAAATATCCGGCATGATTTGTCCTAAATTTTTGGATTCGCATGACATATGGAGTTTATTTAAAGTTATCTGACTTTACAGCAATGCTGTTAGTAATAATAGTATAATTAATAGCATATTTGGTTGTTGCTCAGCAACAAGCAACTGCCCGAATTTTCGCGAATTCAGACTCTTGTGAGGACCATTTTTCACTATTAACGTCGTAGATTTCGATGAGCGTATTCACAGAAGAAGCTGCTTTTTCTGTAAAGCTAACGAAATAGCCTGGAACGTAAAGTACTTTATCGGTCGTCTGGTTCGCGAGCCCGTAGGTACGTTCTGGTCGTTCTAGCCACCTTGCCTCTTTGTAGTTATACTCAAAAAACTGCAAAGCAATATACATATATATATATGAAGAGTAAGTGCCGTATGATGTATGAGAAATCGATATATCTATTATAAGTTAAACGCGATAGACGAGAGATTAGATACAACTTTTTACAAGTTAGATTTAAGTTGCTTACCACTTTACTTCTGATTATAAGTCAGACAGCGTTTTCGTCTAAGTTATTGCACCTTGATAATTGATATTTATATGTCTGCAGCCTCTTCCTAAACTGCACATAATGCTTCGTTCAAGTTTTTTAGCTATTTAAGCAAAGTGGGATTTTCAATTTCAATAATATAAAGTCGAGTGAATCATCCTAATTATGTGTTGCTATCGAACTGACTACCTGTTTGGTACTTCTCGAAGACACGCTGCCAGTGGCAAATATTCGATCGCCTGCACGATATAGGGCCATCACATCGCTTGGGCAGTTTAGATCCCTGCGTTCGCCAGTCCGTCGGTCAATCTCCAGAACCCTGAAAACGCATGATCATGCAGAGCGTCAAAATAGTCAAAGAATTGCTTTGATTGCCTAAATACTAGTTCACACAAGTAAATTCGAGCACACAAGTAAACAATATCGGAATTAGGTAATTAGGGTTGAAATTTTACTCTAGTTATATAGTCTTTCATTTCCAACTTTAGTATGACTTCCAAACATGACTCACCTGGAAACTGCCTCGGTTGGGCGGTATACGACAATAAGTACATCGTGTTTATCAGAATCCGAGTTGCCAATACTAAACACCTTCTCGCTTGACGAATCGAAGTCGCTGCACAGCGGGACAAACGTTTTCCGCTTTTTGTCGAAACAGTGGAGCTCGCGACGACCGTTAATAGCCGCATACAGCGTCTCTACACAGCAAAAGCCACACAAAAAGAAATAGGATTTAATTAATCATTGTCAGTAGTATCGTAATGGTCATTCCAGTGAGGCTACAACCGACTGGAAGCGTCTCAATTGCGATAATTGCATTGACTAATGCTATCAGATCGCTTGGTCCTTCTGTGGTATCTACCTATATGCGTTCTCTGTTGCGGCTGGTGATTACATACCACGCACGAGTTTGGGCGGGCGTGCATTGGGCTTGTGGCCCACTGCAACCCCCCACTACCCAACTGACAGTTCCCGACATAACCCAAATGCTGCCACTCGGCCAGGAGATACACTTATATTCCAAATGAGTTTAAAACACATACACCTGCTAATCTTTCAATGACCTGTTTACGGGAAGTGAACGGAGGATGTGCAGTGGAGTAAAGTGAAGTTGCATAAATAAACGTGAGACCATTTTGTATTATCTGTACGTGTATGTAAGAATAACGAGAAGTTTGCGCTAACAGAATCAAATTAATTAACAAAAATGTTCTTATAGACTGGATAGGATCGGTTAAAAGTAGTCTTACCAAATTTAAAAGCAATTTATCAAGTAGGCGCATAAAAATTAATGCATATCGTAAGAAGTCCTTCGCGTCCTCGACGTAGGAGCAGAAAAATACTGCTTTAAAAAAAAGTGGCAAAAGGCAGACATGAGCCGTCTCACTTGTGTTGATGCTGCTGAAATCCCACTACAACAGATAGATTTGGTTGTCAAAAAGGTACTAACCGTTAAAAAATTGAAGCACATATTTTTTCTATTTTAAAGTCGTATTATTAAACCAAATATACGTAATTTTGATCGATGACCTCCTGTCATTCTTCGAGTATACCATAGTTCCAAAAATACGGTATATCTACAATCTGTATTTCTGGGTGAAAAATTGTGACCAGTAATTCCCTCGTTGAAATTAGATTAACGCCATTATGAGACTTCTGCAGAGACCAAAACATACAATAGTCTGATCGTGCAAGATTCGATCTATATGGCATATGTATTAAACTTTAAGTTCTCTCAAATTTTTAGATAGCTAAAGGACTCGATAATCTGGCACTGTCATGATGGAAGACGACGCCTGTTCTGTTCACTAGTTTCGCTTTAACTTTTTCACCCACTTGTTGTAACCTTGTCGGTTGTTAACGTTCGAATCGCTTTGTTGGGCGGCAGCAGGTCATAGTGTATGATCTCTTTCCAATTCTGCCAGACAATAACATCACGTCCTTTGGCGTCAGTCTGAGCTTTGCCACAGGCGGTGGAGCACATTACTTATTTTTTTTCTTTCTTTTGCACATTATTGTCGTCTGTTATTCATATTCTATTACCCGCAATCAATCGTTCCAGAAATAGCTGAGTTTTGTTTCTTCATGTAGAATTTCGCAAATGGAAATACAATCGAGTAAGTCTTCCGCTTAAATTCGTGCAGCACCCAAACATCGGACTTTTTCTGTAGGCAGTTATTTCCAATTAGTATAAAACTGCTTAGTGGTATATATTTAGTTCCTTGGCGTTATTATGGATACTCACTTGTTGGTCTTGCTCAGCTCTCTCAATAATTTCGTCAGCTTTATTTGTAATTGGTCGACCATTACAAGTAGCACATTGTTCACGTTGAAGTTGGTAAGACGCAAGCAATAGAACCATCTTTCTCGACTCGGATCTCATTATTTGTTTGCGGGCCTTCGTAGACTGTTTGCCTTTATTATAGTAGAATTGTAGAATACGGCACATCTTTAGCAGAAATGTCACCCGTGTTCAAAATTAGAGTCTATTTTAAGTCTGAATAAAAGCATTCCAACAACTTTAACACAGCTACTACTGCCAAATCTCGACTTACATATGGCACCAACGCCGATCTGAAACATATGTGACTAGCCCTATAGCTAGAAAAAGAGTTTATACTTTTTTTTTACTATATATATAGTTTAGCTCATATAGTAATGTCTGATCACATTTTGAAGTATTAGTAAACAACGCTTCATTAGCCACACGCGCTGTGCTGGTCATTGCTTTAAATGCGAGTATTGTAAGAAGAGGAAACAGCCAAAAAAGAATGCTGCCACCACAAATCACAATTAACTCTGATGAAAGCACATGTCACTATTCTGATTTTGTGACCTAAAATGGTAAATACCGTTTTCATCACGTTAACGCTGATGTTTGTATGGAGGTGTGTGTCGCAAGATGAGCGGTAAGTGAGAAAGCTCCATTAGCGTATCGTAGATAAATGAATTGCGAAATGTCATATGCTATCGTATCTAGGAGTTGTGTCTTTTTCGTCGAACGCAAAACGATCCGACGAAAGTCGACAAGCTTTTCTTTGTTCATTCGTTTGGTTTCCGTTTAACCGACCAAACAGCCATTGACTTTGCTAGTTAATGGTTTTTCACGGTTTTCAACTAAACGCGCGATCCAACCACTGCAATCTTGCCTCCGCTTGGTTCCGGATCGCTAACTTTGCTCCGGTATTGTTGTGGCGGCAAGCGGAGATTAGAACCAACTTGCCTCAGATGGATTTTTCTGCATTCAAGTTGACTTCTATGCATTTCTGTGTTGTTCTTATGCTCTGTGCTTACTCTGATTCGTTAAAGCTAAACATATAAATTGTACAGTTAGTGGTAGTATTTCAATGACAGTTTGACACAGTATCGAAGGTGCCATATAATAATGGCACGGCTACTTCTTTCGTCGACACACGAGGCTGGAACGCAGTAAACAGTGTATTTTTTCAATCACATGTTCCTCCTCGTATTTAATTGGCTCGCTATGTGTGCGTACAATCCGGTAAAAGCCAAGCTGTTTGATTTCACCGTATTGCTCTATTGCGCGGCTGCTCGTCTTCCTCTAGCTCTATTAACAACATCCTCTCATAGTCCATAATCGAGTAGATACTATTCCAAAGACGCTCTCCTGCAACTGTTCTAATTTTATTTAAAGTTACAAAAACAGTTCTTTTTTGCACCGAAAACACTCCGGCAGAATGGGTTGACGAGGAAAGACCCTTGGCGCGACTTTATCTGGCTTTATTCCGCTGTCGAGAGAGCCATGATATTAGTTGCGATAAGCGCACTGTCGCATGCAATAGTACCACACAAAAGAAGCGAGCGACAGAAGCTTTTTTCGGTTCAGCTTATATTCACGTCACAGATGTGACGGTGCTACGCATCCGCAACGAATGGCAGCAAGGCCGGGCACCGCTGTTCTGCTTAGCTCCTACGCAAAATCGTAAAAAACGTCTCATTTTTCGACGAGACAATGGTGTGTATACAAAGCTAGACGAGAAATGGGAAGAAGCACGGAGAAACGGCAGATATTTAAATCGAGCAGCAACGCCAGCCAGCTGACGGGCCTCGACTGCCCGTCAAATCAAATGGGCCGAGCAAAATTTACAGTGGTGTGAAATTCTTCTTTCTTTTGCTTCGATCGTTTCTTTCATCTCAACTCTTTTGCGTTGTTGTCGTCGGAATCTTTCAGGGACTTGTCATAGATATTACGTGCCATATATCGTAAAGGTCCAAGTAGATACAGCATTTCACTCGCCCAATGGGCGAATGTGAACAGGTGGAAGAGATCCGGACGTGCAATGTACGGCTAAGATATCTGGGATTGCATGTTATAACGAGACACAGAACCATGATAAATCGTGCCGAAGAGTAGCTCGTGCTGATGACAAAGCGAAGTTGTTGGGGGTGCAAAGACGGCTATTTGCAGGATAGAACATCTAATAGATAAGCCAAATAGTTCAATAAAACAGGCCTGTTCTAAATAGCTTTAGATAGGAGAATAAAATCGAGTCTTAATTTCGCAGTTTCATTGGTCAAGCGAAGTTCCGTCGTGATAATCAGATGGCCCGACACTGGAAAAGGGAAACTTTTTCGCGAAGGCAAGCCAACCGTAGAGGAAATGTTGAAGCTGAGATCACAGATGCCAGAACTAAGCATCCCTCAATACAAAACTTTTACGTAGCAGCTTTGAAAACGTCCTGCTGTTCTCGTGACTTAAATATATAATATAGTAGAAAAGGAGCAAGCGTGGTACAAATGTCTCCTGGCTGTGCGGTTTCGCTTACGATAACAAATCGTCAAATCTATCCGTCAGACAACTGTGACTCGAGGAGAAAAGTTTTCAAAGAAGACACAATAACAAATGGCAACCCGCCAAACTAGAACTTTGCTTGCCATGCTAATCTTAAATCTCACTATATGCAGTCCCGTAGCAGCTTTTCCCGTCCAGGCACACCAGGTTATAATCTTGTCACAGCATTTGTATTCACTAGGCTTGTTTCTCCGCGGAACAGATAAACACCCCGGTAAAACGCGACTAACAAAATACTTTGCCTTTACGTGAACGGCACAATGAGGCGTACGACATTGTCTCATTATAATGATTCCTTGACATTGTATATTTAAATACTATTTAATAATCTACCATCTAGTGAAGTAATTGCAACAGCTTGTAGCTGAAGTATAATGGTAGATACGGCATTTTTGTCAAACATAGTAAACTGACTTAATCGAATAGCAAGGAAATGGGGAATCAGTAGCAGAGATTACTCTAACGAAGTACGGACGGGAGGAAGTGACAGACATAACACATCTTCATGAGAATATAAAAAATTCGGGTGAAGGTAGTAAAAGCTGTTTGTCAGTCCAATTATCTAGCTCCTGCCATGGCAATATATGAGCTTGGACTGGTAGCATGTGAGAATCACAGATCGGGTTCGTCTCCACCATGGCAATGACAACCAGAACGACGACGACTTTAAAAGGATCAGGAAACAAATACACCGCATTTATCTGTTGATGCCCAGCATCTCGGCCTGCTCTCAATATTTAGTTGCAGGTTATCATTAGCGGTAGGGCGACGTTAACTAGTTCAGGACTAAATACAGGCTCGATGTTGTCAGCGCAGTGACACGGCTTAAAATAATCGTTCGGTGCAAACGATTTCTTCTGTCTTAATAAATGCACGTTACAAGCGAAAGCAATACTTTATCCGTTTTCAGTTGGCGAAAAATCTTATGTCGACTAACACACGTGTTCGCTGGTTAGTCATATGGGTGGGTTTTATTGAACCAACACAGCGAAACAAGCGTAGAAAGCCGATAAGCCGGTTGCGGACGTGATAAATAGAGACGTAGTAAAAGGCGGATGATATAAAATCGACAAGTCCGGACTCGTAACGAATTATAGTGCTTTTTATGATTATCTGGGTGTTCGTAGTAGTGAAATGATCTTTTTCCACACTTCGCGATCCTATGGGTCTCTCCAGTAGCAACTCATAGTAGACACTCATTTATTTCTAACCGCGCAATGGAATAGTCCCGGGATAATGAGTTCATTCTTTTCCAGAAGAACACCAATCACGTCACCACATTAGCACTACCACAGAGAAGCACAAAAAGATCAACCCTCACTTAGGTAACTCTAATAGATCACAATAACAATATTATGGTAATAAGACCCAGATCACTAGCATGATAGTTAGCAGTTAACGGCCGGTAGGATAGCACCCGTTATTCCCACTGACACTAATTCCTATTATGAATCATTTTGGCGTATTCATTTTCAATCGACTAGAAAAAGCTCACAGAGACACATAATTTTTACGCCAAGATTTAAAGTCTTGGCGTTAATTAGACATTGTTGAAGTTGGTATTACAGTTTCTATATCAATGCGATCTTGCCAGAGTATAAAGTAAGGAAGGTAGCTGCGATCAAGCAAATTGCCGCAGGCCCTTTTTATGGCAGTCACCCTTGGCGGTCGCGCATCAGTGGTATCTAGACAGGTCGCAATGGCACCAGTCACCATTATAGGCACGAAGAAATTAGCGTACGGGGCTCTACTGAAGTGTACCATATTAAACTTGCAATAGCACATACGCAACTTCGGCCCATATAACAATCTAAACGATTAGGCACGTTTTAAGCGCGGCACGGCTACTTAAGTTAGCTGTACTTCATGAACTTCAGCTGCGTACATTCGAGTGCCGATGCCATTCTTTAGAGTAAATAATATTGTATAAAATACGTTATGAATAGCTATAAGCGTATAATAGAGCGCTTTTTTTAGTTAAAAAAGTCGGCTTTCATCCTGGGTGCAGCTACGGAGAATAAGGAGCGATAGTTTTAGAAAATCATAGTTTTCCATCTTTTTATTAGAAGATCTGTACCATTACCATGTAAAACGCTACATGAGATGATTTCACTACGAAGCTTACAAATCCTGACAAAATCTATGAAACACAGCAGATAACGGAGAATCCGTATAATTGAACAACATTTCGATGAAAATGGTAACCAACTATGAACATCCAACAAATCTGACTACTATTCATACCTGACAGTTCGCTTCCTTGTCGCCTATCGTATTTAAACAAATTCATTACGAAGAGATAATCATCGTCAAGTCGGAACTGAATTTTGACGAGCGGTTATTTATATATTGAGGTTATCTATTCTACCACTCAACGAGAAACTGGAAAACATCGGAAGCAGACGAATATTTAGCATGAGAAGCGGATGTACGTCGCACCCAGTCCCCCAAACAACTTACTCCCAAAGCATCCGATGAGTGGTTTCATTGTTCCGCCTTCATAAATCTTCTGAGGTTTGCCTTTTGTGCAGAGGTAAATATCATAGCCGCAGACAACGACGAGCTTCCGAGCGCTCATTGCAGCGATCGAAGATATTTCGCCTATAAGAACCACAGTTCCTTCAAAGTTAGTCGTACGATGAAGCCAAATTAATTTAAGCAGCGCCATTTACTGTTTACGAAGGTCAAAAACGTATACATCAGGCGAAACATGAATATCCTTTAATTTTTGGAAATAAGAACGGTTCTAAATTTAGCTTCCGCCAATCTATAGATCTAGCCTATCGTGATGTTAATTAAGTTGCTTTATTTAAGGGGAAGTAGCAAGTATCTTAGGCAAAAAATACGGTTACCTTGTGGAAGTGTGATGTCTTTTGCTTGAGTTGATGACATATCCGCGCGTAGTCGGAGTAGGCGCTGGTCACCTGCGAGCAGCACAAAGCCGCTGTGGCTTGATTTGTTGAAACATGGAAACACCCCCATAATGCCGTCTCGATCAAAGCAGGGTGTCGATGATGTTTGTGCTGCAATTAAACGAATACCAAGTTCAACTGCTTGATTTCGACACTATTGATATATTTAGTATTTATTCGAATCTGCCACAGTACGCTATGACTACTCTCGATAGGGAAAAACGTGCCCACTAAGCATTAAAAAAATGGCTCTTGGACTCTTTGTAATAAAAGAAAACTGTAGCATGTATTGACATTATATATTTAGCCAGTTATCAAAAGATATTCCTGTAAATTATTACCTACTGCGTATTATATGTTTTACATGATACAGCATAACAAAGTGTGTCACGGTAGCTAAGCCAGTTCAGAAGACCCGAAAATTAGACGGCCGAAAATGTATCGAAAAATATAGCAGCTTCGTGGCCTCGCATCACCTGTATGCCATAGCAATGTTTCTCCTTTGTTGATGGAAAAAATGTAATACTAAGAATATATTTCTGCGAGATATAGCCATATAAATAATGGATCATTTGAGTAGCAAAAACTTCTCTCTCTACTTAGTGTACCCATTTCACGACAATATATCAGTTTATGTTATGCAAAAATCAGCGGTTGTTTACGCAGCATAGCTGCCTAGATCGTCAAAATGAATAGCGATCTAAGGAAGATCTCACGTAACAAAGAAGCAAAAAAAAAGTCTTCACGCGAAAAAATCTTTATAACAAAGAAATGTTCTACCGGCGTTCGACGCAATCGCCTTAACAAATTCTACTTCGAATTTTACGCTGATGTGGTGCGTTTCACCATTCGCTTTCATCGTCTATTATATGAACATCGTTTAGAGCGGCTTCGGACTCAGCAAGCCAAACAGTTAACGCGTTTTGCAGGTTTCAAGCATGGACCATCACATAATCGTAATAGCACATAGTAGTGAGAATAACAAAGAAAGCACACAACGGGGCAAGATGTTATTTATTCGAGACGTAAAAAAAATTTATACGCACGTACAACTATATGATACCATATGGCTTACTTATAGCTAGAGTAATGCCTGTGGGCCAGCAAATTGGGTACTTCAATGATCTTCAAATGAATGCACGAACGGGCAATAGTGGTAATGTTAATTTCAGTAGTTTAAGTGCTCATATAAAACTTCGACTTCGCCGAATCGCAACGGTCTAAATGTGTTTCTAGCTTTTAATTAGATAACCACGCCATCTTAGTCCACTTCACTTCATAACAAAATATTGCGTCTACAGCACCTTCGAAGGAAAGTATGTACAAACAAAGCTGTACTTTGCGAACTTTCATGATACGATAGGCACTCGTATAATATTTAGAAAGTACATGCAACAGAAACTAACGTGCACCGATGACAAAATCATAATTTAGGAACCAACGGTATTTCGAACATTTGAACGCAAAATCTAACTTGGACCCTTCCGCTACTGTTTAGTCGAAAGATCCCGATCTCCGTGGTAGTTCCTTCTTCGTATATCTTCTGGAGGAAATGAGCCGTCCTATGGTTATATACCGCTTGAATTAGGTGAAGCGATGGATTTCAGCAATTCAGCCATTTAAGGTTCCGTCAATTATCACCACCGCTAGAGCACAATCAGTAGGTTAAACCCAGCCGACACCAATTAGTTTCACCGTTTCGCTGTGTCATCACAATACGCTTGAAGAAAGACCCTGCTAATCTGTTGCATTGGACTTGCATACCGCACTCCCAATATATGACCACGGTAAACGTGTACGCCCTTCGCAAGTAGCCCGTGATGGGCTCACCCAAGCATTGCCTCGATCACTGATAGTCCCTTCACCTGAAGCGAATCTCTGCTTTACAGGCCGACACGTCGAAAACTCTTACTGATTACTTAGTGAACCATTGCTCAGGCATACGGATCAAGGCTAGCTGCCGGACAGTTGTTTCGCTACTCATCGGCACATGCAGTAATTCGGTAAATATAGGAAGAGGTGTGTAACAGGAGAAACTCCGATATTTTTTCAGCAACAGCCGCCGCGATATTGGAGAAAGTTAGGCAACTGGTCGAGACAACTGAGCGGGCAATTGTGACTGGATATAAATGGACTTTTCGTCAAAAGATTGGCCCCATGTAACTTGGATCCTCATTCGACGGTTTATTGTGTTCGTTTCAATCAGGTCTTGAGAATGTTGTGGTGTTTGCGACGAGCAAATTTTGTCGCTAGCGGAACAGACACAAACAAGACCAGCGCAAGTCCGACACAAACCTATATGCCTGTGCTGCTACAGGGAAATAACGAGGTACTAACCAAATTGCACATGATGAAACAACTTTTCTAGGACAAACAAGTACCTGCAGTTCTGAGCTAAAACTATGTGGCAACGTAAGAAAAGTAAAATTGTCTAAAATATGGGGCAGTAGCCAGACTGATCGTTTTACTATTGATACGGTAATATACGAAATCATCATTTGGAAATCTGTGTTCTTCCTCAGACGGGCATTATATATATTGGATTTCGCTACTCCGTTCTGCCTGTAGATGCCTATGTACGGCGTAATGTGTTATAGATTGAATGCATCTCGTCTTTGACGAAACAGACTACGGAAATGTTGTACCAATTGAACGACGGCGCCAGGATTAGCAGATTGTTCCAGTCGCCGTTAGTCTGCTAGTGATCCTACGCGAAAATCAGTCAAGGAAAAAAACCGTGATACGTTTCGCAAAAGATGCGTTAATGTTACATATTATCGTATATTTTCCGTGTGTTCGCCGCGTGCAATTAGCTAAAAGCCTAATATTATATAAACGCGTCTGACAATTGACTGTACAGGTTCATGCCGTAGATGTTATGAGAGATAGGTATTTCGAAATGCTCGTTCAAACGCAGTCGTCTACTGAATTCTGTCGAACTATTTATGTTTAACAAAAAAAATCATCACTATGCAACGCATGTATTTTCAATTGTCCAACACATGAAAAATATCTCCAGTGAAATATCGAACCAATAAACAGGATAAAGGTAAATCAAAGCAAAAAGCATCACTTCAACCTGCGGTTGAAATCGTTTTTAACATAACACAATTCCCCAGATAACCTAGGCAGTCTCCACGTAGGTGGACAGCTGACCAGGATCAATCGATTAGAACGAATTGAGCCGAAGGCGTCGATCCCGAAGTTTGTCACCACCCGACCGTGTTCTAAAGCTTCAGGTTTATCACTGCTACGTTATGTTGCACGGTGAAATACCAGGTCACGGCCCTCAATGCTTAGTCATTCTCGAAGCAGGACAACGAATTTTGCTATTCTCTTGACTAACTGACCATAAACTATGATGACGATTGTCAAAATGAATGAATGAATACAGTACGTAAATTACGTTTCTCAGCTTTTAAATGTCGTATCAGTCAAACGATCCACGCGGAAGCCAGGGCAGATGGGCAGCTACACGAGGCTACGGACTGAAAGATATAGACTTCCAACAACTGCTGGCGTTAACAGTTCCACACGTCTAACGATTGATTGCTTCAAGCCCCGTAGCTTCCCTGTTCTCTACAATAAACCTTCTCTACTATTACCGCTCTGAATTGCGCAATAAATTTACTTATATTTACCCCTCGTGCCATGTATTTAGCTAGCATAGATAGTTCTTTGTTGGGTCAGGAAATCGTATAAGGACATGTTTTAAAAGTAACTGCGTTTATGTCTGTTCTCTGGAGTTTGTTAGGAGGAACGATTGACGAAACGTTGGACAAATAGGACAGGTGTCAGGCGAGATGTAGGCTCACATTTTTGAGCGAGCTCAACTAGAAGATTTTTTAAAGACCGTCTTAAGGTACAGCTATGTCCCTGGCTGTATGCGTATCGGCATTTATGTAGTCTAATGATGTTTCTTTGTTTACTTTATTATTTGGTATTTATTCAACGTAACATGTTTTATAACTATAATTTAAACTGGTAATGGAATAGCGGATTTACATTAAAAAAAAATAGAAGAAAGAAAAAGTGTCGACGGTTCACTGTAACAGCTCCTTTGCAATACAGTATATCACTAGTTCAATTATTATATACTATATATATATTTATATTTGAAAAAAAAAAAGATATATATATATATATATATATTTATATATATTTATATTTGCATAATTAGTTCTGCTAACAGGGTCTAACCTCGATTTTAGCATTTTGATAAGGTTCAATCACGAGTGAGTTGAATCGTATAGGTCTAGAAAACTTAGAGATTCGTTATGGCCTAGGTTCGAATCGCGTGTAGACACGCTTTGCCCCGGACCGGGGGCCAGCTATTCAAAGCAGTCCCAAATGGCTTAAGTTCCAGACATAAACTTAGAAATATTTAGCTTCGGTTAACTGAATGTAAAGAAAGATGCTAAAGAACTCGTAAATCGGCAAAATCATTAGACGGTCCAGTGTGCACCTGTATATCCAAAAGATAATAGACTGTCTCATTAAGAATGGATCGTATTATGGATCAAGAGTTATTTTCCAACCCTTAGGAAAACGAGCTCGAGGACGCATTGAAAAGGGCAGTAGTCCAGATCATACAACTTCACACTGAAGAAAACTTGATTAACTAATTAAATGGTAATGTTTACTGCTGGTGCCCTAGTAGTTATCTGTAGTACATCCCACTACCGGACCAAACGCAATCAAAATCTTTGTTAATCAAAACAAATATTGCGATGTAATAAGATAAAATATGACAAAGGACTTGGCAATCCACCCTTAGACTAACAGATACTTAATCGACCTGTAATAACCTGCATTGCCATGAAACAAGTCATCTTCACTACTGAGAGAACCGAATCATCTGCTGGACATCAAATAGCGATTTATTTTAAACGAAACTTACGCGGTTGATAGTACAAGGTCAAGCAAGGTTATAAATTCTGTAAAATAATTAGTATACGCTTAAACAAAACGCTTAAAAACAAAAGTAACACCATCCATATTGCGATTACCGCATGGCTGACATTACTACTGACTTCTACAATACGTGTCGCCATCTATGAGATTCCTTCGCGCTCACGATTTTCCATGCCATCTAATAAATACATTGTCCCTAATCCCTACGTGCGTGTGTATCCAGTCGTCGATGAGTTCGCGGAAATAATTGTTCAAAAACAGGTGCCGTATAGATGAAAACCTAGATTTTTGGCTCATTTTTCGAACATGCATGAATATAACACAGGTGTAATATGTGCGAAGGCGCGACGCGATTGTTTTGAGTTATCGAGCCTGGCACGATGTCGATCGATCAGTACACATTACGCGGCGCTTGGTTATCGTGCAACCGTGCGGCGCGACTAGCGCCGTCAAGCATGCTAGTATTAATCTTGCGTTTCACATTTTGCTCGTTTCGTCTTCGTCGCTAAGACGCTGCCCGTAGCCATCGTTATTGTCATCGCTAGGAGGTGTGGTGACAAACTTTACACGGCCGTTGCTAGCTTGGCGCGGACCTCGTTTCCCTCGCACTCAAGATTTTCGTAGAAAAAAATACAGCCTTCTCCCATCAATGCCTTACCTCAGCTGGTGAATGTAGCCTATATCTAATCAGCAATATTGTCGCTCAGTATCGGCGCAACCAAAATGAATAAATCATGTCAATCTGATGTACGACTTCCCGACGACAGCTCGAAACTTCATCGTCCGCCTTCAGGGCTTCAGTCGAAGACGAGTCGAGAAACGAGACCTGTTTTCAACTCGGTATATGCATCAGTGCAAGCAGGCAAGATTATGGACGGTACCCAGGAGACAAATTTATTAAAAATCTATTTTGCCGCGATGGCGCCTGTTCGATGGTATCAACCGAGGCATCGACAACCGCCGCAGCCGAAGTGCCAACAACTATATTTTTAGTTTAAATAGATCATAACAAATGTAAAGGAAAGCAGGCAAATGAGTATCGAGCATGCAAAGTAGGCACACAAATAACGGATAAGAAATTACTTCGCTTCGTGCTAGATCTAGCCGCGTAGTTGGGCCCTCATCACCGGACGACGGCCATAACAGCAGCAGCGACGAAAAGGAAGCCTGCGATAAAGTAGAAACTAACGATACAAGCCGAATTTGCGTCAAAGGTAAATTCCTATAATACCGGCATGGTACAGTTTATATACGAACTAGGTTTGGAGCAAGAGTTGATGGACCTCTCACGAGCAATGCCTTCGTTGAGGCATATGTGCCTGTGTAAACGCTTCTCATATGAATTAATAAAGCTGCTGTGAACACAGTGGGTCATTCGACCGATATGGTATTTACCGTTTAATTTATATGGACCGTTGGTTTGCTTGACGTATAAAAGCGTTTCATATTTTCAGGCGATACAATTATCTGACCTAAGCTTCCTTTTAATTGAAGCTAATTGCATCAGTTATGGAGAATCGGGCTGTACATAAAAATCTTTTTTATCATTAAATAGTTTTTGTGCATTGGAAAATGAAGGATAAGAGTTCAAAAAAATGTCTGCATGTACAAATTTGCAATATAACAATTCAGTGGGCAGTTCGTCTGCAATGGACCGCCAGCATCCACAGTATTGACATGTTTAATCCAACACACTCATCTCCACGTATTTGCTCCAGCTTACGTATTGATATCTATATTGTTGATGAAAAAACGCCACTATTTTTTTGTTCGATCAAACACACGATTGATGTAGCATGACAAACGAGCATGACGGTTGTATCTTTAGGACAAAACATAAACATATACACACGCTAACCTGTTATGAACTACTGCAATAGTGATAACACAATTGGCAGCTGTAACCAAACATGATTCAGTTTCATTTTACGTTTTGCGTAATTGAAACAGAGACTAGATGTTTCGATTGCCAGAATTTTACTTTTAGCTCTCGTTCTTTCGCTGGGTAGGTTTAGCAGATAGATCATTAGAGTCGTAACAATCTTCCTGTGAGTCGGGCGCTCCATGTGGGACCAAGCGCAGGTTTCGCACGTTCAGACCTCTGTTCTACCAACACCGAGCATAGAACAGCCACTGCTTTGGCCATTCGAGGTAAGCTTTACAACCGAGAGCAAAAGCTAGCGTCAAAAGAAAGCTGGTGCACCTTCTGTGTGCGCGGATGAAAAAAGGCATAGCAGATCCTTCCAAGTTGAAGGTAGTAATAGCAACAGCGGACGTTTATTGCCAGCCAAGATAAGCGTCAACATCGGTCCATCACGCGTTCATGTCGACTTAACGATTTACAGCCATTCCTGCAGTGGCAGCGGTAATAGTAGATATCGTGTCTTTCATCGTAGCCCACTACCGTCGTCAGCATCCCAGAAAAGACTAGCCCAGTCGAAACGGCTGAGATATGATTCCCGTTTAATTTACGATGATAATTATGATACGATTAAAATGGCAGCTTTGTTCCTTCTTCTAGTGAACATATACGCGGTGAAAGAGCTTTGAAATGAGGGCATTTTGTCGTTGTATCAATACAGACAGCGCATCACTTATTTCCATTCGCATAAAAACTAGCTCTGGGTTGCTTACCCGTTTCGACCAGACCTACGATTTCGATAAGAATCACGGGTGTTAAGCATCTACTGGCAATAGCGAAACAAGCCAGAAAAAGAGAGGCGATGCTTGATGTTCACGGTAATCAACAATAATTGTAAGGTGTGGCCGATTTTGCTACGCTCTTGTACTCGATATTTACGGCACTTTCATATTCGATGATAAGCTAGTAAAGTATCATGTGTGAAACGTCCTTACTTTTCTTCGGATTTTATTTTATGGCTCTTGTCAATCTATTTGGAAAAACGAACCAAAGAAGCTAGATTATAGAATCAATAATCTCAGATTAGAATTTTTTGAAGCCTCCAACAAAGTGGGTTGAGTCTAGTCGCGTCCTGAAGCAAACAGTGCCATTTATCGACAAGGATGAAGGTTTTGCGGTGCTCCTATAGCTAGTCACCTCGGTTTCGTCCGTAAACGTCCGTAGTTGTAAAAGTTAATTTCAAGTCATCGTTTGTTCTGTAGTCAGAATCACTGCGTCCGTGTCCGCAGAAGACACTTCACAATTTTAACCTAACACTATACCACGATGGGTAGGGTACTCAATGCTCACTTGCGGTGATTCTTCGCTGGGCTACTCTTGGGCCCTCTTTACTAGCATCTTGAGGCTTCTATCGCAGCCAATTGCACAGGTTTTAACTATCAATACGAGCTGGTAAGTGCGTATCTGCGCATTCAAAGTAGACGACGACGACGCTTGGCGGTTTCGCAGGTGTGCTCCTTTATGAAAAGAACTATTTCTCGTTGGTATAAATGTCGTCTGCGCTACTCATAAGGGATACCTAACCTACAACAAGAATTTAAAAAATATTGCTCATGAAGTATAATCCCACAGATAGTCACAATCGCAGTTTGATTCATAGCACAATGCAATACACTATTCAGTAAAGCAACTGCTTTATGACAGAGAAACTCGCGTACAATTTATACTTACGCGTGAAAAAAAAACAGATTCATTTCATAGATTTTACGCAAACTAAAAAAATCTGTTAAACAAAACATCCATCTTAAACGACTCTGCGAAGGTGACGCAGTGAACACCCGGTAAGCATATAGCTAGGAAAATACCT